GGGGGGGGGGCGTGGCCGGAGAAGGAGACTGGGGTCTCCTACCATACACAGTACATGGGATTACCGGTCCACACGGATACTTCCTACAGTATGTACATATTGTACAATACCTATTGACAGTGCTAACTTTTCAAGTCATGAGGCCGGCTCGAGGGCGGTCAGAATTTGGAAGCCCAGTGAAGGTTTTTTTGCATTTTTTAGACTCCATTGATTTCCAGCATTTCCGACTTGTGGATATCGACCAGCGCTAGAAGAAAGCTAGAAGCTTTCCGGAAGGGCTTTGGACGGACAGGGATGGATGCATCGGTACGAATAGAGCAGGAAACCAATAAGGAAACCAATCATTGTAGCTCCTGACGCCAGGCTGACCGCGACCAAACCGCCTGTCATGTTTTTGTTTGAATGCGTCTGACTTTTCTTCTGTCACTCTCCGACCATTAACGCGTGAGCGATCTGCAGGAACGGCACCACGTAGACGGTAGATGAACACACACACTTGTGACCCCCCCAGCTAGCTTGACGTCCTGTCCACCGAAATGACCATGAGGTCAGCTTCCATACGGGAACTGTACGGCACACCGAGCACACTGCTAGGTGTGTTGAGCAGGTTACAAATCATAAAGCATCGCATGTTCAGCATGGTCCGAGCATTTCGAGGAAAAGAGTGGCCAACTCAGAAAGGGACATATGAGGAGTCCAGCCTTTGTGTCATGCAACCTCTATGCAGAACTGTGTCAAGTTTCAAGAAGGTTGCTCTCCGCTAGGCTCCTTACAATTGAACGGCATCCCTGTTGCAATACATTGCAATAGGATAGCATCGCCTTGGTCTTCTTTGCAGAAGCCTACTGAACATGTGATCTCATGAAACAGGAACCAAAAGTCCCTTGCCTGGGTGACCTGCGTGTGGTGTACTGCAGGCCGTTCTACAAGGCGCCTGTCTAGTTTCTTGCGTCTCCTAGTTCGGCAGTATCTTCCTGTGACCCAAAGATCCTCGGGATACTCCATCTAGCATTCTCGTAGACCAAGAATGTGACGCAAGTGCTCGGCACCACTCGGAGGAGATTAGGAAATAGTCCCTTATAGAAGCCGACCAGGCCTTCGTTGTACCAAACTTGTTTGATCAGACCAATCACACCTGGTCTTGCTGCATGAGCGACAACACTTGGACGATAGGTCTGTAACCTCGCACGAACCACCTGGTGCGGATAGGTTGCGACACCGGCAAATACCTTCGAAAGCGAAGAGGTGATCAAGGTATCACTGTTGGACAAGGGCTGACCTTTCTTGACCCGTCTGCGCCATATTTTCAGCCTCTCGTAAGCCACGAAATACAGAGCTCCGTGGCTGACTCCAAAGAGTGAAGGCGTCATTCCATGAAAGAACCCGCGAATGCCTTCTGTTCTGAGTATCGATCGCAGACCGGATACCATGCCAGTGTATGCTCCCGTCTGAGAGGCGGACGTAGAGAGCATGCGTGTCTTGACTACCCAAATTGGGTTGGTCAGGATTGCAGAGAGCATGCCGGCACCTGCAGATGCAGATAGGTAGTCAAGAGACGTAAGCTGATGACCAGGTTTGTAACCTCGTATCTTACGGATGACATCTTGAGCTTCTCGATACCATAAGAAGTATAAAGCCCATCCAGCAGAGTTACCCACCAGATTCGGAGTAAGACCACGGTACAATGCGGCAATTCGAGTCGGACCCTCGTTACGCAGGATATCGTGCAGGACAGACCGGGAAGAATTGAGGAGAGGATGAGCGGAGGTATCGACTGGTGAAACGCTGTTAGAAGCCAGTACAAGCTTAACGGGGTCTTTCATCTACCTTGAAGCCGTGTCTTTATGATATCCAGAGGATGAACGATGATGGTGGACACCAGGCCGGCGGACAGGCCTGCGATTGTTTCCACAGACGCAGGGGAGATGCCATGACTCTGGGACGAAGTCATGACCCTCTGCGAGATTGAGGCTCAAAGGACAGAGGAACGACTGTAAGTGGTGTGTCCGAGGTCGAACATCATATCGGCGGCATTGAAGCGATCAGGCCATCAGGCATCAGGATGGACGCTCGAACAAGGCGTTTCGAGGCTGGGGGGTTGAGAGGAAGCACTCAACAGCTCGTCGCCAGTAATTTTATGGCAAATGACGTGCAAGAGTTTTTGATGACGGCGATCCGCATGTCGGAGTGTGGATTACTAAGGCCGAGAGAGAAGGACGAAAACGTGACCTCAAGAAGGTACAGTAGGGAGGGACAGGCCATTCGTCACGTGTAAGACAGACATCAGCAGATTTCACAGTGCCGCAGTAGGTACCTAGAGCTTAGAGGCTCGCACTTTTCGGCGTTAAGTGCACCAGAGTCTTGTTCCTGGAAGCTTGTTTGTCCAGGGACCTTCGGGGCCCAATGAGTGGTGTCGGTGGCCTCTCCATGCATGTCAATTTGTGATTGCCAGCCCACTTAAGAGCCACTCTCAGCGTTATCGGCTTCGGATGCGCCCAAATCCATGTTCACGCCACTCTTTTTACGGTGAAAATACTTGAGCCGGTCTTCCTCTCCCCGAGTCGCCCATGCATCCGCAGACGACAATTCATCTCAAGTTCTCAAGCGGCGACCTCTCAACAAGCTTCCAGCACTCCTCTGAAGCTGTCCCGCGTTCCGTCAGATCAATCCTAGAGTGAATCGACACAGGGCAGCGCCTCCGCGCGGCATATTTCCCATGGATATCGTCCTCGAGCTTGCCGACGCCGTCGTCCTTGACCGTGTCTACTCCTACTTCGCGCCTGCGAGCCCGGCTCAATATATTTACCACAATCTGAAGAATGTCACAACAACCACCTGGTCGAGTATTCGAGAGACAAGTACCGGGGCACCAGAGTTTAGCTATGTTTATGAGCCGGCTTCGCAATACCTGAGCCTACCGCCTACAGAATGGACGTATAGGAGTTCCTTACCTCGCGACAACATCTATCGGCAAGGACTGAGCTTGTTCCTCCTAGTATGGTAAGGATACGGTACTCACCATTATGCTCTGGCTGGTCTGACGAAACATTGTAGGATTTTCGGCCTTCTGCTCTACTTCGTTTTCGCGTCGTTATCATATGTGTTTGTCTTTGACAAGACCACTTCTCAGCACCCGAAATACCTGAAGAACCAAGTCCGACTCGAGATTGCCCAAGCATTCAAAGCCATCCCAGTCATGTCCATACTCACGGCGGCGTGTATGCTGGCTGAAGTCCGTGGATATTCCAAGATGTATGACGGTCTTTCCGAGGCGCCGTTCTCGTTTTACAACATTGTTCAATTCCCTTTCTTCGTCCTCTTCACGGACTTTCTGATCTACTGGATACACCGCGGTCTGCACCATCCGCGTGTCTACAAGACTCTCCACAAGCCACACCACAAATGGATCATGCCGACGCCCTTCGCTTCGCATGCCTTCCACCCAGTGGACGGCTTCGCCCAGTCGATCCCTTACCACCTGTTCCCCTTCTTATTTCCCCTGCAGAAGTTTGCGTACCTTGCACTCTTCGCCTTTATCAATTTCTGGACCATCTTCATCCATGACGGCGAGTACTACGCAAACTCACCACTGATCAACGGTGCTGCCTGCCATACGATGCACCACTTGTACTTGTAAGTCAGGTTCCTTCGGCCTGGATCTCTCCTCATACTGATTTTATTTTCCTAGTAACTATAACTACGGTCAGTTCACCACCTTGTGGGACCGCATGGGTGGAAGCTATCGTCCACCGAACGAGGAGCTGTTCAACCGAGAAACCAAGTTCGGCAAAACCGAATGGGCAAAGCAGACCAAGGAAATGGAAAAGATTGTCAAGGAGGTTGAGGGTGATGACGACCGTGGCTATCTGGCGGATGGCACCTCTGCGGCCAAAAAGGTCCAGTGATGGGTCATTATATTCAAAGCCATTTGCTTGATATTTTTTTTGTGTTTGAGCGATCAAATGATTTACCCTCTCACTGTCTTGAGACGGGGAAATGTGCGTTGTGCACAACCATTAGTCCTGGGCCGAAGTGGGATCTCTCTGGGAACAGGATTGTATATAGGTCATTGCTGAAGTTACTGGGGTTTAATGGGTGGGAAAGTTGGGAATTCAGGAGGCTGGTTGGGTTGGCGTACTTGTGAAAAGCACTAATACCCAGAATCCGGGTGCCAAACAGATGGCAATCCTTTTGAATGATAGAGCACGAACCACGGTAGCATCGATACATCATTGAACAATCTCGCGGTCGGGCGCGCAGGGTGTTGTTCAAAGTTAAGTCTTGAGAAATCATGGGAAAATATGGTCATCAACGTCCTCGTCCTAGTACCATCGAGCATGCTGACGAGCCACATTATAGCGCCGAAGAACAAACCTCATACGCTCTCGCATCGACCTCGTGAGAAGGACCTGGTATACAGGAATAGGAGACCTCATATTCACCCGCTCTCTGTCAGGTCCACAGGGAGTATGTAGTATTAGTGGCCCGCATTGCATGCCGGACTTGTTGGGCGCTCATCTGTCAGTTCTTTGCTGGCTGAACAGGAACCCGAAGAAGAATTCGACCTCGACCTCCGCCAAGTTCTTTTGCTTGAATTTCTCTCTCTCTCTCTCTCTCTCTCTTTCATGAAAACGACACAAACTTCGGGTCTCGCGGGATCCCGTCTTCGTTGATGCCGTTCTTCTTGAACCGTTGCTCCATGTACACCCTGCGCGCCTCGTCAAAGTTGATCCCTCGAAGCTTCATGAGCCGCTGCACGTCGCGCTTGGCTTTCTGGTCGAGGCCGGACCGAGAATCCCCTTCGACAATGTTACTCGACAGGTCGAAGTCGGCCGACGTCAGGCCCGACTCGACGTCGCCCATGAACGTGGTCGGCACGCGGGTGTACGACAGTCCCGAGATGGCGTCCTGGAAGCGGTCCGGGAGGTATGGAACCCATCGTGCGCGGGTGAAGTAGAGCGCTGGAGTGCAAAGACGGACATTGCGCGGTCAGTATTTATTCGTGCAGTAGTCGATCGGGCGACACCCGTAATACAGGAGACGAAACACACCAAAGTAGGAATAGAGAATCAAAGAAAAGAAAGTGAAAAGACGTACCTGTCCCGAGAATGATGGAGAACAAGAAGAACGAGTACAGCATATAGCCCATCGTGTCACCCCGTCGTTCTGCCGCCTGGGTCCTCAAGCGAGTCTCGTGGTTCCGAATGGTCGAATGGGGGTTATGTATATTGGTAGGTGTGGCGTAGAAAGTCGGGAGTGGGAAGCGAGTCAGTGACGGTAAAGACACATCTTGTCTCGCTACGGTCTCTGTTGTAGCTGGTAAGAGTTCAATCTCAGAATGTCTCGATGGAAGAGAGAGAGAGAGAAAGGTGTGAAGAACAGCAACAACACAAACAACCAAGAACAAGGTCGTCGTCAGCCTGCGCTGCGCCGGCGGGAGGCGGAAACACGGAAATCGGCTACTCTCAATGCCTGTTAGGGTAAATCGTGCTTCTGGGCGGGGGGTTCTTGTAAGATGCCCAGACGACGCCGCTTTAACGGGGCTCTGACTACGTACCCTAAGGTAATGTACCTTTCAACTCGTCCTCCCGGTCCTCACCTCGACGGGTTGGTCCCCCTGCTACAAACCCACAGTCCCCGGGCACGACTGTCTCTCTCTCCTAATCCTGTGTATTTCAGTCACAGATAGCCACTATGCGAAGCCTCGTGGACGCCGCAGTCTGGTAGTCAAACCAACTAGCGAGGCTTCAAGATGCTTGTTTCCGACTGCTAATGTTAAGTACTCCTATGGACGGAGTACTTATTGCTCTAGCACACTTCCGAGTCGAGGAACAAATCCCCAGTGATTCTGATGCTTGGCAGTCACCGTAAAGTCCACGAGTTCCACACATCCGGTTGTTCTTTCTACCTAGAAGCCGCAACCTCACGAGGCCATTTCATCTCTTCCAGGCCCAGGTCGAAAGATGGCTCCAATAGGTCAGCGGCAAAGCCTCAACCCTCCAACGTGGCGCGTCTCGAAGCCACGCAAGTCCATCGTCGACTTGAGCAGCCAGAGCTAGGTAAGGTGTGCAAGAATGGCCAGTGCAACGGGCCGCCTCTCTGGCACAACCTGATGAAATCCTTCGGTATGAGCATGGCGAGTCACCCTGTGCAGAGGGAGGAATCGCCCATTCTTTGACCCTGGAGGATCGGATTCACGCCGCTCGCAGCCCGTCTTGGACTTCTTGTGCTGCGCGCGAGGTCGGCGCTCTTCAAGTCTGTTTGTCCTTGTGGAAAACACACATCGCCTGTCGTCTAGGGAACCTTTCGACAAGGCCGCCCATGACGAGATGATGTTGCAGCAGAATTGCCCGAAAGAGACTGACCTGATTTATGGACTTCTACTTTGCAGAAACTCTTCGGAGTTCGCTTGGTCAGACTTCATATCCTCTAACCGCGTTCCTCTCTCTGCACTCAGCCGTAGGTGGTGTATACGTCAATACATCCCTCTGGATACACTCGTACAGACAGTTGCTGCGTGTCACGGGAGCGGTCTAAAAGTCCATTACGTCAAGATCTCAGTAGGCCGTGAACAAGCGCGTCATTGCAGTGTGGTTCAGAGTAGCGGGTTCCTGTTTCCTATCTACGAGTACACATCCTCCGTTAAGTCCCCCACCTCTCCCCCCATTTTATTCATTTCGTCTGTGGAACGGTGGCCCTTAATCTCTCCAACACATACTCTCCGGCCTTCATCGGCTGGAATTGGCTCTGGCCCACAGCCTTCTCGGGGAGCGGGTCAACGTCGCTGTCGTAATTTATACTGAAGAAATATGGTACCGAGTATCTCTCACCGCCCCCGGGCTTGCTCACCACCCGGTGGATGGTCGACTTGTACAGTCCATTGGTCCAGCGCATGAAGAAGTCGGCGATGTTCACCGTGAGCGTACCGGGACGGACGGGGCACGGTCTCCAGATGGGCTTGTTGCCCGTGAGGGGGGTCGGCGGGAACAGGATCTCAAGACCCGGGTTCGCGGAGTTGAGAAGCATCGTGAAGCATTCGTAGTCCGTGTGGGCGCCGAGGCCGAGCTTGGCCTCCTTCTCGAGCTCTTCCTCGGACTTTTGCTGCGCATTTTCAGGCTCGGGGGTGCTCTTGTAGTAGAGCAGTCTCGCGATGCCGCCGGGGTGGGTGACCAGCGGGTCAAAGTAGTCCTCGTCCAGGTCCAGCGAAAGGGCAAACAGTCGGATCAGGTGTCGCGAGCAGGTCATCACCTGGCTGTAGTACAGCTTGATGGCGTCGTAGAAGCCCGGCAGATCCTTCTCGTAGGGCCAGACGTTGCCGCAATGTTCGCCGGCGGGCACTGAGCCGTCGACCTCACGGTATTGGCCGTCACCGCCCGTCGGGTCAAAGGCAGATTCGTAGCCCCAGTTGAAACACTCCTTGGTTTCCTGCTGGGAGCCTTCGTCGTCCGGGTTGACGTAGGAGAAGTCGTGCGGCTCGTAGCCGCGGAACAGAGGGGACAGCTTGACGTGCATGGCTTCCTTCTGCTCCGGCGTCAGCTCCTTGAAATAGCGTTCTGCTTGCTTGAGAACACCGGCCATGGCTTCAGAGCTGATGCCGTGGTTGCTGATTTGGAAGAATCCAGTCGTGACGCATGCATCGCGGATTTGTGCCGCGACTGCCTTGCGGGATTCGAGTGTCCCGTTAAACGAGGGCCCAAGGTCGATCAATGGGACCGAGGGAAGCGATTCAGCTGGTACGTTTGGCGGTGGTCGGAAAAGGGCTCCAGCGAGACGGTCACGAAGGAGTTGTTGGTTTGCGGCGACCTCCTCGAGAATTGAGGGCTGCGACTTGAATGGTACGTAGGTCGACGTTGGCGGCTCCGGGACAGGCTGTGGATTGATCATGGAGGTCGCCATCGTGAAAGGGTATACGTGATTTGATTCTATGGAACCCCGGGTGAGGAGGACGGTCTTTTTGAGTGTTGGAGGATACAGACTGGACGAGCTTGTATCCGAATCGAATCTCTGGCAGAGAAGAGAAGTGGTCAAAAGAAACCCTCACTCGCGGGGTTCACCCGCCTTTCATATAACTGTGATTCTACGACCATCAACGAATGGGGAATTTCTTTCCGTTAGCACGAACCGTCAAAAGCAGCCCAGACCAGGCTGAGCCCACTGATATCGAGAACGGAGGACGCCGTCAAGAGTGGTCAAAGAGTGGGTAAAGAGAATCCCCATCACCACCGGCAGAGATAGAGCACCAACGCCAGATCTGCTGAAGGAAAGGTATCGTGTTACATAATGGGCAAAAATGTGACTTATCGCACCCAATTCAAGCCCTCTCAGCGCAGCTCGTTCACACTTCAGGAGGTGACAAAAATGGTCACGGTCATGGTCCATAGTCCCTACGGATGGATACTCTTCAATTACTGGAACAAATAATACGCCGCATACTCGTACAGCAGCTCCGCCGCAACTCACCCGCAGTCCTGGTGGGACAGCATGTCTGCCAGATACACTCATTCGGCAGGCCGCTCCGACAATGGATTAACCTTCGACTATTTCTTAGCAAATATCTTTGACCTTCATGAGTGGCCAATGTCCAAATAGGTAACCGAGTTGGCCCGTCTAGGGCATCTCAGCTCAGACCGCCGATGTCGTGTGGCTCAACTTCTCACCACGGACTCCTCTTGGGTAGAAACGTGAGGAAGGATCTTAGCAAATCGACCGGGTAAAGTCTGATCTGGTCATTGTAGTCGTAAGATACGAGGGGGCAGCCTGGCGACACTTTGATGTGACGTCCCGAGTGGCGCAATAGCAATACGTCGAGCAAGGTATGCATATCATTGAGTGTGGAGTGTTTATTGTTTTCAAGAAGTAATATTATGGTATTGGAAGATACAGCCTGGTCGGCAAGAATCATACTTTTATCAGGGCTGATCCATCAACCTCACTTGACTGATCGATACTTTAGCCCCAGCTTCACCCTTCAAACCTGGAAAGGGCAATTAAGCCTTCCGTGTTGTTTGAGTAAGAGCATGCCCTGCTAAAATGAATATCGAATCCTTCATTTGTTTCCGAATCTCTGGTGTTGCTGCTTGAATTGACATTTAGGCAGCAGCAACCTCTTCGGTAGTTCCGTTGGTGCCGTTCTCACCAGTGATCTCGGCGCCGTCTTCCTTTCCGGGACTGTCAATGGCAACCTTGACGGCGATCTCGCGGCCTTCAATCTGCTTGCCGTTCATCTCGTCAACTGCCTTCTTCTGCATCTCCTCCGAGGCGAGGGTGACGAAGCCGAAGCCACGACCCTTGCGAGGTTCGCCACGAGCTTGGAGCTTCTTGACCATGAAGCGAGGGATAGGACGGAGAGCGATCTTGGCGGAGCTAGGTTCATAGGCGGCGAACAATTCCTTGAGCTGCACATCGGGTCAGTCAGATCCTGGGTGAGGTGGGTATTGAGAGCGCCTACCTTTTCTTCGCTAAGATCGTATGGCAGGTTGGCAACCATGACCTTGGTGGTGGATGGAATGCCGTCCTCTGGTGGGCCGCGTTGCTTGGGTGGGCGAGGAGCACGGGTTTGCTTGGGGTCGGTAGATTCACCTTTGTTGGCATCAGCGGTGACGTCGGTCAATGGGAGTGGGTTCTCGGCAAGGTCAGTCGCTTCGGCGCCAGCATTTTCCTGTCGATGAGTTAGAAGACGGTATAAAAAGGAATGTCGGGGTGACTACTCACAGTGGATCTTGCGCTTCGAGGAGCACGACCACCGCGGCCACGACCACGACCTCCACGTCCACGGCCTGCAGATCTCTTGCGCTCGCCACCCTCGGCGCCGGAGGTGGCACCTTCGCCGCTGGTCTGGTCTGGTTTGCGAGCAAGCTGGACAGAGACCTTGCGCTCTAGGATGTCCTTGCCGGAGAGGTTTTCGATCGCCTTCTCCGCCTCTTCAGCAGTCTTTAGATCGACAAAGGCATAGCCGACAGGACGGTTTGTGCGAGGGTTGACAGGGATGGATGTTGACTCGCTGTGCACAAGTTAGACTTGTAGAGTGACAAAACTTCGCGTGGCGACTTACACGTCGTAGCCAGCAAAGAATTGCTTGAGTTCCGCCTCAGTTGTCGCATAAGCGAGATTCCCGATGTACAATCGACGACCTTCGGCAGCAGAAGCCAGAACAGCCTCGTTGTTGGCCGCAGAGGTATCCTCAATGCTGGCGTTCTTGAGGTTTTCGGCGAGGTTGTCGACGGCAGAAGACATTGTGGCTGAGGCACAAGTGGATTGTTGAAGTGTGTTTGGGACTTGTGGATTGCAAATAACTCAGGTAGCTAAAGGCTGCCTTGGGAATTGGGGTTGACGAGGGGTGTAAAGGGTAGCTGGGTGCCCTAGATTCAAGAGGTTTGATTGAAGACGAGCTCGGGTTTCTGATCAGCAGAAGGATGATTAGATTGATGAAGAGAGGAAAAGAAAGAAGAATCCAAGGGGTTGCGCAGGCTGAGAAAATAATTTGGGCAAACAGGACAAATCTCGTTTTAGACGGCAGTTGCGGTGCGCTCCTTTTAGCGTGGCGGAAGTGACGAACCAGCAGTGACAGGCTGGCGGTAACTACGGCATTAACAGGCACTACCAGCGCCTAAAGTCGTGACGCTCCAGGAGTGGAATGTCTGTTTGGGGCGTAGCACAGGCTAGTGAGGCCAAGAGAAACGTGACGAAAGGACCAGTGACAATGCACTTTGCCTTGTTCAATCTAGCGCCAGACCTATAGTACAGCACCTGCAATTGCTTGCATGAACTTGTCTGTACCTGACAGACTCAACTGCCATCGCTACCAATCACGTCGTGATGACTTTCACCTTGTCCTACCACTGGCCTGGATGAACCCCTTTATTCCATGATGTGAGAGTGGCCATTTCATTGTTGTGATGTTGAGTGAAGATTCACATGTAGTCATTTTGAATTATGCTAACAGCGAGACAAACCCATAGCCCTGTCCGCCGTTGGTGTCTGGTTGCCTTGCAGAGAACTTTGGATAACCTGGCGTTGGAATGCTTTCGAAGGACGATTGGTTCTACATGACCCTTGACCACCGCTGCAGTGACGATCTATACTGCCTTCACGCCTTCGCATTGCTGCTGGAGGCGTGAAACTTCGACAGAGATACACCCTGCTTGGAGATGAGACTGCAGTTAGCGTTTTCGCTAACACCACATCACAACCAGTCAATACTCCAACCAGACAAAAAAGCAAAAAGTCTGGAGATTCGATGCTCTCACTGCATCTAATACTTATCCCGACTGTGACTACCTTATTCATACTCTAATAGGACTTGATATCCTAAAGATACAGGAGAGTCATGGAAACCTGCAAAAGACTCCCGTTCAATCCAATAGGCAGCTGGCTTCCAAGGATAAGCCCAACCTCCAAACTACTTGAGCCCCAAGGTCACAATTCCACACGGTGAGTCTTGCTGGTGGCCATCAAGGCGTGCCTTTGTTAAAGGAGAAGCACTGAGTTAATTATATGGAGGGTACAATATAATGGGTGGATCGCTTAGTGAATATATCTCTAGCACATCAGTATTCATATTGGCAATTATTACGGAGAGCTTCACCTACAGAACTTGTCCGCCGTCCGGTATACCATGCGGAGAAGCTGGGACTTGGACGCTACAGATCAGCAGTAACCACATCCACCCTCCCGTTACTGGACGATAGATGCGGCCGATCTAGACGGCTTCTGGAGACAGGGGGTCCGTGCAGCCAAAACCACATACTCGGAGTCGAATGACATTGAGCCAAGACGTAGATACATGTTGTAGAACTCCAGTTTTACCATTCTGTGCCCAGTTATGTACACAATCAGCTGAAAAAGGCCTTACATGGACTTCATTCCCAGGGCCATACGAGTGACCAGCATGATCAGCCATGATTCGTCATCACAAAGTTCCACTTCGAGGTCCGTCAGCCTCGTGGCCTCGCAACGCAATTTGTTGGTCGCGGGACCGCGCCACGATGCGGCTGAGCTTCATCTCGTGTCTCAGAGCCCGGAAAGGATGGAAACTTACTGTATGCCAAAGAACGCAGTCAGCTTTTGTGTTGCTAACAGCCACGCTCTGTCCCTCGTTATGTAGTTGTTGTTCTCCCTCCTTCCCGTTCCCACCTCTGTATCATCACTTTTGCTATCATACACTGTCATTTGAGGCCCAGAAATCCAAAACACATTACGTGCCGTCTCTCACACGAGCGAGACATTCAAAACCAAACCCAGCCAGACCCCGGCGTCAGGCGCTCACACTCCCTTGTTTCCAAGCAGTAACACACAGTCAGCCTCAGCTCGACTGACCTGACTTCGCAAGTCCACCGACCAGCCATAACCAACCCGCAGCGTCCTCCTCCTCCTCCTGCTCCTCCAAACCCCCAAGCACAATGAGGCTACAGCTTGATCAACATGGCAAGATCAAAACATACATCCACATAGCACAAACTGCCGTGCTCGCCCTCGCGTGGGTTCTCACAATAGCGCTCTTGACCCGTGGAGGAACGACCGACAGCCGCGTCGGCTGGTACTTTGGGCTGGTATGTATCTGACCTACCCACCTTACGTACCTACCTCCCCCAGTCCTCTCTACACAAGTCCCTAGAAAGAACTGGAGAGCAAATTTCAAACCAAACCAACCCGACATGTGACACGCAGTACAAGAAACTGACCTTTTTTTTCCCTCCCCAACTCACAGTGCTGGCTTACGATCCCGATCCTGATCTACCTGGTCATGGTGCCGATGTGGTCCCGCGCACGGCGATTCGCCAACGTCTACGCCTTCGCCTGCGTCGACGGGCTCGCCGTGGTGCTGTGGCTCAGCGCCTGGGCGGCCGTCGCGTCGTACGTCGTCGCGGGCAAGGGCAAAGGGGACAAGAAGGACGGGTCTTCAGGCTGCGACAATTTCAAGTACGGGACCCCCGGCCGCTGCAAGCTCAGCGAGACCATCATCGTGTTTGGCGTCTTTGAAATGCTCCTCTTCATCGCCACGACCTTCTTTTCGCTCCGCACCGTCATGGTCTTCAAGCGCACCGGCATGATGCCCGACAACGCCCAGCGATACCCCGGGGCCGTATCCCACGACGACAAACCGGACGACTTCTCCGCCCAGACCCAGGATGCCTTTTCGACCAGCATGCGCCCCGACGAGGATTTGGACGACGAAGAACGCACCGGTGGCAGAGGACGGCACCCTGAGTACGCTTATCAAAAGCCCGGGTACGATGACGACCAGTATGCCCCGCTGCATCAGCAAGAGCAGGAAGACATCGTGCATATGCAATCGGTGCTGCCGCAGAGTCCCTTGGACCATAGTGGCCTGGGGATCCAAGACTACAACACCGCATACACTGGTTACGGAAATCAGCAGATGCCAGGTCGATGATCAGATCAATCTCGGGGTCTGAGTGGGATCCTATGTGTTTTGAACGAGGCTCTTCAGTTTTCCTTAGCTTGGGTCCTCTTCTCCCTTACCTCTTGCAGCGTTTCAGCGATGTGCTATTTATTTTTTGTAACGTTTTATCTGGACTTAAAAGGGCACCGTGGTCATGGGACGGTTCGATAGTCTGTTTGTCTGAGCCATTTAGGCAATGGTTGCAGTCACTTGGGAGAACATTTCTCCAAAAATCAATTCGAAATCTGTTGCTGATGTGATCTTTGTATTCTGCTTTTGTTCTCTGTATGCCTCAATTCTCAAATCCCAGAATTCAACTATCGTAGCATATCAACCTTGAGGTGCAGTCTTCCAACTGAAACTCCACTAGATTCCGACTCGGGTATCTTGATTGGAAGTTTCCGCAAAAAAGTCCTCCCTAGCAGCTGCTCTTGCGAGGAGCCATGTCCCAAAGAACCAATCCAGCCTCTAGAACAATGTGAATCATTGCTAAACTGTTGCTGTGGTCTTCTGAATAGAAGAAGGGAAGACGAGATGCTCAAACCCTGAGCAACCAAGGAAAAACTCGCTAATCACTCTTACAGTTTCTGTAACCTCAAACAAGATCATGCATGCCTGCCGCCTGTTTGACAGCGCCGGGACGCCTGTACAGGTCCGTGGATAATTCACACCCGTTTCATCGTAGCTCAAGCCAGAAGAAAAAAAATCAATACTGGCCCTGCCGAATAAGACGCAACCGTAGCTTCGTCGTGTCTCGTCGTCCTATGGTCCTGGAGGCTGAGTCCAGACATGTCGGAACAAAATTGGGCAACAGGAGCCACTGATTTCGGACAGACGTTATGCAAAGAAGAGAAGTGCAATGTCATCAAAGAAAGTCGTTAGGAGGTGTAGAGCTCTGCATCACGAGAGCCAGCACCTGTCGTGTCCATCTTTTGCAAGAATTGTCTCAAAGCAGACCTGCATTACCTCATAACAGGATCAAGTAATTGCTAGGGGCTATGCCTGTATCGCCGTTCTCTTTCTTTGCCTGCCACCATCTTCCACTAACATCCGAGACCTCGAGGATTTCGTGTTTGCTGAAGCTGATCTCATTTGCGTCGTCTGGGTTGGCTTCATAGCTATAGATGGCCTTTGCACGGTAGGGGTATTCCGTTGGAGGCGCGATTTCTGATGCTGGAGCAGGGGTGCTGCTCGTATTCATGGGTTGAGCCGAAGCCCGCGTTGCGCCTGCCGGTCCACCGGGGTATCCAGACACTGGAGACGAGGTTTCGAAACCGTTCAATTGAGCGGACGTGTACATCTGAGGCGGCTGTGTGGAAGCTGTCGTTTGTGGGCGGTCGTAAGCATTCGTCATGTTCTGAGTAGGGCCACGGAATCCATTTGCCTCTTTATGAAGAGCAAATTGGTCAATGAATTCGCGATGGGCGGCTTGAGGTGCGGAGCCGAAATAGAATATCCAGATGATCTGTGTGACAATGAGCTGCGAGCCAACATCAACGCGGTTGAACGACTTACAGCTACCATTGAAAGCAAGATGTGGCCTGCCGCCGCAGCTTCCATAGCACCTTGTGGTTGATAAACAAGAGAATTGACTGCTGAGGTCGTCATGACGAGACCAGCAGCGAGATATCCAACAACCTAGACAGGTTAAAAACCTTTCGGTTCAAACGAGAAGATGATATACGTACGGCGATGCTATAAATATTGCTCGAGTCCGTCGCGAAAACGAATGCGACGCCTAGAATACAGCACAGCATGTAGGCAACCGTCCACCAGGCATACTTTGGGAAAGGATCTTGCACGTTCGCAATTATGGAGGAAATGAATGCGATGAGCCAGGCGAGCTGGACGAGTAGTGGTCAGCTTCGCGTTCGACAGGAGATCAGAAAAGGAGACGTACCAAGCTGATAGAAATTGTGGCCAGCGCAAAAGGGTCGCCGATGATGTGACCGAAGTCGATTCTGCTTCCTCTTCGAGCCTCCAACATGTTGTGTTTCTTCAAGGAGGGAGAATGCAGCGATCCGTATGAGGGCATGAAGGGTCGACGACGTCGGCGGGTTCTCGTAGCAGTTGATGACACCTGAATTCCAGGTTCTTCGTCCGGTAGTTCGAGAAGGAAGGAAGAGGGTCGATAGAAGATTAGGAAGAGGTTTGATGATGGCTAGACGCAGGCTGGGGGCGCGAGGACCGGGCGCTGGAGGGCTGTGTCTGTGTGCAGTGGCCGGCTGGTCGAACTTCGAGTCTGGAGTCGGCTAGGAAAATAAAGTTGCCAACGACACAGTCGCCGATTGAAAGTAAAACAGGTGTAGAATGACGACAAAGAGAGTAATAACGATCGACAAGAATAAAGAAAATGCCTGTGTTGACAAATAGTGGTGCCTGAAAGAGCGTCGTTTTGAAGGGTTTGAGGAATGAAAGTCGAATTCAGGAGGAGGAACACGACGGGATGGATGGGGGCGCGAGAAGCCTGGCACAGGAAGGGAAGCAGGCTGGTACACGACTGGCTGAGAGGCGGAGAGGGGAACCAGGCCTGGCGCCCCCCCTACCACTCTGCGAGACTACGAGTACCGGTACGAGGAATCAAGAGCGCCCAGGGCCAGGGATTCAACCTAAACACGCCTTGCCCAGAACGTGTTGGGGGCCACTAAAAGCTTAAGCCTTAACGACCTTGCAACATGCACGTTTCACCCCCCAGCGTAGATGCAGCTGGACTCAAAACTACCCGTGTCTCCAGATTTACAATTTCAACACTGGCGAGGACGGCACAACGATGCGAGCTCTACGATTCCTCTGCTCGAGAAGAAGTTGTTGTTGTTGATTCCAGGTACGACTACGGTCAGGGTTCTATCTCCTTGCGCGCTCAATGACATGTCGTGCTGCACCCTTACATCTCTCGGCGCTTCTTGCGCAGTAGCACAGGCCATGCGCGCAACAAGCGCCTGGTGGCACCACGGGCTGTGCAACGGGCAGCCACACCTCGACAATGCGCATTATTCACCACGGACGCTTACATAGAATAGATCTTCGTTTTCAGGTGCCCGTTCAGGATTGACCTCCAGACGCTGTCGACGCCTCCTCACCTTCGGAAGGCTAAATTTCCGTTTGGCGATACGAAGCTGTCCTCATTAATGAAACTCGGCTGCGTTCTGACACCACCATTGGACACGACGCGACATGTCCCCTGACGGCTGTGGCCACCGTCGATCCATCGTTCTCGACCAATCTTGCCATCTCCACCCAATGGCCCCTGACAACTTGATGAGGCCATCTACCCGTGCTCACAATTCCAGCACCCCAGGGCTTCCAGCATTGGAATAGTACAGGACAACTTCGATATGAAGCCGCTAGATCAAGTAATCCAAATTGTTAATTTGTATGGCCAAATAACAGATTGTGATCCAGCCATCCATCAACCGCAACGACTTTTCGAGGCTTGCTTTTATGTAATTTTCTGAACAGCCTACAGAAGCCATTGCACCTCCTTTCGTCGTCCTGTGGTTATCCTGTCTCTCACTCTAGAAATGAGTGCGTGATCGACAGCGGCACAGATGTTCCCATTGGCAGACTAGTAAACCACTCGCGATGGCTATGCTGGCTTAAAAGACCAACACCCATAACGACTAGCAGAGTGCCGGGTTTTGCTTCCCGATGTGTGGTCGCAAGACACCCACTGGAAACTTGTCATCGGACTCAGATGAAGCCTCTGGATGGCAATGGACGATCTTCTGCGTTTGCCCAAATCATGCCACGATGGCTCAAGATGCCTCGATCTCTCAATAATCTGGTGAGCAGATCATAGCTCGCCGATCACAGATAGCCTTGTTCTTCTTTCGCTCGCCGCTCCCAGCGGATCAGGTGTTTCTCGACTTCGCCTACTCTTCTTTCCCAGTCTTCCCACAGGTCTCCCATTCCTACAACGCCAACTTTGATCCACCATTCAAGGCAATGGGCACTACGTTCACGTAGCGCGCGTACTTCATTCGCCAGTTCTTCCTCGGTTTGGTTGCACCGTTCGAGTCGTGGGACCAAAGACAGCAATTCCGAGCTGTGTTCGGCGGGAGGAATCTGCAGCGTCTGCAAGGAAGAGAGTCTCGAAGCCGTCTCGGGAAACAACGTCGCATGGGCAAGGACAATCGAGGCAAGGGTGCTCAGATCTTGCGACTTGGGCACCTCTGTGGTCGTCTCTGTAGAAGCAAACAAGTCGGGATAGGCAGATGCTAAAGCTCGATGTTAGCTGGCTTGTTGATTGCGCAGCTCGTAGTATTGCTGCTACCCACACAAGTGCTCAACGTCACGAATCATTATGCTGGTAGCCCCATTGTGTTTCTTTAGACGTTCGAACGAGGCTTGGAGGACATCGAGCCTGGACCACACCGTGTCTTTTCCTTGTGCTGGACTCGTCGCTGGCTCAGGTATGCCATCTTGATTAGTGGTACCCTTTAGCAGGAATTCAAGGTGACGAAGACGCGTCTCGAGGAGGGCGAGTGTGCCACGAGCCGCAGCCTCTGGGTCTTTTGTGTCGACAGCCATTTTTGTTTGTTGCACCTGATGCAGCAGAAACGTCTGCAGAGAACAACGGTGCAGGGTTGCAAACATGTCAAACACAACAACGGCAATTCCTCCCAACAAGGCATCCGGAGACGCGCGCCGGAGTTCCCCATTCTAGTTGTTGGACTTTCTCCATAATTCGCTGTCACCATCCCTGACATTCACCTTTTCTTCAATCCGAAACCATGCCAGCTTGTTCGAGTTTCAGATCCATCGAAACCCTACCATTCTCGAGACTCGAGCACGTCGGCAAGCAGGTCTTATGCACACATGTCTCAGTCTGGCGATTGACAGTTGGGAGGCTGCGTATCCGTGCTGTGTACGGAGTACGCCACGGTGGCTGGGGCTGTCGCAATGTGCATGCAGCATAAGTTAAAACCCCGCCGTGGATTTCAACACCATCATTTGTCGTAATCAGGCGAGCAGGTGGCAGGAAACCTCTACCGTGCTGGACAAACAGCGAATCCTGTCGGACTCTGTGGGCGAGTCCACCGTCTTGCCCATCAGCCGTTCTGGCCACGGAGCTACCGTTAGAGCTATTCCAGGCCATCTTGAGCTTATCGCAGGATAGGCAAAGCTTCTTGATGGCTCTCCAATATATTGCAGGACTTGTCGAGCGTGGCGCACCAGCGAAGGATGGGCCGTTTGCTGAATCGGCCCATCCTTCGCTGGATCGGCGCTGTCTTCTTACGCACTTCCATGAGCTCCAAGACACAGCTACTCACAGCAAAAGAACCCTTGTTGAGGCTGGCCAATTAGAGCCTGTCCTCACGCCGAACGACACCCTATGTTTCCCAGCCGTCCGTATTCAAGGTGTTCTTGACGGCGCAGCTATGGTTGTTCCTCTCTTCCGACTAGAACCGGTTTGTTGTCCTCCTGTCAGGCTTTGTTCTTCTCGCATATAGTCCCTATTGTTCAGTCCTGTCATTGTTGTTGTTCCAAGCCAGATCTCAGACTAGCTAGCAATCCCAGAAATATTGCGTTTCGTCAGAGCATCGAAGCGTAAAGACTGCCGCATTGTTCTCTGGCGGCACCGGGCATAAGATCGATGCCCTCGGACCATGCTGGCGTAGGCTGTCACACGTGCACGATGGCACCGCCAGATCCGCATCGCTGGACTTACACAGACTATGTATGCTTCTTACGAAGCCATGGCTTCCACAACCTCGCATGCTTGGACGACTATCTTCGGTGGGGGGTTGAAGCGGCTCGAAATTCGGCGGTTCCACGACCACAACAAGCAACAACAATCCTGCTGGAGTTTGGAGCGTCGAGTTTTCGGACCTCAGATTTGACCGACACGACGAAACTACGAGTTTTGCTGAAAGAATGGACGAAGAAGACCCCCTCCACGCCTACATCCACCGCACCATCCAACGTACAGGGACGCATCGTCATGGTCAACAATATCAGCCCCGAGATGGTCGATACACTCGGCGGACTTCTCAACATCGAGCCAGCGTTCTTTGCCTCTCACCTCGCTGATCATGGCATCGGAAGCACCGGAGAAGTCAACACGTCCTCCCCACTGGCCTCACAGAACCAACGACATCAGAAACACTTCTTCACCATCGAATACCCGTGCGCATTTGTTGCGCATAATTGCGGCAAAGATGTGGACATCGACAAGCTCTACTGCAAAGGCAACTACCGGAGACGAGTTGAAGTGTGTTCGAAATACGGCAAACACAAGGTCGCCCTCGCTCGAAGGAAGATATCCTTTTACATGAAGACGTCCTTGGACCCGTGGCTATGTAAGTGCTATTACGTCTTCCCTTTTCAAGACAGCTCTGACCATGCAGGCGTCGTCCTCGTGGACCCACCCATGACACACTTCACACTAGGTGCTGAGACCAGCTTTGGAGCATACTCCCACACCCAGCGCATGGACATCTCGGGATACCAGGGTGGGTATCTCGACTTCATTGAAATGCGCCGCCCGGGCAGCAAGGACTCTCACGACTACCGCGCATGCGGCTCTCGCCCCATGTGTCCCAATCCGTTCGACGATCTCTGCCGACATTGGCATATCATGGCGCGGGACGGGCAGCTCAACCCAGCCGACAGAAGCATGCTCAACATCATGCGGCCCGCCTTCCAGATCGCCGCCAGCGAGTGCACAAACTTCTTCGAATACATCCGCTCGACACTCGAAAGCCAGCCCATCTCCACAGCGCTCGCCCTCGAGCCACAAAAGGCCAAGAGGATCCTCGACAAAGTCATCTCTCTGGACTCGATGCTGAGCCGATACAAACCCATTCTCACCCGCATCAAAACCTTCGTTGGTCCCGCGTCGGATCTCAACGATGACTACCGAGCGCTGCTGATCGATCTGCACCACTATCGCGCCGAGTGCGACAGTCAAATGCAGCACATCCTAGCCGTCTCACAGGTACAGGACACATTGTCCCTGGCGTCCATCGAGTTCGAATCTACCAGACACGCCGACTATTCACGATACCTGACCATCATTGCGCTCATATACGCTCCCTTTGCGCTTGCGTGCGCCATCTTCAGCCTGCCGCACGACTTTGCCCCGGCAGCTCACTATCTATATGGCTTCCTGCCTGCCACAGCGGGCGTGGCCATCGTGTTCCTTCTCCTCGTGCTTCCGGAGGCGCGAGACCCGCTTCCGACCATCAAGGCCACTATTTGCGGAGGGTTGACGAGGAAGAAACTGCTAGCGAAGCCGAGTAGTCGCAGCACGATTACCCAGTCACAGAGCGAAAAGTTTGTCGAGGACGTATGACACTAATGACGCTGTTTGAGGGTTGTCAGTGAAGGGGAGGAAGAATTTCCATTTGATCCGCCTTTTGAGCCGCGAGAGTTATGAGGTCAGCATACATTGTCCATGTGATATGGGGCACTGACTACGACGCTATTTATGACCTGGTCACACGATATAATACGGAGTTTCGGGGCACGTCGCCATGAAAGGAACGGAATGGCTATGGTTTTGCAATAGGGGCACGGCCGTAATGAATGCTTGGGATACGGTAACTCGGGTCTCATCTTCTTGGGGACAGCTACTTCCAATGGTAGGATGGGAGTGATGATTACGAAGCAATCGTCTCCCCACCGATATACGAATTCAGGGTTATGAATATCGATAAATGATAATGACTTACCACACCTTTCCAACTGTTGACATTACAGAGATTGCCAAGGGGCACACGGAGAGAACTCCAAACTCATGTAGTCGCCTTAATGATTGATTCCGCTGGATGCTCAAGCTCAAAAGTTATCGATACTTCAATTGTATCGCGTATCGCGCATGGTTGGATTTATTGTACATGGGAGACAGAATACGGATGCGCGCTTTGTAAATTCCCCGCTGGACAATACAATACATACGTGCAGAACCGCGCAGGGGAGCTGGATATAGTTTATATTCAGACAAAGGGGAAGAAAAGTCAAGAGAGCAATACTGCATCTGACGAAGTCGACAACAACAACAATCTCCTTCAGACCTCGACCTTGGTCGGGATCTTGACTTGTCCCTTCTTTCTCTCTTGGGAAGGTACACCGTATCGGAATCCGGGGCTCTTGGTGCCACGACCATCCAACTTGGTGCCCTCCCTCGTGGCGGCGACGTTGGTGAAGATGAACTGCCACCGGCCTGTATCGACACGCGTTCTGTTCTCTTCTTCCAGCCGCGCCTTCAACTCCTTGGCTTCCTTCCTCTTGCGAGCGTCTTCCTCGAGACGCTGGGCACTCAGGTGACGGCGTCTCTGACGGTCATTAGCCAGCCTGGGGTTTTGCTTGTCCAGCTCATCCGCGATCATTTGGGGGTGGGGGATGCGCGCGTCGGCCGGTTTCAAAATGGGGTGAGAGTGGCCTGCTTTCCCGACGTACTCGGGCTTCGTGTCCTCCCAGGGCTCTCGGGCAGGTGTGCCTCCTTGTCCTGCGTCCTGGTCGTCTGGCAACCGAGGGGCGCCACTAAAGACACGACCCGCGTCGGTACGGTTGAACGCACGAGACTCAGAGGTAGGGTGGAAGAGTTGGGGATAGGTCAGGGGATGCTGTTCGAGGTCGTTGATAGACTCATGTTGCTCCATCGGCCTCCGTGTCGTTTGGTTGAGTCTGTTGACTGGGACCATCGAGTGGATCGCTTTGGCGTAGGGGATGGCGAGTTCTTGACCCTGGATTTCGAACAGGTTAGCTTCGTGTATAACGAGCGGCGTTTAGCATGTGTGATGGGCACACTGATTTTCTTTTTTCTTTCTCAGAGAGTTGTAATTTGTTTTGTTTCGATCACCATGTTTGGATGTCTGGAAGACTAATCGATTTGGTTTATTCATCATAAAAAGTTGAGGCGAGCTTCGCACGCGAGCAACGAGAATCAAAAGACGAAAAAATTTGCTGAAACGCACCTCTGCTTGCATCTTCTTCTCGACTTCTATCAGCCGCACGACTGCTGCAACTCTACGCATGTCGATCCCCATCTCCACAGAGACCTGTCTAACAGATTTTTGCAGTACTTGTACACGGTGCCATATTTCGTGCTGTACTTCCTCTGATAGTATGCTTTGTGAGATGAAATGGAGGTTTCTTGGGAACGGCCTGAGATCTTCTTCTGACTCGCTGGGGGTGGCATTTTCTGAAGAGTCTTCTGAGGAATCGCCAGATCGCTGGTCGCGCTGTCGCAAAAGATTTCCTCGTCTGTCGTAAGCCGAGAGGTAGTTTGTTGACCCGGGGAGAGGTCGTTTAAAAACAGCTCCAGGGCCCTGGAGCCATGCAAACATTTCAGCTCGGAGCCGGGTTTGAGAGGTCGGGGTGGAGGAAAAGGCGCGGTTGAAACATGATTTGCAGTGCGTGTGAACGGAGGGTGTAGGGAGTGCAATCGATGCTGTCGAGGGAGGTATCCGAGGAGGCATAGCTGAAGGTGTTGTCGGAGTCTAATGTACAGTATTGATATGTTATGACATGGCACTTCACTTTGTGATTATTTGTCTCGAACAGAAAGCTGCTTCGATTGCGTTTCCTGTTGAGTGCGTGCTACAGAAGATGTAGGATAAATTTCATGGAGCTTGAGAAACGGGGCTCGGCAAACCTACCGCGGACGGGGTGGTCACGTGTATGCTACTTTTCCTCCCACTTACTCTCACATACGAATGGTGGAATGTTGCGAAAGCATTGTGTCTATGCAGCAGGTCCTAGAGACTTTCATCGCTGAGACCAAAGCTCCTCATGTTTGTCACAGGCCCGTTCGGCAAGGGTGATTTTGGTATTTGAAGTGAGATTATCATCTTCACTCCTACAGTACGTACGGAGTGCTACTTTCGTGTTTTTCCCCATGGCCGGATTGATCTCACCGGAGCGGCACCTCGATTGCAAACTGCGATGGTCACAACTCTGTTCGCCTGCGACCCGTCATATACGACATGCTTCCTCGTCGAGGAAGTGGATTTATCTCCCCAGGCGCAAGTGTATCACCGTCTCAGTGTGACTGGAGGAACTCCTTGAGGAACTTTCGGACTGTAATAGAACAGCCACAGTGGTGGACAAGAAAAAACTCAGCCTGCCCTTTGAGGGGACGGACTTTTCAGTCTGGTGTCATGTTACGTTGAAACTGGGCTTTGGATCCCTCGCAAACTCACGGTTGGCGTTGTCGCTGATGAAGTTTAAGATCTGTGTAATATGTCATCCATCGTTGGGAGCATAGCCATTGCTGTTCACTGCAAGGATACCCAAGTTGGTTCTAGGGATGAAAAGTCTTTCCTTGCATCTCTCAGCGGGACCTTTTCGAAATCAACAAATTCAACAGAAACATGTGCTGTGTGTGATGGAAGTTTCCACCCCGAAACTGGGACGTGCAACACATCAGCAATCAGCAAGGGACAACTGGATGTTTAGTGGGCCGCTTGTTGGTGGCCCAGGTGGCACAATCTGTAGACATTGCAATTTTTTTTGTCGTCAGCAGTGGCAGCAACGCAGGCTCCAGACTCGTACAAGGCTCCAATATACCTCATATATGCAAGGGCAGCCAGGTCCACGTTTACAAGACCCGCTGTCGCTCCGGTCACTGAATGTGTCTAGGTGACTCTCTCGAGCCCGCATGAAGTAGAAGCTTGAGTCGTCGAGTTTTGTGTTCTTTCGACAACGTAGCATATGCCCTAATAAGTTAATTTAGATCTCCGGAAGATCAGCCTTAGGAACGAAGGGATTTCTCAGTAACAATTCCCTACCTGGGTCTGGGAATACTCGTGCTAGTTAGCTTAACGTCAACTCTCAGGTGCCTCGTCTTCGTATCCGGACCCAGCGGGACGGCCACATCCCAGGAGCCGTTCGGAGTGTGGTATGGGTTGCTGTCCTGGGCGGAGAACTGCCACGGCCTAACGTAGTGGCTCGTGAGCCTAACTTAGTTGCCCTTGCAGACGCCCGTACCAGCCAAAGCCTAAGGCCCTCTTTTCCATGCAGCTGACAGGCTTCTTATTAGGCTTCCTAGGCTTCTGGTCGCGGGCCACCGCGCGCGAATTGGGCTCCTAAAGGCCACGCACCGCCAGCACACGCCCCCGGGAGCGACCCTGCATGCCCCTAGCCGGGTTTGGCCGTTGCTTACAGCTACTCGCGCAGACGTCATTGGGTTTTCCCATGAGATCTGTGCCCGCCGCCGCTGCCGTTGGAGCTAATGAACGCCCGCCAACGATTGACTGACAGAAGCATCGTCACTTCCCAAATCTTTTTGCTAAACTGCGCCTTCCATAACTCACAACGCACAACGCACTACACACCACACACAACACACATCACTTCCCCTTCACTCGCTACCACCTTCGCGTCCTGGCTATACCATTTCATCTACATCGATCAAGAAATGCATCATTCATCTAGTCTAGCACCTCTGAGAAATTCATTCTTTTCATCTGCATTTTAGCCTACGCAGGACCTCGGCAATCAATTGCTCACCGCGTCGAACACCGTCGACTCTAGGTCTTCCTCCACACAAACTCTCCACCCATCGCACGTCTTTGAATCGTCCCAGCGACCGTTGGCTCGACAGCTGAGATATCCTCGCCGGTCCAGGCGAATCCCCGGATACATGGCACCACGCTCTCCCACGCACGCATTTGACCCGACGCCCGCTCTCGAATACGACCCGTACAATTTCTCCCCTGTCAATCTCTCTGCTTCGATGGACGTTTCGAATAACAGCACCTTCAAAGGTGTCCGCTTTTCTGAAATGCCATCGGTCCTTCCCCAAGCCCGGCATTCCATAGCCACCACCACTGTTCCATTATTACGCCCCGTTTCCTCCGCGAGTCAGATCCCCAAACATGGTTTTCAGATGACAAATCCGACTGGCGAAGTCGACATTACCGCGTACATGGAACAGTGTAGAATGTTGAACAATCAATTGAGAGAGGCACACAACTGCGAACGAAGAACGTGGGACATAGAGCGGACTGCGCTCAAGGCTCGTATTTCTGAGCTAGAGAGACGGTTGGCGAGAAGTAGGGATTCCAAGAGGAGGTCGAGCAACGACTCTTCAGATGCAAGCCTACAGTCGTTCAAGGTAGATTTCAAGCCTCTGTCGGGTACGACCAATCGAGCTAGAGCCTCATCAGACTCAAGTGGAGGAGCACCTCCAGTCTGGCAAGGTCCCGAAGTGCTTCCTCCTGTAACAAGGGTATTCTCACATGAAGACACTGCCGGACATCTGCCGAGCATCTCAGAGAACGAACCATTCCCGCCACTGTCCAAGGAGATTTCTCCAACCACTCAGAAGGAGGTGGAGAATGTCCCGGTACCCGTCGAGAAGGTAGACAAGTCTCTCGACGGCATCACTCTGAAGTCGGCTGGTTTAGCTTCCACATTCGACACGGGAATCACCAGCCCACAGTTTGCTTCACCTGCTCATACACCCTCTCCACAACCAAAGAGAACCGCAGAAGGTCCGTTACAGATTGACGTTAGATCGTTGCTCTCGCCACTGGATGAGAAGCTGAAACGAAATGCCGGACACACTCCAATGGCTTTCGATGGAACTGTGTCTTCGGGCACTGACAGTACGACCAATTTAACTCCCAAACAAGAAAACCCCCTAGCACCAGCACCAACAAAAAGACCGACTCTTCGTCCTGCAGAAAATTCGGACTCGTACTTTTCTTTTACCTCAGCTGTTCCCAATCCAGTGGAGGAGGTCCCAGAAACACTTCCGCAAGAAGTTGAGCCTGAGCCACAACATGAACCTGAGGATGACCACAGTCTGAAAGGCCCGCTCATGCTTGACCCTGGTGCCAAGTCAGAGGCTGCAAATGTGTTTCTCGAAAAAGTCGATGCCATGCTCTCAGAAGAGGCAGCTGTGCGTTCGAGATATGAAACGGCTCTAGCCGACGACAATGACGACAAGAAACCCCTAGAATCGTCAAATAAGCCACCCACTCAAGAAACAGACGACGAACCCAGATTAAAAATCAAAAATAGCATGAACTTCGGCAGTGCCTGGGGTGGCGACATGCCTGGTCGCATATGATCTCCCCATGGACCTCATGGTGGTGTTGGAGTGTTCCCTTCGGGATGAAGCGGGATTCGTCTGGACTTTGTCCTCGGCCCCAGGCTTTATCAAAGATCTGCTTGTGAAATCTTTGGAGATTTTTTGTGAGGAAGTCATTGTGCTAATCCTTAAAGTCTTGTACGTCGCTTGAACTTTCATTCTTGCGCAACGGGCATTGCGATCTTGCCGCAGTTTTATATGGGTCAATCCAGAGTCATTCGTAGTTACGTTGGAAATATCCACGAGTTTACGAAAAGTCACTGAGAACCCGAAAGAGAGAACGGGGGTCCGCGCTTTCTTTCTACACAAGGCCAAGGAAGGGCACCAATCCATCTTTCATAGGTGTCTAGCTATTATATTCCGGTAGTAGATGTCTTGCCCTCGACCTATGATGGTACCCTCTTAATGAAAGAGTCAATTACCACTCACGTATAATGAATTCACGTTTCTTTACGACATTCAATATTTGCCACACATTCAAATTACACACGAGTCTCGAAGCCTCAAAACCCCCCTGCCAGGTACCCTACGCCGACGGGGGACCCCCAAACTCTGATGAACCAACCTGCGTGAATGGAAAAACTCCCAGGCCCGCAATTATGATCGTGGAGCAACAAAATGATCGAGGCAACTAGTCTCGAGAGCACGAACAGCAATGTTTGCAAGGCTGGGTCGCCCCTATTCTCAAGTGACATGTCGATCACGTGATGCTGCGAGATCGGACTGGGAACCTCAGGCGAAGACCAATCGGAGCTCACCTGTAGTAATTACGAGGAGAACGGCCAAAGAAATTTTTGAGTTATCGAACTTGGTAACGCCGCGGGCGAGGCTTCATGGCTTCATTTTCTGCTGTCAAGCGGGCGAACGACACTTAGAGACCTTGCTATGGTCGGGGTATAACTCTGTGGTTGCACATCACTTCCCGCGCAGTCTCGCGCCACGTCTGCTATTCGATTTCATGATGGTATGTCGTCGCAATTTTCCTCCGTTAGGTTTATCTGACCATCGAGTAGTATTCACCCCGGGGCACTCCTGTTGCAGCGCTGCGAGCAGCCTGTCTCACCAGCCAGACCAGATGGGCGCAGCTTCGGGGATTCCGCAAGACCACGAAGCGGGCCCAGGAAGTCTTCCATTCTCAACTCGAAGATCCGAACGCCTCTGCCGTCCTCTCCTCCATCAAGACATCCTCCAAAGTTCCCCAGACACTTACAGAAAAGATCGTTCAGCAATATGCTGTTGGCCTACCGAAAGATAAGTACGTCAAATCCGGCGACTACGTTACGATAGCGCCTCTCCATTGCATGACTCACGACAATTCGTGGCCGGTGGCGCTCAAGTTCATGTCAATTGGTGCTTCCAAGTTGAAAGACCCCAAGCAGATCGTCATGACTCTAGATCATGACGTTCAGAACACTTCAGAAAAGAACTTGACCAAGTATCGCCAAATCGAAGAGTTTGCAAAGAAACAGGGTGTGGACTTTTATCCCGCTGGCCGGGGTATCGGACACCAGATCATGGTCGAGGAAGGTTACGCCTGGCCTGGAACGATGGTGGTTGCCAGCGACAGCCACACCAATATGTATGGGGGAGTGGGTTGTCTCGGGACGCCTGTCGTTCGTACAGACGCCGCTAGCATCTGGGCGACCGGCCGTACGTGGTGGCAGATCCCTCCAGTGGCGAAAGTCACGTTTACAGGAACGTTGCCAAAGGGTGTCACAGGCAAAGACATTATCGTGGCACTATGTGGACTGTTCGACAAGGACGATGTTCTGAATCATGCCCTTGAGTTTGCCGGCTCGGAAGAAACTCTTAAAAGTCTCCCTATTGATGCTCGACTGACAATCGCAAACATGACCACCGAATGGGGAGCTCTGACAGGATTGTTCCCCATAGATTCGGTTCTCCAAGGCTGGTTGAGGGCGAAAGCTACCATGTCTGCTTTGGATACCTCCGAAGGCCGTGCTGGAAATCCGCGCTTCTTGCACTCGAGACTCGACCAGCTGTTTGAGAATCAGCTTACGGCTGACAAGGGTGCTCGTTACGCGAAATCACTCTATCTCGACCTAAATACCCTATCCCCCTACGTGTCTGGGCCCAATTCAGTGAAGGTAGCCACACCACTCAACGTCTTGGAAGACCAGAACATCAAGGTCGACAAAGCATACCTCGTATCTTGCACAAATTCACGAGCTTCCGACCTGGCGGCGGCCGCCAAGGTTTTCAAAGACGCCGCGGAAAAGAATGGGGGCAAGGTACCCAAGGTTGCGGAAGGGGTGGAGTTCTATATCGCGGCGGCGTCGCTCCCCGAACAGAAAATCGCCGAGGATGCTGGCGATTGGCAGACTCTTCTTGATGCTGGTGCAATTTCACTCGACCCAGGCTGTGCGATGTGTATCGGTCTAGGACGCGGCCTTCTCGAGCCCGGCGAGGTCGGTATCAGTGCCTCGAATCGCAACTTCAAAGGCCGTATGGGCAGCACCGATGCCAAGGCATACCTGGCCAGTCCCGAAGTTGTCGCAGCTAGCGCTTTGTCCGGCAAGCTGAGCGGTCCAGGTTGGTACGAACGACCAGAAAGCTGGACTGGCGTGGCCAGAGGCGAAGGTGATGGGATCAAAGAGGAGGATCGAATGATCACAGCGGATGAGGCCTTCCAAAAAATCATTGACCAGCTGGATAACATGATCGAAGCTGGTGAACAGAATTTCGGCAGCGAGCAAAGCACCGACGTCACGCCAGGTTCGACGGAGGTCTATCCTGGGTTTCCTGAACGTGTCGAAGGAGAGATTGTCTTTTGCGACGCTGACAATATCAATACCGACGGCATCTACCCGGGCAAATACACGTACCAGGACAATGTTCCCGTCGAGAAGATGGCCGAGGTCTGCATGGAAAACTATGACCCTAAATTCTCGTCTCTGGCAAAACCTGGTGACATCCTGGTTTCGGGTTTCAACTTTGGCTGTGGCAGTTCTCGTGAGCAAGCTGCCACGGCGATATTGGCCAAGAAAATCCCTCTGGTGGTCGCCGGGAGCTTTGGCAATATATTTTCTCGAAACAGCATCAACAACGCTCTGATGGGCTTGGAGGTGCCGAGGTTGGTCTCCAGGCTGCGTGAAACATTCTCAGATCTCCCAGAGCCCCAATCAGGCTCAGAGATCACTGAGCCGACTGGCAACAAAGAGAATCAACAGAGCCTAGATACTCCTCCGCCGAATCCCCCGACGCCTCGTGAGAAGCAATTGAGTCGTCGGACCGGCTGGACTCTGGTTTGGGACGTGAAGAAATCTCAAATCGAAGTCACTGAAGGCCCAGGGGGGAAGAAGTGGACGGAGAAGGTCGGCGAACTACCTCCCAACGTCCAAGAAATCATTGCCAAAGGTGGCCTTGAGAAGTGGGTGCAGAACGAGATTGCTGAAGTCTAGATGTACGTTCAGTTGGTGATGTCTGCGGACAAGGCAGCACACGTGAACGAGAGGAATTTCAATGAAGTATGGCACGACAGAGGCCGACGAAGTCTGGGGATGTTGGATCTGTCGAGAGAGGTGTCATATACCTGGCAATTTGTACACTTGGGTACAGGTTGCGGTCATGGTTCGCATTTTGTCCTCATGACGCACACTGATGGGATTTGGGAATGCCTCTCCAGTGACGGAGGAACAAGCAGATGTATCATACAGGCGGAAGATCAACAGCTCAAGCGACGGTGCCATATATTAAATCTACTCTTCACTGCCCTGCTTTAGCCGGATAATGAGAAGAATAGCATGTGCAATATTGGAAAATACCATCAAGACTTGAGTCTGGGACGACATGGGGAAATGTACATTGTAGATGTGGAATCGGGTGTCTTCATGCCAGAGATGGCGCTAACGACGCAGGGGTTTTCGTGGTGTGGTGTGGTATGGTTTAATGTTCGCCCAGCAGACTCTTCAAGTCGCCTCGCCTGGCTCAGTCGCATCGCGCAGTGGCGACCCTGAGCATGGGCGTCGCAAGAGGCGCGAGACGCCCGTAGCGGTGCGAGGACCTAAACTGTATAATTAGGTACAACGAGTATGGAGTACCCGGGTACATGTACCCAGGACGAGTACCTGTGCGTTTCAGTGTTGAGGCTGTGCCGGCGCGTCACCCTTCTTAGATTGGCTGTAGCCTGTAGTGCATCAAAAATAGCTTCTTTTTGTCTTTCTCTAGACTTCCCGAATAGGTTTTCGGCTAATGTTGAAGACACCCCGTTTTGTGGCCTATTAGTCTTCTTGTGGTAGTGTTATTGTGCTGCGGTGCTGTAGAGTTGCCCCCAAGGTGAGGCCAATGTTTGCACCCTAAACCCCTCAGTGCTCATCCACCTCAACCTCACCTCACCTCACCTCACCTCATCTCATCGAGTCACTGCCATCACATGCTCTGTGTCTCACCAGTTCAACCTACTCACGACCTATTCTGAGCAAGCCGTCTCTGGCAAATTCTTGCACCGTGCTGCTCTAAAGCCAAAAAAATTCCCCGGCCCGTTGTTCCAGGCAACTTGACACACCCAATTCGGCCGGCTCCTCTAGCTTTGGCTCCTGACACACACAGGTCTGACCCCTGAAGTGTCTGCAACCACAAAACTCTACCTCGCGAGTGAGGCTGTTGACGGCCTGGCGCGACAAACACCACCTCAGATCCACCCCTGGACTCTATAACATGGCCAACCGCCCACCTTTCACCATGGCGGCCACCGAAGGGATTTTGGAAAAACGGCCTCTGCTTTCTCACCCCAGTCACCCGAGTCAGGGCTTTGGAACACACTCCTTGCACTCAAAAGAGTCAGTCGCGCCATATACGTTCTCTACTGGGCCTCGACGGCATTCTATTCTTTCCTTACGCACCAAGATTATTATACTCACCATGGTTGCCATACCGGCCTACTTGTTGGCCTCGTCGGCCGTCAGTTCATTGGGTCCGTTGTGGCCTCGCGACACCGTGATCCGGTCTCCTGACCCGGCAACACAACCGCAATCTACCAGCGCACAGATGGATCCCGCGTCGTCAGGTCCGTTCGCATCAGTCAAGGGACCCCTGGTCTCGTCGAACTTTGCAGATCCCGCAATCATTGTCGTCGACGGCGTGTCGTACGCGTTTGCGACCAACAACAGAGGTGTCGGGACGGACATGGTACATGTTCAAGTAGCCACGTCGTACGACAATCAGACGTGGACGCTGCTAGACGCTCACGATGCGCTGCCCAGTGTAGGCGCGTGGGAGACGGGTGCCCGCGTGTGGGCACCAGACGTCGTCCGAGTGGTAAGCCGCAGCTGGGCCATCTCCTCTCGTCCCCCGTCTAACGTACCTCGCACGTCCGCATACTGACTTTGTATATCCAGGACGACGGTTCTTTCGTACTGTACTACACCGACGAAGTGACGTGGAGCCCTGCGCATCACTGCGTCGGAGCGGCGGTGTCCAAGAACGTCCTGGGGCCCTACACCCCGCAGGCCCAGCCGTTCGCGTGTCCGGACGTCACGACCCTCGGCGGCGCCATCGACCCGGACGGGTTCCTGGACCTGTCCACGAACAAGCGCTACGTGGTGTACAAGGTCGACGGCAATTCGATCGGTCACGGCGGCACGTGCGGCAACACAGTCGAGCCCATCGTGCCCACGCCGCTCATGCTCCAGGAAGTCGGGCCCGACGGAATCTCGCACATCGGCGACCCCGTGACCCTCCTCGACCGGGACGTCTACGACGGCCCGCTGATCGAGGCGCCCACGCTCCACCGGTCCGCCGAGGGCATCTACTTTCTCTTCTACAGCAGCAACTGCTTCACGACGCCCAAGTACGACGTCGCGTACGCGACCGCCACCAACATCTACGGCCCGTACACGCGGGCCAGCAGACCCCTCCTCGTCACCAGCGACGCTGACCTCGTCGGCCCTGGCGGCCTCGACATCGTCTTCGGAGGCGACATGGTCGTCTTCCACGGACACATGACCATCAACAACGACCCGGCCGAGCTGAAGAAGGCTCAGGCAATTTCGGCGTCGACGGGAACCCCCGTCAAGGATGTCAATCTGCCTCTGATACGAGGCATGTGGTCTGCTACCTTGACCTTTTCCGGGACGGACATCAGTCTCGCGTGATCCCGCAGCATCTTCTTGTTCTTTTGTTTTGCGATCTTTTTATTTGTGTTGTGCAGCGTTCGAGCGGTTTTCACCGGCATTCTGCTGCTATCTGGGGAAGGAAATGTCTTCGATCTCTCTCCCTCCCTGCAGCCAAGCAGATCCTCAGTTCTACCTCCCCAAAAGTTGGTCATGTGTGATGATTTAGAGATGACAATATCCATATACTGTAAAACTAGTTAGAAATCCGACACCTATTCCTCGACCTATACCTATCGAACTTTACCCCGGTGCATTTCCATTGGTCTGCACTTTGCAACTCCGGCGTGATTTAGTCAGCAGGCCTCTGTGGGTATTCGTAAAGTGATCTACACAGATAAGCAAGCGGTGCTGGACATCGCGGGATGAGCACGGCACAACAAGTACCCAGTCAGTCCCTTTTGATAGGCAATTGCACTCGCATTCGCAATAATTACTGCCGTACTATTGCCTCTTGCGCGAACGAGGAATGATAAAGCGCGAGGCTGCGTGCTCAAGGGCGCCTACCTCCGTGCCCCACTGCCTCCAGATCGTCCTTTACTTCTATGACCACCGCAACCCTCCCCCCACTTCTGAGGATTGATCAGAGCAGTCATTCTGGTTGTTACGTGTTGTCGGTCGTAATACAGTCTTTGCAATATACTTCGCGTTGACCCAATGTCTGTAGTCGAGACCCAGACGGAGGCCCAGAGCCCCCTCGTCATCAGGCTCCAGAATGGCCAGACACTCCATGTCGAATCGAACGAGGCGGTTGACGCTGACGAGATACCCATCATCGATGTAGCAGGAATATATAGTGATAAGCTGGAAGACCGACAGGCTGTGGCAGACCAAGTCCGGGAAGCTGCGCATCGCATTGGCTTCTTCTATGTCGTCAACCACGTACGTATACACATACCTGATGCGGCCTGGATCATCTTGATGACATGGTTTGAAAAAGGGCTTTGACCATACCCTTACAGAGGGAGTATTTGAGCAAGCCAGGCGCTTCTTTTCACTGCCAATGGAGAAGAAGATGGAAGTCGACACAAACCTTCTCCCGAACGAGTACCTGGGCTATCATTCCATGGCAAGTTATAACAGGAATGGACGAAAGCACAACGGTAAGGCCATGGCTTCACACATGCAAACAGATTGGAATTTCTTCTTCAACGAAATGGAGCGCTGACGATTGCACACCCAAAAGACCTTAGCGAAGCATTCAACCTCGCTTACGCCTCCGACCAGGACCCGGAAAACCCTGACAATGATCGGGGAAGTTCCATCTGGCCGACCGACCTTCCCGGATTTCGAGAAGGACTGTACGCTTACCATACACCGATGCTTCAGTTCGCGCGCAAGATGGCCCAGATTTTCGCTCTCGCGTTACACCTACCAGAGAACTATTTCGATAAGTGGACGAGACTGCCCGAGGCCGGGCTTCGGATCATCCACTATCCAGAACAAGAGGCGTCTGTGGATGACCAGAACGGTATTGGCGCACACACTGATTTCGAATGCTTCACGATCGTGAACCAGGACATGTCTGGAGGACTGGAAGTGTTGGGCAAGTCCGGACGATGGATCCGCGCAAAGCCCGTCCCCGGTTCATTCGTAGTCAATATCGCCGACTGTTTCATGAGGCAGACAAACGACTACTTTGTCTCGACTGTCCATCGGGTCATCAATAAATCTGGAAGAGAGAGGTACTCGATCCCGTTCTTTTTCGGCATGGACAGGGACATGGTGATGGAGCCAATTCCTTCCTGCATCTCGGAGGAAAACCCGGCAAAGTATCCCGTAATCACGGCTGGGGAGTACTATCTCTGGCGCGCGAAGAAGGCGAAGCAGGCTGACGATACGGATTAGGCGCGAGTGTGTTTGATGTGTATTGATGATTTTCGAGGAGTGAAGTTAGTTGCGTTGTTGTCCTGTTTGTCGCGCCGTGGAAGTTGAAAGGATAGAATATCGTCTGACAATTGTTTACACTCATTTGATGGCAGACGCTGGTGCAGTTGACAGTCAGACAGAATATAGACAGACACTCAGTAGCGGGTCTTGGGAAAGCTTATTTGCCGCGTCGTCGCTTCTGCTTTTTTGACCTCTTAGAGCACTCATACGTGAGATGTAGGCCACAACTCAGCGAACAGAGCGTTCCTATGACAGACACAGCTTGTTCTTCAGATTTGAGGAAAGTCGTAAAAAGCCAAGGTTCATCTTCGCCTCCTTCTCCAAGATGACAACGGAGCGCTTGTATCGAAGTCCTCCGGCCCCGGGCACCGAAACCATCACCAATGCTTCAGCAACGAGGCCCACCGTAGCCGCCCCGATAAGATTGCGGTGACTGGGATGGTGAGGTGATATTGACACCTTTCCTCAACATGGAACTCTGGAAACGCTGAGCTGAAGATGGTGCTGGAACCGAGTGAGTGGACATCGTGGACGAAACGACGCATTGTCGTCGCTCAAATATGGCAATTGAGATGAACTGGGCTTTATTTGCACCAAGGCCAGATTTGAGGTCGGGACGATGTCAGCTTCATCCACGCATTCTTTCGTCCCCAGAACATTTGAGTGACCAAGCAAGTCCCGCTTGAAGATGGCCTGAGATGGATCTCCTTCACTTCAATGCCCTACTAAAGCATGGCGGTAAGTCGACGTGACAAGTTCTCTCCTCGTTCTCAAATTCATCCACAGAACCATCAACTTTTCCATCGTCCGCTGGCTCAGCATTCTGCGCTCATTTCTCATCAGTGTTGCTGGACACTTTCGCTGGCACTGCTGGATCACTCTTCGCGGAACCGGGCCTCATTGCTCCCAAGTCGGGTCTCACTCCTCTCTCCCCTGACCGAGCCAGATGTCACTTCAAGCTCAGTTACGCTACAGAGTTACCTGAAAGTGAGCTCGGAGACGCAAGCGCCGTGAGAGGTCAAATTACCTCTCAACTTTGCTTTCAGACCCTGGTTCACTTTGTTCAATCACCGACAAGAATCCTTCACATCCAGAAAGCCATTCACCAGCAGAACGTGCCCGGCAAATCCCTCACCGCACTGTTGTTCTCCTGTCCTGGTCACTTCGGCTCTTCAAGAATCGCCTATCTCGAGTTCAATAAGAGCGCTGTTCGCAGAACGGTACTCGGTTCAGCCATGTCTGCTTGCAGGTAAAGAAATGATCCAAGGGATAGTATGCAGGGCAGCGCTAACAGATATCAGCCTGGCTATGAGATCCCGTAAGCGGGTCGGGCCTGTCCAAACGAAAGCTCAAGACCAAGACCAAGAGCAGACTGGGAAGATCCTCGCGGAACTATTGCGCAAGCATTCTTCGTCTCCTCCCAGCTCTGTCAAACTTAAATTCAAGGATTTCCGTCACTATATGGCAACAGTTGCAGTAGCCGAACACAAATTACAGGAACAAATCAGACAGGCAGAGACCAAGGTCATCGAATCATGCAGCCTCAAGCTGATGAAGCTCGAAAATGGTAATGATCAAGAATTCAATGCCTTCTTCCGTACGCCTCCAGGGTACCAAGGCAAGTTCCAGGCCGGCGATAAGGCACGCGTTTCTCTTTGCCTGCCGGGTGGACTGGACGAAGGTTGGGTTATGCGAGTCATCGAACCGCCTCATTTTGCTAGGGCTGGTGAAATTACGGCAGTGCTCTCTCCAGGGAGGGCATGGTCTGGCAATGATCAGATCAAAATCATCACGCCTCCTGGACCACATGTCACAGGCGGCAGAGCACTCCGCTGGATCCTCGAGCAGAAAGGGAATCCGGCTGTGATTATACCAGAGTTTCGCCACAGCCTCTGGTATTACATCACAGGAGCTTCAGAGGCACTATTTGAGCGTTCTCGGAAGCCGAATCAGGATCCGTCAGAAAGAGCAGTCCTCGACTTCTTGGTTGGCAATTTCGAAAACCTGCCAAAATGGAACATCTACTCACCACTCCACGACAAGTCCCTTGCGACACCAACACTTATGAATCTCAACGATGGTCAAAAACAGGCAATCGAGATGGCGAAGAATGCCCCAGGCGGGTTTTTGATCTGCCACGGCGGCCCAGGCACCGGGAAGACGCACTTCATCGTCGAGGCAGTCACTCCCTTCCTCAATGACTCGGCCAAAGAGCACAAATTACTTCTAACTGCAGCAACCAATCGTGGAGTGGACTCAATGGCGTCTGAGCTTTCTGACCGGTTGAGGCTACTATCCAAGGATGACCCTTCACTGGCAAGCCGCTATATCCTCCGTGTGCACAGCTACAAAACTGAGAAGGCCATTGTGATGAGACATGCAGAAAAGTCGCGTCGGCAAAATTTGAGCAAGAAACCTGCCAGCTCTGCTAAGCCCACTGCAGGTCAGGCTTCAGAACGCACAGATCCACCAGGCTCAATCACGGCACACTGCACTACATTTTCGTCCAGCAAGTTCGAGCTGATTGACGATCACAGAGTCCAAAATATCAATCTGTCCGTTGGCCACAAAGTCTTGGAGCTACACGACCTAATTAGCTCCACGTCCACGCCCGAGCCTGATTTTTCAAGCAGTTCCGGCAGAAACGACAAGTTTGTCAGACTTTACACCCGATATAGTAGGGGTGAGTGGTTCCCATCCGATGTCAATGCAAAGTTAGAAGAGGCGCTCGATGAAGTCTTGGGTGCAGTAGTCCAGGGCGCCACAGCGTTATGCGCAACAGTTGGAGGCGCTGCTGAGTACAATATCTCGAGACACTATTCCAATGCCGAGCTCATCGTCATGGACGAAGCAGCTCGCATGCCAGAATTCGAAACCTGGCCGCTCTTTGCCTTTTACCCGAAAGCTGTTGGTAAAATCATGGTTGGCGATCCTGATCAACTTGGGCCTCACATTGACGAGTTTGAGGAGCTTGAGCCGTACCATGAGCAATTGAGTATGTCTTTGCAAGAGCGGTGCCAAAAAGCAGGGTTTGAATCCGCTTTCTTTACGGTGCAGTACCGGGCTACACCTCAGATTGCAGACATATATAATGGAGCATGTTACGAGAACCGCCTCTCACACGACGAAACCACAAGTATCGACCATCCGAAGCGGATTTTAGCCGATGCGGTGAAAAGGCACAATGAGCAGACGTATGGATGCGACAATTCTGTTGTCTTCTTTGATACCCCGTCCGCGGAAGACACCCAAGCCTACGGAACATCCAAAGCCTGCGAGCAGTACGCGGCCCGCGTCATCAATGTGCTCGAGAATCTCCTCTCAGCCGGTTTCGGAAGCGATGCCAACCCATGCACAATCGCGATTCTGACTCCTTATACTGGTCAGTTCAAAGTACTCAGCTTAGCCAAAGACAACATGCAGAAGAGGTACCCTGCAGTCCAGAATGTGATCATCGAGACCATTGGCAAATGTCAAGGCATGCAATATGACATCGTTATTGCAGACCCGGTGCTTGTGGGTGCAATACCAAGATTCCTCACAAAAAATCGATTGAATGTGTTACTCTCCCGTGCAAGACACGGATTGTACGTTGTTGGAAATTACAACAAGTGGATTAGCATGAAGTGGGTGGAAGCTGGCCCTCTCAAGGCTTTTGCGAAGGAATTGTGGCAGTATCGCGCCCCTGCGACTGTCCCAGTGCCTAAGCGATCGCCGTTCATCGATTCTGGGGTATTCTGGACTAGAGACGACGACTAGCAGCTGAACACGAGCCGTTCGGGTCAGTCGGTAGTCAAAGCACGAGGTATTGCAGCTCTTGGGGAATTACACATTCAGCTTTGGACATGGACGGAATTTGGTGAAGAAAAAGCTGGAAAGCTCCCTTGATATGCTACAGGTTGGTCTTGAACTCGGCCGAGTTGGGCAGCTGAAGTGCATATGAGCAGTATCTCTCCCGTGATCCTATTTCCACCAAGGAACAGATCATTGCATTGCACAAGTTGCACAAGCTGATTGCTTGATAGGTTCTGGTGTCTTCTGACTCTGTCATGCAAGGCTGGAGCGTCTTCGATGATTAAGTGGACAGAACAATTGAACCGGGTTCTCGAACCGCACACTCTCATCGCGGTAGTCACCATAAGCTTACTCTCTTCACTCATTCAACTAAGTAGCTGCCTCGTAGGATGATGACTCGTCTACCGCTACCGTGTCCGTGTCCGTGTCCGACCGTGTGTCGTCCCTCGAGTGACATCTCCGCACACATTTCCTCATCCCCGGCTGAATCTCAGACGAATTTAGCCGAGTCTCCGGAGACACGTAGTAGGACGACATGCACAGTCAACGGTCGATTAAGCTACCTTGGATCACTGGATGCACACGCGTAGGTATTGACCTCCTGCAGCCAATACCACAAAGCTCGCCTGCTGTCATGATGCATACTTCAAAATGGTCGGGGTACCGAGACGGGAAGGCTGCCTTCAGAACGAGGCAGCAGGGACTTCATATCCTCTCTGTGGTGAATGCTCAACAGCACCGGTAACGACAACCACGACAACATGAATCCTATCAAAGTTGGAATCATAGGCTACGGCTTCTCGAGCAAATGCTTTCATCTGCCATTCATCCTAGCCCTACCTGACCGATTCGAGGTCACCGCATTCTTTCAGCGCGCGGAAGCTCCCAAGGACCCCAAGGCCGCAGAGCCAGGCTCCCATTGCACCGTCGACCACCCTGACGCGAAGCACTACCGAACAGCAGACGACTTCTTCGCCGACCCTGATGTCGAAGTTGTGATTGTCTGCAGCAGAACAGACACGCACGCCGAATATGCCGAGAAGGCTCTCCTGGCGGGAAAACATGGTGACTAAACTACCTGCCCTGACCTGACCCGTTTCGTGTTTGTTTTTTCTGGGTTTGATATCTTTCTTGTACTTGTACGCAGCAACGGGATCAAGGTTTGTTCACTGACGCCGGTGGGTTTTCTTTTTATCAGCCGTCGTCGAGAAACCGTTCACCAGAACGACAGAAGAAGCAGATCGAATCATCTCTGTCGCGCGAGAAAGGGGCTTGATATTGACCGTCTTTCAGAATAGGAGATGGGTATGTGGCCGCAAACTTTCCTCGCTGTATATACGGCACATCTGCACCATCGACATTCTGTCTTGGTAAGTCCAGAGGCTAATCTGTACCTCCTGGTCAGGACTCGGACTTTTTGACGCTCAAGCACCTCATCCAAAACGACGCATTGGGAGATATCAAGGAGCTAGAGATTCACTTCGACGTCGATTTCCCTTTCTGGATGCGCAATATGAATAAGAGAGAATACACGCCTGGAGATGGTATGATGTTTGGTCTAGGTTCGTGTCTCTTTTCTTCCCTTTTCTGTTCTCCCTACCTCCCTGCCCCGCCTCGCTCTCTCGCTCCCTCTTCACCCGTCAGCGTTGGTCGGCTCTGGTCAGGTCAGGTCGGGGTCTGCATTCTGACACACGACGTCAAAATAAAAGGAAGCCACACTCTCGACCAGGCTCAAGTCCTCTTCGGCCGACCAGCGTCCGTGACATGTTTCCTTCGCGTGCTTCGTGGCGTCGAGAGCGAAGTCGACGATTCCTTCACCGCGATTCTCCAGTACGGTCCGCCGCACCAGGACCTCCTGGTGACGGTCAAGACGAACATCGCGTCCTGCATGAAAGAGCAATTAAAGTATTTCGTCCGCGGGACCAAGGGGTCTTATGTCAAGGTGTGTCTTGATCGTCCAATCCTCATTTCCCTCCCCGGACACCCCCCCTTCCTCTCCACTTCTAGCATTGCCCCTTTTCCCCGTCCCGGTAGCTTCCCGCCACCACCATCACCATCACATATCGGGTGACCTAGCGCCGACGACCTGCCATCAATGGCTAACATGCACCTCCTCCTTCGTCCCTCTTCCTCCTCAGCACGGAACATGTATCCAAGAACGACAAATCTTCGACTCTCTGTCGCCTCGAGATCCAAAGTTCGGGGTGGAACCGGTCGGTCTCCACGGCACACTCACCACCACTTCGACGTGTTTCGACGGGTCGTCGCAGACCCCCGGCGTCATCCAAGGAGAAGACCCGGCTTCGACAAGACAATACGTGGGTCGGTACCCTACGCTCCCGGGCCACTGGTTGGGGTTCTACGAGAACCTGGCCGACGCGGTGCAAGGCACGGCCGAGATCGCCGTCGAGCCTGGGACTTCCCGGGACGTAATCAGGACGATCGAGCTGGGGAGGATGAGCCACGGTCAGGCGCGGACCGTGCCTTGGTCTTGATGGTGATGATGATGCCACCAGGGGAGAGTGCCTCCGTCCGGGACACTCACGGGACGCAGGGAAGGGACGGATTGATTGAACGACGAGAGGGGGTTTATCTCCTATTGCGTTCACGCCCCTGCGTTAGGGGACCTGTGAACGACCTTCCTATTCGATAAATGGCATATGCGCGGCAAAAGGACAGGGTATCCATCCATCCATCTAGTTGTATTGATACGGATACTCACAAAACACTTTGACCGTCACAAGATACCCAAGATACCTCGAGGTAGGTAGGTACCTAGGTACTTGGTACACTTGCTGGCCATCATCTGTGATTGTATCCCAACAAAAGGTCACTGTACCCGCTACTCGTACTAGCTTCTACCTGGCTCGCTCGGCCGTACTCGTTCCTTACTGTAGCCAGCCGACATTTCCCTTTTGAGGCTCTTGACCCGTTGATTTGACATTGACCTCCGACATCCCTTGTCATCATCGTCCGCCAGCTCAAAAAGACACCAACCAACTAGATCAATCCCCATTCCCCAAATCCGAAACGACCCAAGACTCCCCTGAGCCGAAGCGATGTGTATATATATATGAAAAAAAGGATTCACAAGTGCAAATTGCCAATTACTCGCATGACCTCGACCCAAGAAGCCCAAAAAAATCCATAGTCCAAGAGTGTCCTTACTTTCCATTCCACCCCCAATCAACATTCCCAGCGGTTTTCGAAAAAAGAAAAAAAAAACGTCAAAGCCCAACAACGCCATGCTTTGCAGAGTCCATGTCATAGCAGCCAAAACTTTCAGCCCAATTTGCCATGCTCGCTCAAGCAACAGACCATCCACTAGAAGCCCATCCTGAGTAGGGACGGCCATCGCACTCCGTGTTTTTCTTTTTGCATCAGACCGTTGCCTTTGTCATTTGCCAGCCCAGAAACAATATGCCATGCTGTGCAGACTTCCGCTTTCGATTCCCTCCAACCCCCGAGAAACAACGAATGAACAACAAACCCGAAAATTCCACACAACTTCGACATAAATGGCCCATTCCTACTCCTTTTGAAACCCCCCACGATATCTTCCCAGAATCGTCGTCGATAGCGGTTGCAAAATAAATGGACTCGTATATCCACAACTTGTTGGCTCCGACGCGCAGAGAACAAGACAGGTTCCCTTGCCATCCGCACACCCACACCACAACACGCGCTATGCAGAAAGCACCCCAACGACACCATCATGCCATAACAAAACACACTCGCACACATGATTCACTCTATCCGCACAATTAGGCCCCGTACACCGAAGATGCCAACACAGCTCCGTATCTACAGATCATAACATCTTCCTGGTCATGTCGTCGTAAAAAGTCATTTAACCCCAGACGGACGTGGTTCCGATCTTGTTGGAGCCCCAGACACCACTTCCTGTGCCCCAGGCTCCCATGCCGGAGTTGCCGGATTCCTTCTGATTGTTGGCGTTCGAGCTGGCTGATGCTGATCGATCGGCGTTCTGTTCGTTGGGCGAGAATCCATAGCCGAGAGAAGAGGGGAGAGGGGATGTCGTGCGCTTGTTGAGAGGTTGATTCGGTCCTTGTTGACCACCTGGCCGGCTCCCGATGGGACCCATCCCTCCTCCTGTAACGGGTGCAGTGGTAGATTTGGAAATGGTCCGAGAGTGAGAGCTTTCTTCTCCCGAAGGCGGCGTGGGTACTTTGCCTGATGATGAAATCGCCGCATCCAGTCCTCCAAAACCAGCGGACGGCTGACCGACTGGGGAGGCTGCTTTATCGCCGCGCGACATATCAGTGGGTTGAGAAACACCGTCACCTTGAGTGCCTTGCCCTCCCATACCGAAAGGATCGGCCCCTCTTGGCGACTGTCCACGCACCGCTCCAGGGGTAGTATCGGAGCTCGGACCACCCTGGTTCTCACCAAACGGGACTTGTCCCACGAAACTTGAGCCTTCGCCACCATAAAGTGCACGATGTTGGCGTGCAATTAGTTCGCGTCGGCCTTCCTCGCTCAAAGTACTCGGACTCATTGAGCGATCAGATTTATTGGATGACATCTCTGCCAATACGCCTGTCCAAGGGTGAGTCGGATGTAGGGGCCTCTTGTCCGTCATTGTGCTTACTTCTATTGTACTGCTGCTCTTGGTGGTAGTTGCGAAGTTCCCTTTCTCTTTGCGCGGCCATCCGTCTTTTCGCCTGCATCATTTGATCGCCATCGTTATGGCGACCCTGGTGTCTTTGGGAAGCGTAATAATTCTGGAGGTTGGCGCCGGGGTGAGGACGAGAAGGGTCGAAGTCGCCCACGGAAGGACGATTACCGTGGCCGCGGTGACTTCCTAATGAACGTCGTCAGCAAGCCGTTCTTAGAAGTCTCCTGCGCTAAAACACATACCAAACTCACCACCATAGCGTGCGTTGGATCCAGCGGGGCTAGGTCGAGCCATGCCAGCGTAGAATTTCCCACTCTTGACAAGATTATCCATAGCTCGGTCTACCTCTGTGCCTCGGGTCAGAAGATGTCTCGACGCGAACAATGCATGATTATACCTTCAAACTGGGTGGCAAAGGCATTGCTATCCTCGTGTTGTGATGCAGAACTTGCAGCTTCTGAGTTCCGTCAGTATCTTCCGGCATGTTTTTGGCCTCATATTTCACTAACCCGACCTCGATGGCGGCGGAGGTTGCTCCCAGGAAGCTTGCCGGACGGGCGCCTGCCATCCTTGTGGCTCGTAGAACGACATGGTTCGCAAAAGGTATATTATGGGTTTGTTGGCCGCAAACGAGGGGGGCAACTTGTGGTATAAGGTTCCGGTTGGGAAGAGCGCAATTGGCGTCACAAATATTGAAAGAAGTAAGCTATCAGACAACCAATGAGTCTTATTGCGCCTTCAAAGGTCGTAACAAAGGATATGGTACGCGACTGGCTAGATGTCTGGTACGAGCAGAGAGAGATACACAAGTGGAATGGGAGAGGGGGTGGAAACATGTGGTGTATTGTCTTGGATGATTTTTGGTGCCGAAAGCTAGGTGGGGAGAGAAGTCATATTTTTCGAGGGATCGGCTGTATTCGAGCCAATGATGGAGACGGCGGGATCGGTCGAATTGCCCGAGGCACGACGGGGAAATGAGGAACGAAGAATAAGGTGTCCGTATCGACCGAAGACTTACTGTACGAAGGGGGGGAAGTCCGAAGAGGAACTCGACAAACAGGGCTTCGTAGGATGCGCAGAACTCGAAGACAAAGGGCCAACCTAGGCGACACGGAGAAAGGGAGGGAGCGACGGGGAGGAGAACGAGAGGGAGTCGAGATGAAGGTAATCGAGGTGCGTGAGAGGAGGTGAGAAAAAAAAAGTTAGGATGCGGCCTCGATTGGTTGGTTGGTGGAGAACAGCGTGGTGGGAGAGAAGGAAATTCGAAGGTGGAAGTGGAGGGTCCCGGTCTGATGGACTCACTCATCCCTCCGTTATCCGTATGGATACAATTCTTCAATATGTACTGTACCGTGTGTATGCACGCTGTTGGCTATGTGATTCACTGTCCAGTGCTAGAGCACTCGCTACTCGTATCCATCCTCCAAACCTCCAGCTGCTAAACAACCCTGGGGCTCACAGACCACCGGCGCGATACCCCTCCATACTCCATGTTCGTCGTGCTTAGCTTTGCCTCCTCCTCCACTCCATCCATTGCCACGAATGAGTCGCCGGAGCAATTAAAGACGGGTGAGTCTGTAAGATGTTGTGCGTTCGGCCATTACTTCAGGCCGTCTCATGCCCAACACATTGCGCAATGCCACTCTGTAGGCACTGTGACATTGGATGCGAAGACCAATACAGTACAAGCGGGACATACATGGGCCTAAAGAATGCCCGGTTGCAGTAGACAAGGCCAAGCGGCGTCGCTAGGCAAGAGACTGTCGAGTCGTCTCAAACTTGGGTTCTTCGACTCTGCCGGCTATGCTGTCAGCCGGGCTGGCATTGGAGGACAGAATAACCTACCCTGGTGAACCTGAGATGCCCAACATCCATTGGGGAGGGTTGGGTCAACGCATGCCGTGCCCTTGGTGAGGCTCAAAATCAATGCCTGAGCTCCTGTAAGGCGAAGGAAAACAGGGAAAAATGGCTTGCCAGGATGCGCGCGCCTCTAGCCGGCCTGCCGTCTTGCCAACTGCTACCCGGATGTTTCCACGACCTAGAGGAGCTTAGACAACACCATTTCTCCTCGAACACACTTGTGTAGGCCTTCGCTAGACCATTCGCCGCGTGTTCGGAGGTGGGGAGAAGCGCCCACACTGGCCTCTTGTTCAAATTTCCTAATTTGAGCTCGACTCCGAGTCGATCGTATTGTATGCAACCTACCGGTGCCCTACGTGTCGGGTCATGCATGGTTGACACTTTCGAGAACGCGGCTACGGAGGAAGTACCATGTTGCTGATTGCATGGCTGATGAGGTGCCGGTACAAGTACTCGTGACTGCGACTGTCGACCCCAAGCCTGATTTAAGGGGTTCGTCGGCCTTGAAGTGGTTACGAATTTCTTTTACGAGTGCACAGTATGGCGAATCTCCAATCGCCTACGCAAATTGAGGCGCGCACATCCAAGGCCACTTCTTCCGCGCCGCTGTACTCGAGCTGTCTCTGCCTACTGTACCTCGATGCCACGCGAATTGGCATCACAAGCACACACAGCTTACAAAATTGTGGCGATGGTGATACGGGATTTGTGATGTAGCTGCAGGGCGACTATGATGAGGCAATCAAGCCAATGTCAATCCAGGGCCACACACCAGCTCGTCGCCTTTTGCGTCAGACGCTGTGCAGGGGCGACCGGGGCTGCACCGGAAAACAGTGGGCTGACGCTGGGCAATCTTACAGGGCCTGAACTTGATTTTGCTCTCCGTCCAATGACATTATGGCTCTGCTCGTGGCCGTGGCCTCGGCCTGATGCACTGGCGTTTTGCTTCGACTGCACTTTTATTCTCGTCTGTGTGAGGGGCATTCGCAGTGAATGCAACGATCCCATGAGGCGGGCGTTGCGTGGAGCTTGGGATCTTTGAAGGTAATACTGCAATATATCCTCGCTAGAACGACTGGATTGATCTAGCAAAGCAAATCACGATGACCAAAATAGCCACGACCCTCCTTCGTGAGTTGTGAGGCGCATCTCGCAATGGGAACCGAATCTTCATTCATGGCACCCGATTGCGAGACTTCCTATTCCTGTTCTAGTTCTGCTGAGTACGAAGTAACGCCCAAAGGCTTTTCCTGGGCTTAGTAAGTGTGCCTCGTATATACGGACTGATGAATATAGGGTCCGCAGGTCTTGCTGCTGCGGCTACAAAAGAACGTTGTCTCACCTCCATATACATCACGAACTTGCCCAGGATCTTGACGTCTTCCCCAACAATGGCTCAAAAATTAGCGAAAAGGGAAGGTCGTCGACCGACAAAATAGCCTGGACAGACGTAACCTGGACAGACGATTCCCCGTGCAAGTACACCGTGCCCCGTAATCGCATGAGTATTGTACCTACTTGTGCTCCATATCCGAGCTTGTGACACACACGTGGGCGTGAGTGGCTCCTACAAGGACGCGATCAACTGGTCAAATGTACATCATTGTCTGAGCAGTACATTCGAAGTATTGAACCAATGACACGCGTGCAGCAAAAGAGGTGAACATGAACGACTCGTGCATGAACGAAACACCGCGATGCCATAGACCTACCTACCTACCTACCCACCGGGTGGAATCCCGGCCCATGGTAACAATAGATGGTTGAAAGGAAAAGGGAATTTTTGATGATGTCTTCGACGTAATACTTTGAGCTGATTTCTTTCAAGGAGCGATGCATATTTTGAGAAAGGCGGAGCGGTGTCGGCCGGGCTATAAATGGAATTTGACCCATTAGGGGCATATTGGTACGAAGGCTACGGTGTCTCATTCGAATCGAGAGTGGAAAGCAAAATATTTGCCGTCTCAGTTCGGCGAAGGACCTGAATCCTTTTTAAAATGCTGACCCGAGCCCTTAAGAGGTCTCAACTGGCACGCGTAAATAGTCGATATCACGCGTGCTGCAGCTGAGATGAGCGGTGTGTGGACTGTGGTCTGTGGTCCTTATTTGACCTGAGCACAACAACAAGGGGAACTTCGTGATCATGAGCTCTAGCGTTGAAAGGTGGCAGCCACCAATGCCTCTAGTGGGCTTAAGTGAGCCGCAGCGTTGTACAGGGCACATCACCTCCAGAAGCGAACGCGGCACGTTCGAGAATGACTCGCGCTAATCCGATCTGACAGGTATATGGGTGTGGTTCTCCCACCGCCTCGCACCATGACAGGCTACCGAGCAAGGCTCAAAGTCGCAGGATGAGAAGCAGTGAGGCATACGGCATGTGTAGGCCGCCTGTAGCCAGCAGATCGCCGCGGCTGAGACTCCGGGGCGGTAAAAGGCGTCCCGGCGCATGGCAGCATTGAATAGAAATCTTAGACCTCAGATCCCTGCGTATTTCTGGGGATCCTGCTTGTCGCACAGCGCCGTCATCCGTACGCTATTCCGGTGAGCGGTGCCATGTTTAAATTTGTACTCTGCCGGCGAGCGAGAACGAGCACAGAAGGAGGCATGACTAAGACGCTGCCAGTGCCTGGCGAGGTTCGCGATGGAAATTGGATCCAAACGGCCAAAAAGACACGAGGAAACGCAGATTGAGCGCCTGTTCTGAGGCCTGAAGAGCGCCTGCAATTGGCGCTTGGCAAGCCATTTGGTCCACCGGCGCCCGCTAACCCCAAAGGTCGCACCTCACTGTGAGCGAGCGCAGTTTGGTTTGGGATTGGGACGCAGCCAGGAACAAGCGTGCCCATTGTGCCTTTTGCAACCTCATCATACCTTCTCTTGTACGCCCTCTCTGACCCTCGACTCTCGCCGGCATCCTCGTCGTCTTCCTCGCCGACACGCGTCTAGCTGCCCTATTCTGCTTGTACTCGCATCCTCAATCCTGTATATTGCCAACCCAACCGTATTCTCCCTCAAATTTCCCCTCGACAAAAGGGCAACCTCGCCCGCATCAGACCGACTAGTCGACCACCTTCCTACACCACGGTCTTCTAAGAGTTAGCTACACTACGGCCTCGGCCGCCTTCCCAACTGTATACTGTCTACATTCGACTCGCCGGACTATCTCTCTTTGCCTCCCTCGCTGCCCTTGACGGGCTCACTCGGCCCAATCGATCGCCTGCGGTCGAAACACCATTACACTGGCTGGCCAGCGATTCTAGGACATAGAACCTGGGCAATACTTCGTCTGCTGGATTTCAGGGCCATCGATCCTGCAACCATACTCGAGAGCCGTGACTAGTCCATCATTGGCATCTGTGGACCTGGTACTCATTCTACCCCTTTGAAGCCATAACTGCACACCCCAAGAGTTACCGGTTTCTAGCACACAAAAGTTGAATAACAGTTGCGATATCGACGGGCGGTACCTTTCCCAGTCGCTTGAGGCTCGTCTCAATCTGTTAAGGCAGCCCTGGAGAGTCTGATGACCGATAGTCTACCGGAAGATGATGGGAACATTGTTTCCAACTCGATGACCGTGCCATCCTCCACGGCTTATACAACAAAAATGGAGCAGCGACTGGGCAGGCACACGGCGTCGGCGTCGTCACAGCCACAGTCACAGTCTGTGCCATCAACACCTTCTCAACGACCACGGTCTCCACCGAACCACAGAGCGTCGCGGTCACCGGAGCCCGCTCTCAAGAATACTTCTCCCAAATCAGCACCATCAGATAAAAGCCATACGCCGCCGGCGCGAACTAAACCTTATGGCGGTTGCAGATTCGAAACCGGAATGGCCAGAGCGCGTCGGCGTGTGCCATACTCGTATGGGCCAGATCCCTTGGAAAAGGACAAATCCGACTTGAAGGTTAGGCTCAACCACGAAGAGAATGAAAAGCTCACCCGCGATATGCAAGGTTTGTACACGCAGCTGCTGCCCAGTGCTGAAAGTGAGCAACGACGCTCAAACTTCATCGACAAACTCGAGAAAATTCTGCGTGGGAAATGGCCAGAATCGCGCATCAATGTCAACGTCTTTGGCTCGACTGGAAATAATTTGGGAACTTCAGATTCCGATGTCGATATTTGCATCACGACAGACTGTCGGGAAATGGAGCGGGTGTGTTCCATCGCCGAGCTTCTCGCCAACCACGGTATGGAAAGAGTAGTCTGCGTTTCCAGCGCAAAGGTTCCCATTGTAAAGGTCTGGGATCCTGAGTTGCAGGTCGCATGCGACATCAATGTAAACAACCCTTTGGCCCTGGAGAACACCGAGCTTGTCCGTACCTACGTCGAGCTTGACGATCGGGTGAGACCCCTCGCTATGATCATCAAGCACTGGGCAAAGAGGAGGATTTTGAATGACGCTGGTATGTTTCCCGTAACCTCCGCAAGAACCTTTTGTACTGATCCCTACCATCAAGCCCTCGGAGGTACTCTCAGCTCCTATACATGGATATGCCTCACTTTGAATTTTCTTCAAACGCGAGATCCGCCTATATTGCCTACCTTGCAGCAGCAGCCCAAGCTTGAGCCCAAATATCTAGCTGGAGTGAATGTGTCATTTGACCGCAACACGGAGACGTACAAAGATTTCGGCGCTCGTAACAAGTCTTCCCTGGGCGAGCTATTGTTTCATTTCTTTCGATACTACGGCCACGAACTCGACTTTGAACAGAACGTTGTGTCGGTTCGATTAGGCCGTTTGTTATCGAAGGTTGAAAAACAATGGCATTTGCTTCAAGACAATCGGCTATGTGTTGAGGAGCCCTTCAATGTGTCTCGCAATCTCGCAAACACAGCTGACGACACGTCAATGCGTGGCATCCACCTCGAGCTACGGAGAGCATTTGACATGATCGGACGAGGAAATCTAGAAGAATGCTGCGAACAGTTTGAGTATCCTGCTGAAGAAATAAGACCGTCTGAGCACTTCGTTCCTCCAGCGGCACGACCCGTTATACCACAACCCCCGCCGGCACAAACTACATCCCAAGCTAACCAACAATCATCCCGGCCAGGCAGAAGTGGTCAGCGTGGTGGTCGGGGGTCCGGTGGTCCTGGCCGCAACAGCAACGGGCGCCGGTCATCGAACCCTCCAGGACGGAGCCAAAATTACCTGCGCAATTTGCCTTTCCAGATGACCCCGCAAGAACTACATCTCCAAGCTCAGCATCAACAGCACCTTCTTCACGATCAGCTGTTCCAACAATATCAGTACCTGCAGCTTCAGGAGCAGGAGCTGAGGATGCAGTTGCACCAACAAAATCTTCGGTCGAGAGGACTACTACCAGCGGGATACCACCAACCTACACCCTATCCCCAGTACGCAACCCAAGATGAAGGCGGAGATCATAGTTCAAATGGGCAAACCAACGGGATCAGTCGAGCTCCGCTCTCGGCACCTCTGTACCAGCAGCGCTTCGCTCCGGCATCTCCATACCTTCCGACAGTCGGTATGAATCACGGCGTCTCTACAAACCCTCCCTCCCCACGGGTTAGCTCTGTCATTCCAGACACTCGGAGGTTTTCTCGACGAACATCGCTGACACAGTCTTCGTCGGGTGGCTCGCTTCGAGCCCATTCACAGCCGGCCCGGTCTATTCCGTTATCCGCGCTCAACCACTACTCGGCCAGGGCTGATGCTCCTCCCTTGCAAGACACGCTTGCGGGGAGGAGATCATCCGCCTCTTCGAATTCTCAGGAACAATATCCCGGTTATCTTGACAATGTAAACGTTCCCATGTATGACGTCGGGCGTAGACCCGCAGAGTACCTTGGCTATTATGTAGGACAGTCTCCTTCATTGTCTGCCTATACCCACAGCACCGCAATCTCTCCGATACCGTCGCATGCAGGCCTTGCAATTCAAGGAGGAGGTCTGTCCCCTCGACTTGCATCTGCCTCCGTTCGATCCCCCTCGGGAAAAGAGTCGCCCTCGTTCCAGTTGGTTAATCCTGTGACGAGAGAAAGCCTAACCAGTCAGCAGCCCGAAGGCACGGACGCCGAGACTCGCCTAGTCGAAGCTGAGCCAGCAAAGGCACGATTAGGGCCGTTGATTGTTGATGGGTCGGTCAACTCGCCCCGCCGGAGACGAACTACTCGGTCTTTGAACGGTAGCGATGATCCTACAAATTTTAGCGCATCTACGTCGGAGGATTTAGCCTTTGACACTCCTTCAAGTTCAGATGAGCAGTCACAGGACGCTTTGGAACTTACCAGTGATAGAAGTCCCCCTGGGAGCCCTACATCGGCGCGACAGCAAATCTCATCGTTACAATACGCAAACGGCCATTTGCCATTCAGAACTCTAGGGCTTGCATCTGCGCCGCAGATTCCACAGTCGGGGACAAGGGTTGCCGAGTCCGTAGGGATGACGGCGTCAGGGCTGGGCAAGCAAGCGGGCATGGTCTGGCCTCAAGAACGGCAACTATCCTCGGTAGAGGAGGTGCGTACACCTTCGCCCAGAGTAGAAGGATTTCCATCAAAGACTCCATCCCCTAGAGCTACCTTTATGGAGAAGTACAGAAGCGATGCTGTTCCTGAAAAAGAGCCACCAGGCATACCCGTGGAAAGCCCTGCGGACACTCTGAACTTACCACTTTCTCCCAGGACAAATGGTTCAGCAAGCATACCTGTTTCAAACCTGCTCCCTCCAACAAGTGGCGTCGCGAACCCTCGGTGGCAGACACAGAAAAAGAAAAAGAAGCACAAAAAAACGGTGAAGTCGGAGAATGAGGATCAAGCTTCAAAGCTCACAGGAGGAGAAGCCATCCCGGCCGACGAGTCACTACGAAAAGGCGGTTAGGTTCTCCTTTGCAGATGTTCATAACGCGCAGTGTACAGCAGTCGACAACTCCCCATGACGACAAGGGTGGAAGAATGATATCGTCAGCGTATATTTACCAATCATACTTTTTGGGTTATGCGTGGACACAATCTTGCTGGCCTTTGTCACTTGCTGGCCTTTGTCACTTGCTGGCCTTTGTCACTTGCTGACATGCGGAGAATGCCAGTGCGCGCTGGATAGAATAATGGTGATCCGGGCAACCATCTATCCCCAGCAACCAACGATGGAGATATGGCGACGCTTACGTATATACGACTCAGGAGGCTCGCCAGGAACGCAGCCGGACATGAACCCATGCTTGCCGGCTACAAGCGTTGTAGGGTTTTCAGGGCGTTTTCAACGATCATGGAACGGCATCCGAAATGAATGCATAGCGAAACGAGCCCATGGTCCGGGCTATTGTTGTTGTTTGATTTTCGGCATAGAACAGGAGGTTTCAGTACAGAAGCAGTTGATGGAATTCTCTGCAGAAAGAAACGAAAAGCAAATGATAGCAAGCATGAAGCGAGCGGGAAAGAGTTGTACTCTTGTACTCTTAAAACGAGAAGAAGGGTGTAGATGGGGAAGAGGCAGACTGAATGGAAGAAGCGTGACCATTGTTAACAAGATGTGCGAGTAGTTGGATGTGCAGTGCCATGTATCCGTGCGGAAGTCTATGCTCGTGTCGAATCGCTGATTGATGGCGAGGCTGAGGCTGCGAGGATTTGTATGTAGTATTTATGCTGACTTCTTGCCTGCGCCTCGTACGACTCGGAAGGGCCAAAGAACCCGATGCGGTTCCTGCGTTGACATGTGCTCGGAGGTCATGTTATTGGTCAGGCTACGTTTAAGCTTAAAAGTGTCGAATCTGTAGCCTTTCATCACGCATCGCCCGCGATTGTGCGCCAGAGTCTCCATCGTCACCATTTTTTGGCCAGGACTCGTCAATCCGCTGCTTCTCTCTGGTCAGACCACATCTCAGACCACAGCCCTCCCCTTCACCGCCTGCAACGTCTTCATTCATTATAAGATTGCATCCTCGACGTCTTCCTCTAGTCCTCCCTTTTCCAGTGTGACTCGACAAGGTTAGATGTCGCGGTAGAGAGCTCCCTTGGGACTTCTTTCCACTCTCTCTCCCTTCCTTCTGTCCTTCGATTGTTTTTGCTGTCACGATGCCTCTTATACTGGACTCCTCGTCGGAATCCTCTGGGGACCTCGAGCCCGATCTCCAGGAAGTGCGCAGACGAGTACATCACGAAGGCGACGTGGTGATTGTCGGAGCGGGTGTCGTCGGGTCTGCGCTCGCGGTGGCGTTTGCGAACCAAGGCCGCAGTGTCATTCTTTTGGAAAAATCATTGAAAGAGCCGGACCGGATCGTTGGGGAGCTTTTACAACCTGGCGGTGTCCAGGCGTTGACCAAGTTGGGACTGCAACACACTTTGAACGACATTGACGCGATACCAGTCACAGGCTACACGGTCATCTACCATGACGAGCAAGTGTCCATCCCATATCCTGTCATCGCAGGCCAATTATCGAACAATGCGGGGGCTCAGTCGGGCAAATACGAAGGACGATCGTTCCACCACGGTCGATTCATCTCGAAACTGCGTGCGGCGGCCTTGACGCACCCGAACATTACGGTTTTCGAAACAGAAGTCACCAGCATCATCGGCGCCTCGCATATGTCGCAGATTCTGGGCGTGGAGACAGTCACTCGCAAGACGGAAAAGGAATGCTTCTTTGGATCCCTGACGGTGGTTTGCGACGGCTATGCATCAAAGTTTCGAAAAGAATACATTCCCCTTACTCCCCGCGTCAAGTCGAGGTTCTGGGGCTTGGAGCTGATCGACTGCCAACTCCCGGCTGCGTTCCACGGCAACGTCGTTCTGGGCGATAACTCGCCGGTCCTGCTCTACCAGATCGGCACGCACGAGACTCGGGTATTGGTTGATGTTCCTGAAGGTCTACCGTCGGCGTCCCCGGCGAACGGCGGCATCAAAGGCCACCTTCAGAACGTGGTTCTGCCGTCTTTACCGCGAGTGGTCCAACCTTCGTTCAAAGAGGCTCTGGAAAAGGGTACGTTGCGAAGCATGCCGAATTCGTTCCTGCCGCCCACGACCAACAAGACCCCCGGGCTCATGATCCTGGGCGACGCCCTCAACATGCGGCATCCGTTGACAGGCGGAGGGATGACGGTCGCGCTTAGTGACGTGGTTCTCGTCTCGGAATTGCTCTCTCCGGAAAACGTGCCGGATCTGTACGACACGCAGCTGGTGCTCAAACAGATGCGTTCGTTTCACTGGCAACGGAAAACCCTCACTTCGATCGTCAACATTCTGGCCCAGGCACTCTACAGCCTCTTCGCGGCCGACGACTGGCAGTTGAAGTATTTGCAAAAGGGCTGTTTTCGGTACTTCCAGCTCGGCGGCAAATGCATCAGTGAGCCGGTCGGGTTATTGGCGGCCGTCATCCATAGGCCTTTTGTTCTGTTTTATCACTTTTTCAGCGTGGCGTTGTACAGTATTTGGATCTTGTTCAAGGAGAATGGAGTGTTGATGTTCCCTCTCAGTTTGATACAGGCGGTATTTGTGTTTGCAAAGGCGTGCGAGGTGATTTTTCCGTTTATTTTTGCCGAATTGAGGAGTTGACCAGCAAGAGCAACGGGAACAGGAACAAGCGACATGGAAAGTTCAGGTGTGTTTTGAAATAGGCTATGATTAATGTAATTTTACTCCGGAAGGAAAATTGAAGAACCTCAGGTCTGTCTAGTATAGAATGGTAGAAAAGGTCATGAATTTAGTAGTCGATAAAAGATGTCTGATGATTATGGTAATGTAATTAATTAGATTATTCCTTTTGGGTGGTCGTTAGTTGTCGTGGTAGTACGGATAGGTACGTGCGGTATTCGGGTTTTGCTGAGGAGAATGCATTTAATTTAATTCTATTTATTTGCCGTCGTCGCGGATCTCGTCGTTGGAACCAAGCAAGTATCGAAACGACCGACCACTCTCCCCGGTTCACGTATTGCGTGTTTATCACAACAGATCGGCATCATCGACATCACTCCGAGACGGCGAGTACCAGGTACCTGAGGTACCTAGGTGGCTGGCATGCATTCTTTGTTACCTGTCACCGAGTGAGGTACAAGGCACGTACTCCGTGACTAGGTATGTAGGTAGGTAGGTAGGTAGGTAGGTACACCACGACGTTGACCGACCATGAAACTTAACGAAGATAGCAGCACCGTGTGTGGGCGTGAGTGAGTGTGTATGTGTCCTTCCTCGGCTTTGTTGAAACGGGGAAATTTAATTTTTGTTTCAAACCGACTTTCATCGACCATTGGACTTTTGAAAGACGACATTTATCGTGTCCTCAGCTTGTTGAAACCTTTTTTTTTCCCCTTCAAAGCTGGCTTCTGTCAACAGTGAATGAAACAGTGAACTTTTGAAAAAGACGGGCATCAATATGGCGTTCAATGGTTTCTTCTCAGCTAGCTGGAATTCTCATCGATCGCCGAGATGACTCCTCGATTATTCATGTACAGGCTGGTACTGTAGGTGTCTAGGTATTCTTGTTTTCGTCATCAGTTTTCTCGAGTACACTATTTTCTTTTCGCCTTTTTGTTTTTGGTTCTCCTTTCCCTTCCCTTCACGGCGATTATTATCCTCCTATAAAGCAAGTGACTCATCAAGATGTGGCATGCACGTACAGTATGTACAGTGTGTACAGTGTGTAGAGAATGGTTCCACCCCTTTTGTCTCCCTTCTACCCCCCTCAGGCAACTTACACCAACTTGGTACCCCGGTTGAGTACCCTTGGTAAGGGTAGTTTGGTAAGGTGTGAAGGTACAGCATCTTGGATGTGTGTGTGTGTGTGTGTGTGTGTGTGTGTGTGTGTGTGTGTGTGTGTGTGTGTGTGCGCGCGCGCGTGTGCCACTCACTCCTTGATCCAAGGCTGAGCAAAAGTACCAACCCAATCCTCGACCTCTTGTCTCAAGGTCAGAATCTCAGGTACGTCGGTGCCGTCTCTGAGATAGTCCAAAAAGCTCTTGACGGCGCCGGGGTTCTTCTTGCCCTGGGCCTGTGCGTCTGCGCGGGCGTTCTTGTCGACCTTGACGGCGATGCCGACTGCGCTGTCGACAATCTCGGCCACGCGCGTGAAGTCGTTGGGCTGGAACCCGCGCGTCGTCATGGCGGGGGATCCCATCCTCAAGCCCCCGGGCTTCAGGGCCGACTTGTCGCCGGGGACCGTGTTCTTGTTGGAGGCGACGCCGCAGAGTTCGAGGACGCGCTCGACGCGGGCGCCGTCGATGCCCTTGCTCTTGAGATCGACGAGCACGAGGTGGTTGTCGGTCCCGCCGCTGACGATGTTGTAGCCGAGCCCGGACCCGCCGAGGCGGTCGGCGAGGGCCTTTGCGTTGGCGAGCACCGTCTGCTGGTACTCTCGGAACGAGGCGGACTGGGCCTGCTTCAACGCCACGGCGAGCGCCGTGATGGTGTGGTTGTGCGGCCCGCCCTGGTGACCAGGGAACACCGACGCGTTGATCGGGTTCTCGAGGTCGTACAGCTCCTTGTCGCCCTTTTTGGTCGTGCGCCGCACGCCCTTGCGGTAGAAGATCATGGCGCCGCGGGGTCCGCGTAGGGACTTGTGAGTCGTCGTCGTCACCACGTCCGAGTACGCGAACGGGCTGGGGATCACGTCGGCCGCCACTAGACCCGAGATGTGCGCCATGTCCGAGAGGAGGTACGCGCCCACGTCGTCGGCGATGGCCCGCATGCGCTCGTAGTCGATCAACCGACTGTAGGCCGACGTGCCGGCCACGATGATCTTGGGCCGGTACAGCGTCGCGTTCTCGTGGAGACGGTCGTAGTCGATCAGGCCTGTCGACTCGTCGAGCCGGTACGGAAACGTTTCAAAGTATTTGGAGATCATGGAGATTTTCTTGCTCGGGATCTGGTAACCGTGCGACAGGTGGCCGCCGTGGGGCAGGTCGAGACCCATGATCCTCTCGTGAGAGTTGAGGAGAGCCGAATACGCGTAGAGATTTGCCGGGGACCCGGAGAGGGCTGTCGGGTTTGGGGGTTAGTCATATACATCATGATCATGATCATCGACACCGATGCTGATGGCGATGTTGAGGGAACTTAGGGGGTTCTCAGAACGGTGTTGTACTCACGTTGGACGTTGACGCCCCATTGTTCGGGGTCTAGTCTGTATGTCTCGAGAGCTCGAGACTGGCAGAGACGCTCGGATTCATCAATGTGCTCGTTGCCGCCGTAGTAGCGTGCTCCAGGATAGCCTTCCGAATACTTGTCTGCCGCGTTGATTAGACTTGTGTGCGGCGGCAAACAGGACAAAACACAACACTCACTCTGCATGACACTTCCGAGGGCATCCAGTACTGCTTGAGAGGTGAAGTTCTCGGATGGAATCAAGTTGATAAAGTGCTGTTGTCTTTTGATTTCCTAAGGACAGCATATCGGGTCAGAGCTGGAGGTTTTATTTGATGACGGCGACGAGAAAGACCTGTCACATACTCGTTGTAGGATCTCGTAGATTTCCGGATCGGCATCTTTGAGATGTTCGCCCATCAGCTGCTTGACCATCAGTCTATGTACTCAATTACTGGGTTTCATCTGTTCTGCTGGTGCTGACCTTGTTTTGGGCCTCGCCGTTGGTTGTGGCCTTCAAGGGTGTCGTAGAAGACAGACTCCTCACCCTAGATCTGCAAGACATGCATATCGAGGGCCGGGAAGCGGTTCCCCAGATTCGTCGCGAGATCAGCGTTCGCGACATGATGTTAAGATCAATATTCCGTGAGGTTTGAAGTCTGGGTGAGTCCGGGATCTGAGATCTGAGACCAAGATGTTGTTTCAACACCAGATCCTAAGGCGATCCGGGTTCTGGGTTGATGGATGATATATGGGGGGCTCTCGTCAGTTTTTTTGTTCTGATTCATGGAACGAAGTCCAAGCCATGCGGAGTCAAGCCCGAACGCAGCCCACCACGGCTGAACAAGGCAGGTTTGTCGATCGGATCTTTTGCCCTTTTAGAGTCAAACAATCTTGGCCTCACCTTTTTCTTTCTCTTCCCTTTTCCTCACGACTAAATCCAAGATGAAGAGGACTTTTCTCGTCAGTCAACAGTTCTCGCGCTCCAGCCGTCTTTTGGCTGCTGGAGGTCTGTGGGCGATGTTGATATGTCTCGGGTCCACCGCACCACCTTGAGAGACAATCTGAATAAGCCTGATTGGACATGTTGTTACCTACCCTTTGTGTGTTTGGTGTCTTGATGAGCGTCTGATGACTAGAATCATCACTTTTCATCAATGTCATTGATTATCGATTACAGATACCTATTCACGAGATGATACAATGGATACATCGAGACTGATTCGTCGGGCGATGATAATCATTGTGAAACCGGTTGATGGCATTGCGTCTTTTTGCGACATGGTGTCAACTAGTCACGGGATGGAGACAAAAGATAGAATCATTCATGCCGTGCGAAATGAAATCGGTTCCCACTTTATATGGTCATTCGAGAACAATACGACTGTTGGTGTAGGTAATGTATACAACGTACACAGCAGAACACTCCCGATACAATGCACCACCGTAGAACCATCAGGTATGTCTCTCAAGAAAAGACTTCGCCTTTACCCACGGGAATAGGTACTGCGCCTGGTCATGGTGTTGCGTTGCTGCAAAAGCACATCGCTGTTGGCATGTCTGTCCATCTCTGCTTTGACTCAGGTCCTGAAGTTTGTGGTGCCGACCATGTGATCGCTCCGTCCACTTCGGATGCCGTGTATGTATTCTTTGTGTTCAATTCAGCATTCATGAGGGCCCATTATTATTCACCTCCTGACCGCAAGATCACGCCTTTGGGTCTTACCAGCAATCCAGCAGTACAGTGTGTTCCTGTTCGATCAAGTCCTGCCTTTCTTCTGGATGGCATGATGACCCTCGAGAATGCTGTATGTACAAGCAAACAGACAGATCATATCCACTACTGGCCATGTGCCCATTGCCCCATTCGCAATCTGGAATCAAAGCTCAGCCATACAGATCAGTATGCTCACGACCACACTTGATGATGGGCATTCGATAAACCAACGGCGAGGGAGGGTCACCGTCCAATCAACCCAGACACTGTATAAGGTGACCAGAAAAAGAGGAGGCGATCTAATCGGCTTTTGGAGAGTTTCACAGTGACATATTTCGTACTCGCAGGCGTGGAGGGAGGAGATAGTCGTCTGAGACGAAGTTCACTGCTGAGGAATTGTCGGAAGACGCTGATAGCTTTGTGGTCGTCGCTTTCGCACTGCTGTACCAATCAATATTACATGGATCAATCACCCTCGAAATGATAGGCGGCTGATATGGCACATTGTTAGATCCATGAGCACAAGATTTGCCAGCACAAACCGATCTTGAATGAAACGTATCACAAGATTGTTCAACTCCCTGTTTCAGGAGCCCATTGTATACCTCTGGCATTGTAAATTCAAGCCTACCAATGGTCAAGTGATAGAATGAGCGATCTGACGTCTCCTTCAGCTGTCCTGACCTCCTTCAGGATCTGTTGTAGGGGTGTGTTGTGGCCAAGTTCAGATGTTGTCAGAAAGCGATGTAGGGTGCGGCTCAGTGTAGTGACGGTTCATGGTAAGTCTCGTCTCGAGTAGATGCTATGAAAATGAAGAGATTCTGCAAAAGGCGCGGTTCCTGCGTACACATTCACACATTGACACGTCCTTTCTCCTGTGATCTATTCGCAGAGCATCCAGAATTCAGGAGTCGAAATGAGCTGATATTGTCATCTATCAAGCGCTTGCAATCTTGGAGCTGCAGACTGTCCAATATCGCACGCTCCATCAAACATGGTCTGTGGTTGACTTCTGGAATTTCCAAGGGCAGATTGCGTGCTCCAGCAACGGCCGGTCACGTGTCAGGGGTAAGCCGAGCTTAGAAGGGCTATACCCAATCGACTACTGGTGGCGGCCGGAGGACGACAAAAAACTTGGTAGCTGTTCATTTCGCCATGTCTCAGACCCTGCCCTTGTAATTGAAGCGAGTGCTATTTATTCTTTAGGAAACTTGACTATCCTACGGTAGGTAAACCCACCGTTGACTTAAGTTTCAGGCGTTGAGAATATCGTATTGTAGCTGTCTCAGTTCGCTAAGACTTTCGCCACACACGGAGCACCGGCAAGAACACAGATTGCTGTCTGGTCCGGAATGAACAGTTTTCTGCCAACCGAGTCTTCTGAGCTACCGCACGGAGTATGGAATCAATGCAAGCATCTCTAGTACAAACCTTCGGGGCATCTTGGATGAGGATAAGATGAGGATTCAAACGATAGGCGAGAATAGCGTTTGTCTCATCTGGTCCCCTGGCTACCGTCCATTGATCGTGCTTTGCAGGAGATGGGGCAGCGATTATTCCTACAGCACGAGTAGCATGTACGTCTGTGGCGGGCGAGTTGACCTTATCGTATCGCCGTGCGAAGATCTTGAGTTCACATTCAGGTACCAACGTCGATCGACAAGCATCGATATCGGTTTGTTTGTTTTGCCTGCAACTGGACAACAGTCAAGAAGCTATGGCCCTAGGGCGCCTGGTGAAAGAGTCTGGACAGCGTCATTCCGGACACCACCGACACCAGCTGTAGGGACGGATCCCCCAAAGTTGGCAAGTGCCTATCGCTAGGATGGTGCGTAATCACCCATACATTACTAGAGGTGGTGGATGGGCAAATTTGCTCCTCTTTGCAAGAATCCAGAATCTAACTGGGGTTCGCTTCCGTAAATACACATGTGCCCACAAAGTGATATCGATAGTACTGTAGCATGAAGTATACTAAATATACATTGTTAATTGTGAGTTTGCAATTTTCAGGAGACCACATGCATTTTGCTCAGAATCATACTCCTGAAATGCTGCTCAACATATCTACTCGCACAACTACCTAGACAGGTAAAGCAAGGAGGACGAGGTCCGCACGGGACTATTGGTACTGATGTATGAGTACTGTATGTAGTCCCTGAGATGACGAATGCCTCAGCTCGCGCTGCACATCTAGAAGGTCGAAGACCAACTGATAGTCCTGACGTTATCGGATAGTGGTAGGATCTGCATGGACATTGTTCATGCTCGAGCTTTCCGCTATGGCCAAAGTCTAGATGACCGTGATAAGAGGTTCCGCCTGCGTGTAGGGATCATCTGATAGCCATACCACTGTGACTCTCTCGTAGAGTATGATCCGCTACCAGGGATTTGGTGTGCGGGTGGATGGCGAAGCTTTGGAGCAGGGAGCACTCCCTGGGGCGGTAACCACATGGTGACGACGGATCAATAATTGGGCGTTCTGGCGCCAGAGAAGATTTGTTGGTGAGAAGATGAGAACGTGTTCGAGGGCGTACTGTAGAGTCTGGAGAAATTGCATGGGGGCAAGGATGAGAAAAGGTTGCAGGGTGGACGAGGCTAACAAGGTGCCTGTATCCAGGAAGCACTCGTGATTTGTCCGCTCCACGACCATCTTGGCACTCAATTTCCGGAAGCCACCAGAGCAACCACTCTAACCGTCATGTTCATTTCCATCGCCTACCAACAATAATGGCAAGCAGATGTGCGCTGCTGCGGCTGGATCCTGACAAGCTTTGCGACGCTGCACACGGACTGTTTGGTTGCTTGTTGGACGTGGAGTCTACACCGGTGGCTCGGACACCACCCAACGCAACGTCGACGAAACACCAAATCATGCTATGCGGTGCGCCCAGTTGCACTTGTCCTTCCCCTGACACTAGCCCATCGCGTCACGGCAAAGCTAATTGAGTTGGTTCTCATGGGCCATGGCACGGGGAGCAACAGGATACGGTAGATTCACTACACCGCTGGGGCACGGCAGGTTACACACAAGCGAGAACAGGCGTAACTCTGCTAGCAGTTCGCCTCGTCGGGCCAGAACACCATCGGAGCTGCAGACACCGAGGCAGCCAGCTCCAGCATTGATTGGCGACAGCCATCAGAGAGCCAAATTGCCATCTGAGCGTCGAGGGAAAAACAATCACATCGTCATCTCGAGTCGGCTGTTATACTGTCAACAAAGACGAGAGTCAACAAAGTGACAGGCTTCATCAGCGGTGGCCCGCGATGAGATGGCAGCGACAGCCGGCGAGCAGGTCCAGGGGCATTCCGATGGGTCGGCGCTTCTGAAGCAAGGTCAGTGATTTCGTTGCACCGCCAATGACCAGGCCGGTCGTCTAATGAGGCTGCGTGGGTGGACCGCGCTAGACGACGCTACCCCTGACAGGGCCACCGCTGCCGAAAATGCTTCCATCTCGCGATCCACCAACGCCCAAACACCATCAACGCTAAAGAGCCACTCTAATTTCCAATGCTTTGTATATCAAGCCCGCACGCTCGCTGTAGTCTCGTCTTTTTCATTCTGCATCTCTCAGATCGAACTCCAACTTCCAGTCGCTCGCTAGCAACTCAAACAACTCCGGTCTTTGTACCACGACACTCGTTTCAATCTTCAAATCCAATCCCCGCGAATCTACTAGTTTTCTAATCCAGAAACTACCACTCCAACAATCAAAATGAAGTTCACCACTACCGTCGCTGCCGTCGCGGCTCTCGCTGTCTCAGCTCACGCTGCTACCACCACCTCCGAGACCGGTGCCTGGGATGACTGGACCTCCTCCACCACCAGCACCACCACCAAGAAGACGACCACCACCACCGTCGCCACCACCTCTGCCACCGGTGTCTGGGACGACTGGACTACCACCACTACCACCACCACTACCAGCAGCGACCCCGCCTGGGCTGACTGGACCACCACCGCCAGCACCACTTCGGCCAAGACAACCACCACCACCACCAGCGGCGCCGTCGTCTGGGGTGACTGGACCACCACCTCTGCTCCTGCCAGCTGGACCACCAAGGTTGTCTCAACCATCACCACGTATGTGCCAGGCCCAACCAACATTGTCCACGCGGGCAAAACCTACTCTTGCACCGGCGCCACTACCCTTACCATCACTGATTGCCCCTGCACCATCTCCGTACCCGTCTGGACCAAGACCGCCACCTCTTGCAGGTGAGATTTTCCTATGTTTTGTTGTCTTTGCAGTTCGAATACTAACTTGTCTCCGTAACAGCACCCCCGTTGCCGCTGTCACCACCTGGGGAACTTGGGGCACCCCAGTTGCTCCTGCCTCGACCAGCACCCCAGTTGCTCCAGTCTGGACCTACACCCCATCGTCCTCTCTTCCAGTTGCCCCAGCCACCTACACTGGTGCTGCCAACGCCCTCAACGTTGGTGCTGGTCTTGCTGGTGTTGGTGCCATCGCCGCTTTCCTCCTGTAAATGGTGGACTGCTAGAAGCTCTCGGCCTGAGCTGGGTGCTCGCATCCGGTCTCTTGTCGGGAGCTCCTGCATTTGCTTCTTGAACGTTTTCTGAGGCCCGAGGGCAACGATACGGTTGGGCGCTTCTGACCGCAGCACGCGACATTTCAAGACGGCATGTTTTATGGTGGGACATGACGACCTCCTTTTGGCAATTTGTTTGCATGCTTCAGCCGGCGCAACTTGATAGATGACCGATTTTCAGTTTGTCGTTGTTGGATCATGGTAGACCTTTCCTGTACCTTCACCGGTATAGAAGGGTCTTCATGACAGATTCTTCGGGTTTTGGTATTATCTTAATGAATGGAAATCTTTTGAGGCTATCTAGCATTGTACGCGAGTTCTTGGGATCCAAAAGAAATGTGAATCTTTGTGCATACCACTGAAATCGTCAATCCCGCTTTCTTGTGCAGTTTTGTACCTAGAAACATATTATCCTGGGATATCAAGAATTAGCATACAATTGTTGTTTCTTCCGCGTTGAGTCCTGTTCCATGTCGTCCACACGTGTTTACGTGGTCATAGCTCGGCGAGAGCTATCTTCCGTGACAGCTCATCGGCAGCTTGTCGCCAGCAGTGACAGGTGGATTTGGTAGACAGCAGATTCAATTCAATCTCAACATCGAAGCACGGAACACAAACATTGATGCACTGTGAGATTGCTTTTTACGAGACGTGTGTTGTATGTTTATCTTCCTCGTCGCGTCAGCATTTGATGACTTGACCTTGGGCTGGGGGAGCATCCTTTCGCAGTTCGCACCCATCGGCCAGACGACTCTGTCGGCCTTCGTTCGGGGGACTGTCAAGGCCTGTTTTTGCCCTGGATGCTCCGGGGTTCCCCCCATTGGCTCAACCGCCCTCCATTCCCCGGCCATCTCCTTCTGGCGGGGAAGGGTATGGCCTTCGGGGCCTCTCGAGTCTCCGTGCTGCCACTGGGCACCGACTTTCGCCGTCACACTCATACAACTCCAACAGCGCAAAGTCGCTAATCTCGCCTACATCAAGGCTCCCAAGCAGCGATGTCTCACTGGAACATGCCAGTCCCTGCAGAAGAACACCCTTTCCAATCCTTGCTGCAAATGAACCCCTGCATACGAAGTCTTCACCGTCGAACAGCAGCTGAACCAGATGCCTCGGTCAAAGCCAGCGCTTCGGGGCATCCACCACGTGTGGTATGATGTGACTCCGCTGGACCGATCTTGTCATTAGTCTCCTTTACCCCATACTCTCTGTTGCTCTTATGTTTCCTGCACACTTCGCACATCCCTCAACTCTCATGCAAGAATATAATCCAGGACAGCCCGACGACACAGACCCTCGGGTGGGAAGAGCTCAGCATGTGAGCAAGTGTTTTAGATCTGTTCGTCCCTACATATGACGCGGATATAAGAGCGCACTCCTCCTGTACCACTTTTTACCTATCCAAGATTCATTTGACGAACAGACGAGCACCAGGCTTCCCTCATTGCTTTCGCTTGGCCGTCGGGGTCGAGATAGGCGTCTACTCTGACCTCTAGACTACCTCCTCTCCACTGCTACCATGTCTCCCAACAACACCGTCCAGGACTCTGTACAGCATGCCTCTCTCACGAACCCAGAGCAATTCTGGGACAAGCACGCCAAACAGCTATACTGGCACAAGCCATATTCGTTCGTTCTCAAACAGCAAACCAAGATACTGGAGGACGGCACGTCATATCCGCACTGGTCATGGTTCCCAGACGGCGAGATCAACACCACATACAATTGTCTCGATCGGCATGTGAAGGCCGGCAACGGCGACAAGCTCGCCATGGCCTGGGACAGTCCAGTAAGCGGATCGAAGGAAAAATACACATACGCAGCCATGCTCGAAGAGGTGGAGATACTCGCAGGTGTCCTGCGCGAAGAAGGCGTGAAAAAGGGTGACGTGGTGCTCATATACATGCCCATGATCCCTCCTGCGATCTTTGGCATGCTCGCCGCCGCGAGACTGGGCGCTCTACATGCCGTCGTCTTCGGTGGCTTTGCCGCGAACAGTCTGGCGCAGCGCATCGAGGCGGCGAAACCGAAGCTCATCCTCACGGCGAGTTGCGGGATCGAAGGCTCAAAGGGGCCACTCGACTATCGACCGTTTGTGGAAGGCGCCGTCGAACAGAGCAGTTGGAAGCCAAGCAAGACGCTCATTTGGCAGCGCGACGTGTTGCGCTGGGACCCCGTCCGGATAGACAGAGGTCAGCGCAACTGGCAGCGGCTCGTCAAGAGCGCACGGAACCGAGGCGTCAAGGCTGAAGCAGTCCCCGTCAAAAGCACAGACGGTCTCTACATCATCTACACCAGTGGGACGACGGGGTTGCCCAAGGGCGTGCTGCGCGAGGTCGGCGGACACGCCGTCGGGCTGAACTTGAGCATCAAGTACCTCTTCGACGTCAAAGGCCCAGGCGACGTCATCTTCACGGGCAGCGACATCGGCTGGGTCGTGGGCCACTCGTACATTGTCTACGCGCCACTGCTCGCCGGTGCGACGACCGTCTTGTACGAGGGGAAGCCCATTGGCACGCCGGACGCTGGTGCCTTCTGGCGTCTCGTCGACGAGTACAGGGTCACCACGCTCTTCACGGCGCCCACGGCACTCCGGGCGATCCGCAAGGAAGACCCCGGCGACAAGGCGTTTAAGCACTACGGCGACAAGGGCCGGCTGAGGCATTTGCGCGGCCTGTTCCTCGCGGGCGAGCGGTCTGAGCCGGCCATCATCACCCACTACCAGGACTTGTTGACCAAGTACGCTGCGCCCGACGCCCGCGTCATCGATCACTGGTGGTCCAGCGAGTCGGGGAGCCCCATGACGGGTCTCGCGCTGCGGCCAGCCATCGGACACGACCACAGCAGTCGCGAGAACCACAAGGCTCTGGCCATCAAGCCTGGCAGCGCGGGTAAGCCGATGCCCGGGTTCGACGTGCGCGTCGTTGACGACGAAGGCAAGGAAGTGCCTCAGGGAAACATGGGAAATATCGTTCTCGGCGTGCCGTTGGCTCCGACGGGCTTCACTACGCTGTTCAACGACGACTCGCGCTTTTATCGAGGCTATCTTAAGCGGTTTGAGGGCAAGTGGGTCGATACAGGCGATGCAGGCATGATTGACCAGGACGGTTATGTTCACGTTATGAGCCGAAGTGACGATATAATTAACGTTGCAGCGCATAGATTCAGTACAGGTATGTGTCCTTTACTTTTACTCCCGAGGCCCCTCTTCCCAACTGCACAGACATACGCGCGGACTCACTGTCTTTGTCTCGGTCTGCCGTCTTCCTCGTTACCTTGACGGAGCGCCAGTGATCACTACGGTGTGTGCCTCGGTACGATGTAGCGTGCTAACGTTCTTTTTGTCTTCGTGGGTTTCCAGGCGCCATCGAACAAGCAATAACATCCCACCCGTCCGTCGCCGAGGCGTGCGTCGTAGGCATCCCCGACGCCATGAAGGGCCACTTGCCCTTCGCGTTTGTAGTCCCCTCGGCGTCTACGCCGTCCGAACTTCCCGCGACGCCGAGCAAGGAATACTTTACAAGCATCAACAACATTGTTCGCACGAACATCGGCAGTATCGCCTCGCTGGGCGGCATCATTCAGGGTAAAGGCATGATTCCGAAGACGCGTTCAGGCAAGACCCTGAGAAGAGTGCTGAGAGAACTCATCGAGAACGCCGCAGACGGCAACTTTGACAAGGAAGTCAATGTCCCTGCTACCGTGGAGGATAAGGACGTGGTTGAGGTCGCCAGGGCAAAGGTCAAAGAGTGGTTTGAGGCAAGGGCAAAGGCTCAAGAAACGACCAAGGCGAAGTTGTAGAGAAGAAGAAGAAGGAGTAAGAAACAAAGAAACTTGTATCTTTGGTGCTAGGCCTAAGTCTCGTTCTTCGAATGTTGATGGAACGCGTAACTCGAGTACCAGACTATATATATACCTACCTATAGGGCGGGTTACCTTGGTTGAGATCTTAGGTTCCGTGTGTGTGAGACGCAGGTGAGGGAATCTGTAGAAGAAGATGAGGAATCCTGGAAATCTTATCTTGTTTAGCCATCTTCCGTTGGGCGAGACGTTGAATACCTAGGTCCTGAAAGATTATTGATGTGGTCTTGGGTGGTGGTAAATGAGTGACATGCCGAATATTTGTTTGGAATTTTCCGGGGAACGGATCCGTATTTCGTATATTTTTACAACACCAAATCCGTTCTTGACGTCTTTCTTGAATCACCCTACCCGTACGTTTAGGGTACATGACAAGACAATGAAAAGGAAAAGAAAATTCTATAAGGACGTCCGCGGAAATAAACAAACGGCAAATCTCGAGTCGGAGTCTGTAAAGCTAAGAAGAAGTTGATGGATTTCAACCATGTCTTGTCAGTTTTCGTCGGTGCCGGTTAGACTTCTACCTGCTACCTCACATCCGCCCTACCTCTAGTCATCAACGTCTTTCCAATGCTCTGACCAGTCAAAGATTCAGCTTTTAGATTTTTTTTTTTTGGTTTCTTGCCGTCAAGCTTCCCACAAGGTAATGCGGTATCGCTCTTATGTCCTGGCTGGTCCCTCCAGCACGCACATGATCCGAAACAGTGCCATACAACATCCAGCCAACACACCCACCCCCCCAAACCGGCAGACAATGATGACCGGACACCACGTTCAGAGCGTTCGGTTTGGAGATCCAAGCAAAAGTATTTGGTTCCCATTCCCACGTCGCGCTCCGGCTCCACTAGCGGATTTTTACTGTTGTCAGTCAGCCAGAGTCGGTCAAGTCAGCCAGCCCGGTCAGGTAGTCAGGCAGTAATCCCTTGAACCCCCCGGGGATTCGTCCGAAGCCAACCAAAGAAAGACCCTCTCCCTTCAAACGACGGGGTTGGTTTCTAATGCTCGATATCATCCCAACTCCTTCCCTTGACGGCGTTCAGCTCCTCCAGACTCATGACCTTGCCGGTGGTGAAGTAGCCGGCGTGGATCTTTGCGTCGATCTCGACGCGCGAGTCTTCGGGGATCATCTCGTCCGGGATGGGCACGCGCTCGAGGATGGGGATGCCCTGGTCGACGATGGCGTCGTGCTTCATGTTGCTCATGCTCAGCATGCGGTCGATCTTGGTGATGCCCAGCCAGTGCAGGATGTCGGGCATGAGGGCCTGGAAGCGCATGTCCTTGACGCCGGCGATGTCCTCGGTGCGCTTGAAGTACTCGCTGGCGCGGTCGGCGCCGCGCTTGCGCGCGTTGTACACGAGGTACTTTGTGACCTCGCCGAGGGCGCGGCCCTCCTTGCGGAAGTAGATGACGACGCCCGAGCCGCCGGCCTGCGCCTCCTTGACGGCCTCCTCGATGCCGAAGATCAGGTACGGCCGGCATGTGCAGATGTCGGACCCGAACACGTCGCTGCCGTTGCACTCGTCGTGCACCCGCAGCGCGAGCCTGGCGCTCCGGTCCGCCATCTTGGCCGGGTCGCCGAAGCAGTACACCGTCAGCCCGCCGATCGGCGGCAGGAACACCTTGATGTCGTTGCGCGTCACGAGCTCCGGGTACGACCCGCCCGTGTGCTCGAAGAGCGCCCGCCGCAGCGCGCTCTCCTCGATCCCGAACCGCTCCGCCACCCCCGGCAGGTACCACACCGGCTCGACCGCGAACTTGGTCACGCTGAGCTCGCCCGTCTCGTTGAGGCAGATCTTGCCGTCCGGTTTCAGCCGCCCCGCCCGCACGCTCTGCTCGAGCTCGGGGATCTTCATGTGCGCCTTCGTCACGGCGATCGTCGGCTTGATGTCGATGTCTTGGCTCTGCATCACGTCCTTGTACAGCCATGGCGCGAGGTGCCCGAACGGGTCCATGGCCACGATCTTCTTCTTGTCGCCCCACGCCGGGAACGGACCGATGAGCGCAGCCGGTTCCGTGTTGGTGAAGTCCGGCTTGTGTTCCATGTCGAGGTGGTTGCTGGCCACCGCGAGTGCGTGGTATATCGAGTACGACCCGCCGTGCGCCCCGATGGCGTTGCGTCGACGGATCGTGTTGTGGTGTCTGCTCACGACTACCGGTCCGCGCTTCGCTGCGTCGCCCTCGCCCCACGAGAGGGGGATGGGGTCGATGCCCGACTGTCCTGGATACGTCGTGAGGATGATCCGGGAAACGGCAGATGACTTCCTTGCCGTTGGAGATCCGGGCGCCTTGGGCAACGGAGTGCCATCCGCCGACGGCGGTGACGCGGTCCCATTGGCGGACTGAGTCAGTTGAACGGGGTCGAGGCTGGGAGAGCCCAGGCTGCCCAGTCCACTGTTGGTGGTGCTGGAGCTTCGTAGTTGATTGATGGAAGCCGACACTCCGACCTTACTTTGGAGAGCTTCCACGCTGGCTGCTAGTTGAGCGTGGTCGCCTTGCATCTTCTTCAGTGTCGTGAGGATCTCCTCCAAAACAGCACTGTAGATCTGCGGCGGCGCGCCATTCTCGGTACTCGCCATCTTGATATTAAACAGCTGAAGACACAGGTGAGGTGAGGTGGTGTAGAAGATGATGACCTCTTGCGAGATAATAAGTATAGAGAGAATAGATCAATCAGCAGTGAGTAGCAAACAATCGTCCTTGCTGCCGCTGCTCCCGGACTTAGACTGCCCGTGGGGGGAGTTTGTGATGTGCTGACCGCTGTATGACAATCGCACAAACAATGAGTGATTGGAATGTTTGGAGGAAAACTTTGACTGAACAATAATTAGACTGAGCCGTGAAGGGCGAGAATCATGAATAGAAACCTGGGCAGAGACAAACTTATTCAGAATAATAAGACGTCTCAGTTGCGAATGGGGTGAGGTGAGGAATGCTATTGTCCCTGTCCCGCTGTTATTGATGCGGGGGACGTTATTGGCTGACGGGGGACTCCGTCGATAAGCCCCGTGAAGACTCTACACGTGACATGGATGAAATGATTATGAAAGCATTTGCACGTGACTATCACTGGTGTATGGTCCTCGTCGTTACAGGGCATGAGAATTAACAGATGCGGAGTTCAACCATCACTTCATTCACGATCCTTTCACATACGCAACATATAAAGTGAACCTTCATCATCGCCCTGAACCTTTTTCTCCTTTCCTCGATATCTCCCCTCCAAATTTCGACCATTCTGACCACGCCAGTTCTTGCCAGAACATCATCAACACTAATCACGTCTCTACTGATCGATATACATAAATCAGCAAACAAACATGGTATGTCGCCCTCTGTTCCACCTGCAAGACCCCTCGAGGCAGCCCAAACTGATCTACCATCGCAGGGTAAACGCAAGGCAGCCACCAAGCCCCAAGGGCCCAAGAAGGTACGTGGTGGCCCTTAAACAGGCTATGGTTGTTGTGACCAACGTGTTTGATGAGATGGAATGGGGCCGCTGACTTGTTTTCCTCGTAGCGAGAGCCACTCGCAACAACCTTCACCTGCCTCTTCTGCAACCACGAAAAGGCCATCCAGATCAAGCTGGACAAGAAGGCCGGCGTAGGCAATCTACACTGCAAGGTCTGCGGACAACGGTTCCAGACCGGAATCAACTACCTCTCTGCCGCCGTCGACGTCTACTCCGACTGGATCGATGCCTGCGAGAACGTGGCGCAGGAAGCCGCGGCGCAGGAAGCGGAGGACCAGAAGTTCAGCAGCTACGCCACCGCGCGTCCGGGGGCGGGTGCCGCTGCGTCAAGGGTCGACGACGAAGAAGAAGAAGACGGGGACTATGGAGGGTATTGAGCGTGAGGGGTTTTGTTCTGCTGTCACGCACACTTATCCACACACAATTCACGGACGCTATGATCAATGGGCCGCTGGTTGCGATTATTTTGGGCAGGAATCTGGCGTTATGGAAAGCATGGTTTCATGCAAAGGCTTGGGTCGAGACCAAAACGTCGACGAAAAAGACATGATGATCATGGAAAGTGAATCTTGACCAAAAATTACATTGGGATGTACTATATAGGGACTGGCAAAGTGATCGGATACTGCTGCAAATGCGACGCGGCATTCAGGTATGGAGAAAGAACATATCTTGCAGCTTGAGGAATAAAATTGTCGAATGCGGAAAGCTCATGCTACTGCATGGATTCATCTTCCGAATTGGGCAGTGCTGTAAGATGACAATGTCCTATGTCCGTGTCAGGACGCCGTTACGAGGGATGGCTTTGGCTTGAACCCGAGTATCATCCCTGGTGATGAGAGCTTGTTTAGTAAGGATATTCTCTCTCTGCATATCTCCATAACATAAGGACGGCCAAGTGCAGTGTAAACCTGTTGATTGTACAGTGGATGCTTCCATATGCTGGGTGATGCTGCTTACCTATGCGAAGGCGACCTGCTCGATGCCCTCGGGGTGGGAGAGCCTACTCAGCGAGGAACTCGTAGGGAGAATGCCGTTTGCTCCCTTCAATTATCGACAGTTTGGATGAACGATCAACCATGCTTTGCAGTGGAGGCTGTTGCGGAATGGAGGTTGCATTCTCTTTGCACAAGCTTCATTCGTATATTTACAAAAGCACACAAAATATGATACCAAACGGATCGCAGACGATCTGGAGTCAAAGTACGAGTACGAGTGACGCGCGACCGCAAAGCGATCATGGCATCAGGCGTCTTCAGCATGACACATGGCAGCTTCGACGGGTCCGAATGCATTCATACTGTGCAAGGGGCTTCAATTGTCGAACGCCTTGTCGCGACATTGTATCGTTGTCTTAGAACCGGGGCCCCATCATAATTCCCATGGTGTCTCACTTACCCTGGCTGTAAATCATGTGTGAGGGCAATGCCTCTTGGAGTTTCCCAAATTTTGCTGACTGCGCCATCACCCAGAGGTCAAAACGTGCTGGCTCGCACGAGATATTGGAAGAGATAAACATGTTCATCGTCGTCAAAGGTCAACGAACCCACAGCTCGCACATGGACACAGCGGCAACCCCCTAAAACCTTCTCGGCAGGAATTGGTCATACTGCAGTCGGGCACAAAAAACAAGACAGACAGCCATGTCAGCTTGACGCGTTAAACTCAAGACAAGAGGACTCTGTACATTCGCGCAGTCCTGTCCTTCTGACCCCCTGGCCTTATGCAACTGTGATGTGCATGAGGAAAAACGAAGCGCTTTTCGGATCATTTGCCGTCGGCCGACCTCGATTCAGACTGCCAGTGTCCAACGGATCACTTCATCGCGACCAATTCGAAACACGGGTACTCCATACCAATGACTTAACTTCAAGCCCCCTTCCTTGTTGGAACGGAAGGGGCCAGACCGATTCCAAAATGGGATGCCGGTCGCATCAAGACCAGAGAGCCCGGTAAGCCCATGGAGACTGTACTCGTACAGTACACATATTGTACAGTATTGCCACCCGCGTGATCCGCACGAAGATCCTTCGAGTTTGGCAGGTGACAAGACGCTACTGTACAGCGCAAGTGTACTTCCATACCTACTCCGTCCTCGGTATGCACTGATGATCAATGCATGATCTGCGCGACGGAGTACGCCTGCGGACGTCGGATCATGCAACGCAGTGCAATGCAAGGTTGTGAGAAGGAAAAAAAAAGGCTGGAGATCAGGCGCGTTCCCCAACAATGCAGCTGCAACGGATGAGGCTGGAGCGGATTTGGAGAGTTTTTCGAGAAAGAAACTCGAACAACCCAGCCACCAATTTTGTCCTCGGAGTGTTGGCCCCCTGTTAGGGAGCGCCTCGCGCTGAACGTCCGAAATAAAAACAAACAAAAGGGCAAGAATGGCTGGGAAGACACATCCGACCTCTCGACGATTCAAAGTCCGACTCCAGGGATCAAATTTGCTCAGCTAGACGATCCCATGCAACGCTAAACATCCTGACTGAGGGGTACCCATTAATCCTTGATTGGCAATCGACTCCAGTATCGGTCGACGACGGCAAAAGGATGCGAGCCTGGGTTGCCCCTCCGCAAATCACAGAGTGACAACACATCAGGTTTGGGTGGGAAGGTCGAACTGGCGTGTTTGAGAATATCCGACTTCCCTCCCACTAAAGCCAATAGTATAGTGGTATCTGACAAGAGTCGAACATGTCTTCCTCCCTTGCTCTTGCACAACTGGTCGACGGTAACAGGCGATACGTCGGCGCTCATCCGCCGTAAAGAAAACATCGACTTATCAAATCCTGGAAACGGGACTGCCAGCTAGGGTCGGGCGGTGTTCGTATTCGACGCATTTCAAGGGCCCCACCGTCGAGCTCCTCCAAATCGTTGCGCCGCATAACCCCTGCTTGCTGGTGAGAAAGCAGAGGACTAGTGAGGCCTTGTTGCTTCGCCCTCGAGGACAACGCGAACAACTGGTGCAGAGTGGCAGACCGTCCTTGTGATCGTCGTCTCATGCAAGATCTCGAGGTAGCAGAGATCGGTGATGAAGTTCTATCGTGCGCCTTTGGAATGGCCAATCTCCAATCCCCAGGTCTGCAGAGTCTTGTCTGTCTGCAGTCGGCATGCAATGCGGCCTTAATTGTAGCTGCTGCATTGCGCCGGGATCCCTGCATACTAACATGCACGCAAGCACGTCGCTTGGGAGATCATATAGGGGCGATTGTTTTACTATGGAAGGGCACCGAAATATCTCATCCTTGAAATATCAAGGCAAGGCTATGACTTGTTGACATCCGTCCCTCTATGGTCAATAGACTCGTACAAGTCATTCTTGTCGACTACCTTACTCCGTACATTTGTCGTTTTCCTAGAATGATCAGGCGCAATACATTGTATACTGTAATGGTCAAAGTTCTCCGTGTTCAGTCTCATCGGGTCAGCACGGTTGACTCTGGACTAGATGGGCTGGACCTTGACTTGTGAAGCGTACAGCAACATACATATTACACTGACTCGGGTAAGTCTTTTTGAAAATTTGCCAGTCCCCTAAAAACTGAACTGTAATACGAGGCTGAGGGATGGTGGTTTCAGTGAGGAGCCGACAAAAGAATATGATGGACACTCGTCAACGGTACTTTTACTTCACCTGTACTCGTAACGACACGTGAAAATGGTGGTCTGTTTGTCTTTTCCACATGTGGGCGGCTAGCGGTACCAACTGGTCCAGTGGTCCATGACGCGCAGCAAGCGGGCCCGGCAAGGAATGGACTCATTGTTGTATCAAGTGGGCAGGCGAAGTCGGCGCTTGCCAGCCACTCATTGACATGTGTGCGCCGTCGTTCATCAACCTCCCAGGCTGTAGGAAGAACAGCAACAATAGCTAAAGAAACATAAAACAATTCTGTTACACGGGAAAAACTTGAGCTTGATTTGCAACAGAGCTGACAATCTCCGCGTGGGATGTTGGTTCTGGTTGTGAGGTGCTACAATACTGACCGTGGTTTCTGCAAACCTGAGATCTAGCTCTGTTCGACTGCCCAGATACTGATGCACGTAATTCGTAGAAGAACGACTGAATCTGGTCACTTGCCGCCGTACCTCACCTTAGCGCTGCCCGAAGGATCTGGCGTCTTTGAGAACGTAAAGCCACCAGGCGTTACAGTCGCTAAGCCGCTGTTTGAAGCGTGAATAGCGAAGCGATGATGTTCTTCAGCATTACGGAGTAAATATTCGTTCGCTTCACAGCAGGGCGCGCCGACCGACCGACCAGGCCAGTTGACTAGTGTGGTGGTTCTCTATCGGCGGCTGCAGCAGATGGCTTGTGCTATCGGCAAGTCAGTGACAGGGAGCAGGGGAGATGGATAGGCAAGAACCCCAGGCGACTAGGGGCCCCTGGCTTTCGTTGCAGGATGCAACTCAGCAAGTCAGCGCTTCCCCTCTTTTGTCTGCTCTCACTGGCCCCAGGCTGGCCTGTTTTTTAGCTAACGCCTTCCGTGCCGGACCAAGCGCAACACTGCCGGGAATGGCATTGACATCAATTGCGGCGGCTGGTTGGCGCCAGGTAGGAAACTTTCCGACATTGTGGCACAAGCCTTTTCGTCAAGACCGCCTGGATTCCAATCCATGACAGAATATTTGAATGGTTTTGTATTGAGTAACCTTGAGACGAGAACGCAGAGCGGAGCAAGGGAACCGCTCGTGACATGGACTGCGGAAAAAAGAGCTCGCGCTTGGAGATCATCGACAGTCGTGCTATTGCTATCTTGCGAGGGAGGCAGGGGATTGAAACCTTGACAGCCTAGCGTGCCGAAGGAAGCCCTGGGCCGGAAGGGCTGAGAGACTGCCCAGGCGCTGAAGGTGGCAAGGATGTCAGGGAAAGATACGGACATCTAGCCTGCCAGCTCTGAGACGGGTTGGGGTTCCTTTTGGGGGCTGATCATGATAAGGTGATTCTCAGAACATGTTGATTCAACAATGATAGGCAGTTGAGCTTGCGGATGGGCGGTCGGAGTGCCAGAGAGGGTGCTCTCAATTGCTGTCTAGCCCCGGTCGGTTGCCTTGGTCCTCTGGTGTTCTTTTTCCAACTCAGGCCCAATTAGCGGTCATGTTCTAGGTGGGCCAGAAGCTGTCCTGCCATTGACGGTGGATAGAAAGGCTGGGGGAAGTGGGATTCACCTTCAACATGAAGTTTTGTGTATCTCGTCGTTCGTGCGGCACAAAAGCCACGGTGCTCTAATCATCTCCTGATTCCGGCGTTGGCTGTAAGGAACAGCATCCACTCGACACCCCTCCGCCACCCACCGATGAAGACTGTGTTGCGGTTTTTAGGCAAGTCCAGCTGCAAGAGAGAGAGATACGGAGTACAATGCCTCGAACGAGAATGTCGGACTCGACCTTTCCGGCTATGGTGCTCGCAGGAGGGGGCCCTGCCATCGAATTCTTCCCCTTCCTCCATTGTACCGCCGTCCGCCGATGCCGATAGGATCTTTACACAGAGAGTAACGCGATGCGTTTTTTGACTTCTTCCTCTTGCTCTGTAGTGGTGCCTTTTCATTTACTTATCCACCCTGCCCGTAGCGTGTTTGTCCGCTGTCGTTCTGTTGATACCCAGGTCAAAGCTTTAAATCCCACACGTCAAAAAGCGAAACCTAGCTTATCCTGCCTCCACCACAATACGGGCTACATGTTCTGGAAATACATGTAGCTAAAAACGTTGCAGTTATCCTGTCTCCCCGTAGTCTGATCTACATTGACGTTTCTCCGGGCGAGCACAAAATCATGCTCGTATCTGGTGGCAAGGGGTCGACAAGCATCCAGAAGGCACTCCGCCCGGAGCAGGCCATTTCGCCCGATCCCTCCATCGTACGCGAATGGACGCCAGGGTCTGGAAGTTCGTTGAGCGGGCGGTACGGAGTAGCCGTGAATCGTAAGCAAGGTCTCGTCGTGTGAAAAAGGAGCCCAGCTCGTACTCCGTACGGGCTGCGATTGGCAAGATGCGTCCGGCCGTCGTGGGTCTGCTGGTTGGACCTTTCGTGGATCGTGACTCGCAAGTCGCGGCACGCTGTAATCGAAGCAGCATTGACACTGGACCGCGGGTGGTGGACCGGGTCTGTCAGGGAGGAGTCGTCATGCCAATCGTAGGAGGCCCAAGTGGATTTTGCTGGTGGTGGCTTGAGGGATGGAGTCGGTAAGGGCAAGGGCGTTGAGGGCAGGGAAAAAGCGTGACGGTCGAGGTGTGCAAGAAACGCCTCTTTGGGGATGGATCAAGGGCCAGCACGCCAGCACGCCAGCACGCCCAGCACACCAAGCACTCAACTCTGATCAGTCCTTGTCGCCCGCCCGCTGGCACCTCTTTTTGGGCCGTCTTCCTTTTTGCTGCTGCTTAAGCTAATGCACCCACCTGCACACACTCAGTCCTCCCGCTCGGCTACCAGCGCACCGTCGTCCACCTTGCATTCCTGCATCCTGCTTCTCACGACCTCGTTGTTCTTTGCTCCAGATCTCCATTGATCTTTTGATCTTTTTGTGCAGTCGAATTCTCATCAGCGGTTGTTGACATGGCTTAATGCGCGTCACCTCGTTTTGCTGCAGAGTCTGATTTTGCTTGAGAAGTTGTGGTACGTCAACCCGCCTGCTATCTATTCTACGCTGCCGATCCGCAAGAGAAAAGATACCTCAGCTGCCCGCCACAGAGCCTGCGCTCAGCACTTCCACCGCATCCCCTGGTCTCGCTGCATGCTGGATGTACTTGCTTGTTTCGGAGTCACCAATGTTGATGCCACCTTCGCTAATACTTCAATACTGTAGTTCGTACTCAATTGAGCCGACAAGTGGCTTTGGTGCGGTAGCTTACCCCCAAAACCCAGCGAAACTTCACGACTCTAGCGGCTTATCGAGGCTTCCAACCTTGAGTCACGAGACCCCTGTCTGTGTGTGCAGAGTACGTCTGTTTGCCGAGCGGTTTGGTTTTCTTGGTTGAAGAATCAACTGTTTGTGTAAGCCACGGTCAAGACGAGTGGAACAGGAAGGACTCCTTCCCTAGCAAGAGAAGAACAAAATCTGGTTCTGAGCTACTTTGACTGTCGGCTATCGTCGCTGGCTTTCTCGATTGACACCGCCGGGCAAAACCTGTAGTTGCGGTACCGATCATCGGTCGGCTTGAGTTGAATCTCGATACTTCAGGAGGAGGAGCAAACCAGATCGCTACTCATACAAAATCTCAGGTGGTTTGCCTAGCTCTGGCTTCAAGAACAGGACAGCCCCTGGAAGGAAGCAGTAGCACTGGGCTCCTGCAGGGTGGTATCGTGCTTTGCTTGTACCCAAGTCGCGGACGTTCTGTTGAATTTCCCAGCTGTCCTGCGTGTAAAGGTTCAAGATGAATCAAACTCAACCTTATATGGATATGCATCCAGGTTCTCACATATCTTCCGGGCCGTCCTACTCGCATTCCGCGACAGCTCCTATGGGCCACTATCAACCCTACCAGCAGCCGCCGATACTGCCTCCTACTTCTACCCATTATACACACCCCCAAGCGTACAGCGGCTATGGTTATGCAAATGGCGTCACTTCTCCCCAATCTGCCTCTGGTCCTGTTGGTCAACCTGTCCAAAGTCAGATTCCGTCTCTTCCGAGTGAGCAAAGCGAGCTGTTCCCAAGGCTTCATAATCAAGCTAATCAATTCACAGCTATGATAACAGCACCGGGGCCAGCGCATTCCTATGTGCCTCAGACGTCATCTTTACCTGCTCCGAACCAAGGTTATTCTGCTCAGCAACAGCAGCCATATGACACGACTGGCCAGGTTGCCCCGCCCGGCATGAAGCCACGAGTCACGGCTACACTGTGGGAAGATGAAGGGAGTCTGTGTTTTCAGGTTGAGGCTAAAGGAGTTTGTGTGGCTCGTCGAGAGGGTATGCATCATTTTTCTTACGCCTCCCACTGGAACTTCAAGTGCTGACGCGTAGTAGATAACCACTTCATCAATGGTACAAAACTTTTGAATGTTGCCGGCATGACCCGTGGTCGCCGGGATGGTATTTTGAAATCCGAGAAAACTCGCCACGTGGTGAAAATCGGGCCTATGCACTTGAAGGGCGTCTGGTAATTTGGAGGCATTTTGAGACCACAGGATTGATTCGCTAACTGTTGTCAGGATCCCGTTCGAACGTGCTCTGGATTTCGCGAACAAAGAAAAGATTACCGATCTTTTGTATCCGCTGTTTGTACACAACATTGGAGGCTTGCTGTACAATCCTGAAAACACTCCCCGTACAAACGCATTGACCCAGGGAACGACGGACCGACGTCGTATTGATAGCCTCGACTCGACACGCCCTCCGCCATCTGTACAGACCCCATCTCTTCAGCACCACAACACTATGCCGGCTGGTGGTCAAGCGCCACCTACCCCTCAGTCTGTTATTCCGCACCCTAACGCGGCCCGCCCTGGCATTGATCGAGCTCATACTTTCCCAACTCCTCCAACCAGCGCATCGAGTGTCATGGGTATGGGCAATCAAGGGAGTTCATATGATTGGGGTAACCAGCAAATGCCCAATGGCACAAGTGGCGCGCAAGCATTGTCCATCGATACTGGTATGAATGCTCGGTCGATGCCAACCACGCCTGCCACTACACCACCCGGTACTGGGGGCCAGGGAATGCCACCGTATCAGGGCCAGTCGGGTTATGAGTCCAAGCACTATTACAGTACTACTCCGAGTTCCCAAACCGGATATGCGCAACAGCCAGATGGTACTCGGTATGGACAAGGCATGCAATCTGGCCCGTATGGCAAGGGTGACATGGGCCCTCCCTTAGGGCCTGGGAATCCCAGCGGCGGCAGCGACGTGCGTGATAACAAGCCCGATTCTTTTGCCCCACCTGGCCATGGCTCTCAACATGAAAGCGATCATCCGGACAGCGGCTACATGAGTGCGAATCCCTCCGCATATAGTTCGAACCGGGGCCAGTATGCCTACGGTGCTGGTGACCATCCCCATTTGTCTCCAGAGCAGATATCAGGTTCGCCACCGCATCAGACAGGCTCTGGTCATGCCACCCCTCGAACAATGCCAGCCGGTCAACCGCAATGGCCTGCAGAGTATCATACTCCACCTCGCGCTCCGAATACGAGCAGTGTCTATAATGTCATGGGCCATGATCGAACACCACAGACGGGACCGACTGATTCTTACGGAAACCCCGCTTATTCAAGTGGACATCCTGGCGGATTGACTTCTGTCAAGCGCGGGAGAGAGGACGATGAGCAAGATCGACCTGGAAGTCGTCAGTTTGATAACTATGATGCCAAACGACGCAAAATGGGCCCCCAGGAGACGTTCGGAATGCCCCTTCAACCGCCTCCACACATGCAAGCCATCAAAACTGGTGGCCAGCGATGAGACATTGAGGATGTCTCAGCAAGTGAAGCTTTCCAACATAGTGATTCCACAGCCAGCCACCAAAGACTCCAAAAGTTTGGTGGCGTTGCTATCAACCTAATACCTCATCACGACATGATTGGAATAGCGATAACGAAAGTTTACGACGGCCCACGAGCCAAAAAAGATCAAGACATGACGAACGGAACAACAAACGTGCATTGTATGCTTCCTGAAACTCTAACGACTTTATGACACGATTTCCTATCGAAAGCGATTTTGACCTGGCGAAAATTACGACCTGTTATTTTGCTTGCGACCTGTAATGGGTCGCACCAATGGTTTAGATGATGCTCAGATCTTTTCTTTTTGTGTATGAGGGAATGATATACGTGCGGATGGATTATGATTAGGATGAAAACGGCTACGATTCTCCGGCGCCATTGATGTTTTCTTGGCTATGGGATTCGAGAGCAAAAACACACACAGGGGGTTTTGATCCTTGCGAATGACTTATTGCTCCTGGAAACAGTCCACCTGAGCTTTTGCATGTAGAAGACAAGGGGTTATTCCAGTAGCGAGCAGAAGTTGAGCGGCAGGGATGTGAAATGGTGGCTCTCGTTTCCCTAATCGTGAGATCTTCCGCTGATGACATGTCATATACAATAAAAGCATAACTTATAATTGACTTGTGCACTTCTGGTACTCTGTCCAAAGCCCTCGGTGTGACTAGAGTGACGTGAATGAAAGATCTGAGGAGAAGTACGGATACCACAGGTACATTGAAGAATACTGAAATCTCTAGAGATATAGGTACCTGCATTATGTAATTGCGGCTCATTGTCGGAGCACGGAGCCCTCGTAATCGTATCCTCAAGCAAAGCGGCTTTCCAAAGCTGAGCCAACTCGCCAAGCCGTGTCTTGGCACACACCCCCTCAGAATTTGATTATTGGCGACATCTCTTTGAACTGCGACTTTTCGAGGCATCAACACCACGTCGACAATCATTCAGTCATCCCAGCAAGATGTGAGTCTCAATGTCTATTTACTGAAGAAATCACCATACTCCCTACCTTGCTCGTCCCCGGCCAGCTCGACCTGTGCTCTACAACTCCATGACGTCCTGCAATTTGGAGCCTTGTTTGGAATAAAGAGACTGACCCGAGTGCAAATCAGGACCAACCTCCGTACCCAGAAGCGCCTTGCGGCGTCCGTTGTCGGCTGTGGTAAACGCAAGATCTGGCTTGACCCTAACGAAGTCAGCGAAATCGCCAATGCCAACTCTCGCCAGACGATCCGAAAGCTGGTCAGCGATGGCCTTATCATCCGCAAGCCCGTCGCGATGCACTCTAGAGCCCGTGCCCGAGAACTGAACGCTGCACGAAGAATCGGTAGACACAGAGGTTTCGGTAAGAGAAAGGGTACAAAGGACGCCAGAATGCCAAGGTACGAAAATGCCAAATGACAGGATCCAGCGCTGGTGGTTAAGAATATTTATACTGACAAATGCATTCTATAGCCAAGTCCTATGGATGAGACGTCTCCGTGTCCTTCGACGCCTCTTGGCCAAATACCGTGCAGCCGGCAAAATCGATAAGCACCTTTATCACGAGCTCTACCATCTGAGTAAGGGTAACACCTTCAAGCACAAGCGTGCGTTGGTTGAACACGTATGTCTACCACTATGATAGCTCTTCTACCATCACTAACTTGTCTCGTGCAGATCCACAAGGCCAAGGCTGAGAAGCAACGTGAGAGAATCCTCAAGGAAGAAATGGATGCCAAGCGTGCAAAGACCAAGGCTGCCCGCGAGAGACGACAAGAGAGAATCCAAACCAAGCGAAATGCTCTTGCTGGTGAGCAGGAGGCCGAGGAGGAGAAGTAAACGACATAGGAACCGGGGTTTGGACGTGACTTGTGACACGATCTCAGTTGATCAGGGTGTCGCCGGAAGATCTCGACGATACATGTCTTGCAATCAGATGGCGAGCTTGGAGTCAGTTCGTTGCAGTCAGTGAGAAGTCGAGCATGACCAGACGGTCGTCACTAGACACCAGCATTTCCTATTACGATGTTGGCTGTGGTTTCACTAGGGCGCAATGACAAAAATGAAAGATCGATACCAACGAATACCTATGATTGATTCTACTTGTTGATGATTCAGTTACTCTTGAGGAATATAACTGCGTCAGTGAGAGCATTTCATTGTAGTCGTACAGCAGCCCTCTTTTTCTCTGCAATCCTCCTTGATTGCAGGCAGATCAGGCATAACGTCATCTACATTCGGCAACCTTTTCAACGAGTACGTACGTGGTCGACGAACCGCGACAACAGTAGTTGAGCAAGTGGAGGTAAAGGGTGGTTACATGGTAGTACATACATTATTGTGGTCGGCCCAAGCCTGGGCTTCCATCTCGTTTTGCGAGTAAAGATGACTGGACATTTCACCAGATTCATTCTCAGCGCTACACTTTTCAAGCCATTTCGCCCATCACTGCAACCTACTAGGCAGGCCTAAGATTGCCCCGAAAAGTACGGAGCTGAGCCCGGCTATCCTGTTTGGCGAACTTCAGTTACATGGGAATACGCGAGGCAAGCCGCTTCTCTTGCATGCAACTACTGCACCATTGGTGTGACGGTTGTGATCAACAAACATACCCACATCACAGAATCTGTCTCTGCTCAACTGGTTTGCTCGACGCTTCTTATTTCTGGAGCAGCTGTCTCTGTCGTCGAACCCCAGACATCCGGACATTTGGGATATCTGGCTGACGTGTGATTCTAGGTGCCCCGGAAGATCTTCGCCAGATGCTGATGACCCTGTTGCTCAAGCTCGTTGCACCAGGCTCCGTGAACTAGGCTTGAACTCCTGGTATTTTATGCCGCAGTGATTACGAGCACTACAGCAAAGGCCATTCGACAGGATCAGACGACCAAATCTCAAAGAGCATAGTCACCAGCACGAGTGAAAAAGTACCCCGAATTTACCGATCACAGATGCCCATTGATCGAGGACCGCTAGCACCAGTTCATTTCCATCGCAAAGTAACCGGATATGTTTGGCGGAAATGTATGGGGTGCCATTGGTAAGTACCATGTCAATCCCACAGCAGCCTTGGAAATGTCATTGAGTTTACCTGCGCGTTGTCTATTCCGGAGGTGCTGTGTCCTGCGCCGCCAATATGGGCGCTGAGCCATCTTCTTCTTGACAATGGCTTTCAAAGCATTGAATCAAGAAGGCCTTATCTGGAGCCGGCTGCAGTTCACATGGACCACCCCGAGAATGTTCACATCGTGCGGCGCAAGAGGGTGGCCTTTTGCATGGCAAAACTCGAGAGTCCCGACTTCGTCTGCTTGCCTAGATTTCCCTTTGACGATGTGGTTTCCTTCTTGGACTGGTAATCGGTTCAAGCGAACATTTCCTGACGATTTATAGCACCAGCAAGTGAGGCTCTTCTTGACAAAGAGCGTTCTCCGCCGCCAAAACCCACTCCCCTCGAGTTCCCGGGTTACGTACCTCCTCGCTCCGACAATCCTCTGGATAGAAGCCACCTCCGGTCTTTATGCAAGGACCTTGCATCTGTGCGTAGACCATGGGATGTCAAGGACAGCCAACTAGCGCAGTTCAACATCCAGCTAGACCAAAATGTGTCTTTGTCCGACATGGTACCTGATGGGAAATTCAAATCTCGTCCATTTTTATATGATTCTGAATTGGAGTCTATGCTCAAGGAGTTGGAGGTCGAGAACGAGGATGCTTATCGAGAGATCATACGATTACCGCCACTTTCAGGTAGACAGAAGCCGCGACTAGCCTATTCACGCGGGTTTTTCACAAGCTTGGAAGATATGTGTCGCTATTGGGACGATAGCAAAGATGAATACTACGAAGTCGAAGCAGCGGACCAGGAGTCTCCCAACGCAGAAACATTTAAAACGCCGTTAGCAGCCAAAGAAACGGACACCCCCAACGCCGAAAAACCGAAGACGAAAGCTCCATCCGAAGGGAATAAAGCAGCTACCGCTGGAACAAGCTCGGAAACGGCATTGGCTGAAAGCAACACGTTGCCAAATATCGATGTGGTTGGAATTCCTCATCGGCCCAAAATGAAGCAGGTATACAGAGGCCTTCGAATCGGCAATGGCCAGCAGATGAGCCCTGGCACAAGGGTGGCGGCAGTAAGAAACCTCCTAAAGATGGCCATCCACAAGTTTCAGTGCAGGGATTACGATATCAACCCCCGAGAGAAGTTCCGCATTCGAAACATCAATCTTCCTTCTACGTTCTTGCACTTTTGCGTGGCCAAAATGCCGTCCGATCCGAAATTAGCAAGAGCTAGAATAGTAGAAGGCCCGCTGATGGGAGTGCATAGTCGCATTGAAGTGAGGTTCAGGCCCAGAGACGGATCCACTGATCCAGCCAACGATTCCGTTGGTGAAAAATACGACTTGTTCAGAGAAGTCAGCGGTCTGTTGATGCTCGCGAAGCAGCGAGCACGGGAAGGTCAAACGCAATCCAAAGAACCCAATCAAGATCACTGGTGGGCCACCAGGCACCGATGGGGCGGGGGCCCGACTAGATGGGGACAGTTAGCCTGCGAGGTCTTTGAAGACGATGACCCTAGTTGGAGTCCGGAAGAGAGACTGCTGCAGCTGGACAAGCGGACTAAAGTAGAAGAAGAGCGGAAGCGAACCGATGTACTTGCCACGGCTACTGATCTGAACAACCTTAAACCTGAAGACCTGATTTCAGCAAACGCCTCTTCCGAAAACGAGCGGCCCAAGAAGAAAAAGAAAGGAGACGACGATAGCAAGGACAAAGCAGAGTACAAGGACGGAAGGAGGCTGATGTTTACGGCGCCCATCCGTCGTAAATGGTACCAAGAATGGACTAGAGTGAGGCCAAATTCGCCAACATGGGATGAGAAATTCATCTACAGAAGAATCGGAATGGCTGACCCCGAGCAAGGCTGGGATGATGTGTATATGCTTTCAGCCGCAAACCATCATGTATGCATGGTGAAGTTGAGTGTTCACGAGAATTATCTCCAGTGGCTGGAGACAGGGGAGACGAAGCGCCAGGCTTCGAAGTCAGAGAGACAAGACCAAGTTTTGTACATGACTCGAAGTCGCTGGTTTGACCTGCTTGATATCGAACAGCGAAAGGAGCTCTTAACGGGCATATGGCGCGTGTTGAGCTGGCTCAACCGTGATGAGGTGCCAGAAGCCGAGCTTGAGAAGATGATCGCTTTGAGAAGACAACAACAACACCACCAACAACGAGAAGAAGAAGAGCCACAGGCGTTTGGCAACGACGGAGACCATCCAATGGAAGCATGAGCAAGGCCCCTATGGGCTTGAAGTCTCCTACGGAGGTCATCCACGATCGTAACGTTATGAGAGATACGAACAACCCACCCCATAGAAGAGGATTTATGCTTGAATGCAACGAAAAACAGGAGTCTGAATCGTTCAGTTGCATGTTTAGGTATCATTCAGACGCAACCAACCTGTACCTGACCAGAAGGCATGCTGATACGAGAGCTCCCCGGCCTTGTGAGAACGCAGGACAGGAATGAGCAATTCAACTCCGTGTTCCACCGTAGTTTCGCTCCCGTCTCAATGCTCGGTCGTATATCCCTTTTAGCTTTTTGCGGTACAAGTCGAGTCTGAGTCACGTCACTCGAAAATATTCAGACGACGTGCATGAAGCGCGGGGACTGCGTCCTTGACTTTTTTTTCCTGCGCAAGGAGTGAACTTGAACACGACACTTGCCCTCTCCGTTTCGCATCACGCTGTACGTCACTATGGCTCCATCTACCCTCACCCAGAACATCAAGATTCAGAGCCAACAGAAGAATGGCGAACCTCTCCGTCGAGAAGTGTCCCGCAGTCTGTCCATGTCGACTTCACCGCACGAGACTTTCCACCAGCGGAAGATGTCCATGGGGATAGAAGGAAGTTCGCCAGGTTTAATACGTACAAAGGGCACCGGCGCAACCCCGAAGCAACTCAAGCCCTTTCGAGAACAGGACATCAAGATTCTGTTGCTTGAGAATGTGAATCAGACTGGTCGAGATATCCTCCATGGCCAGGGCTACCAAGTCGAGTTCATGAAGAGTAGTCTCCCCGAGGACCAGCTGATCGAGAAGATAAAGTAGGTCTTCATTCTCCACCTGCCTGCTCAACAATTTCGACGATACTAACCAGCCCTAAGAGACGTCCATGTAATCGGTATTCGCTCCAAGACGAAACTGACTGCCCGTGTCCTTGCCGCCGCTCGCAACCTCATCGTGATCGGATGTTTCTGTATCGGCACGAACCAGGTCGACCTCAAATACGCCGCTGAGCACGGCATATGCGTCTTCAACTCTCCTTTCAGTAACTCGCGCAGTGTAGCGGAGCTGGTTATTGGCGAGATCATCGTCCTAGCTCGCCAATTGGGTGACCGCAGCAACGAGATGCACCAGGGCACATGGAAAAAGGTCAGCAACAAGTGCTGGGAGATCCGTGGCAAGACCCTTGGCATTATTGGGTACGGACACATCGGCTCTCAGCTCTCGGTGCTCGCCGAGTCTATGGGTATGGACGTGATATACTACGACGTCGTCAACCTGATGGCCATGGGAACGGCACGGCAAGTCCCGTCTCTAGACCACCTCCTTGCCAACGCAGACTTCGTGTCGTGCCATGTCCCTGAACTCCCGGAGACCATGAACATGATTGGCAAGGACCAGTTGGACACCATGAAATCAGGAAGTTACCTGATCAATGCGTCGAGAGGAAGCGTTGTTGATATTCCCGCTCTGATCGCGGCCATGAGATCGGGCAAAATTGCCGGTGCTGCACTCGACGTGTACCCCGCCGAACCGGCCGGAAATGGCGACTACTTCACGAACGACCTCAACCCGTGGGCTGAGGATCTGAGATCATTGCAGAACCTGATCCTGACGCCACACATCGGTGGTTCGACCGAAGAAGCGCAGAGCGCAATTGGCGTTGAAGTCGCCGAGGCGCTGGTCCGCTACGTCAACGAGGGCGTCACAATCGGCGCTGTCAACATGCCTGAAGTTGCGCTGCGAAGCCTGACCATGGACGAACCGAACCACGCACGGGTCATCTTCATCCATCAGAACGTGCCCGGTGTACTGAGGAGAGTGAACGAGATTCTGGGCGACCACAACGTCGACAAGCAAATGTCGGATTCGAGAGGAGACGTCGCGTATCTGATGGCAGATATCAGCAGTGTCAAGGAGGAGCAAGTCGCCGAGTTATACAGGGAGCTGGAGAGTCTGAAGGAGAGAATCATTACGAGAATATTGTACTAGGTCATCCAGAGCATTTCAACCGAAACGGTCTCATAAGAGCGATTCAACAGCTAATATGAGAGGGTCGGGGCGCCTGAAAGAGGACTGGAAGAGCATTTGCGGAGTTGGCGGGCGTCTGTGTACACAAAACTCAACGGACGAGATACGGGACGGCATACCGAAAGGCATACAGTAAAGGGATAACATATATAACAGCAAAGGGAAAAGTACATCTCCAGAGCCTACAATTTCGGGCTCATGCAAATTGGAAACTCCGGCTATAGTCTACTCTGGAGAATTATGATCATTATGAAGCTGACCTCCTGTTTCGAGGGCAGCTAGCAACTTTCTTGATCATTTCGCTCTCATCTGCCCTCACGGGAATGTAAATTCGTAGAGATAGGCATTCAAATTGCTCGTCAAGCTGTAACTCCTGGCTGAGCTTGCTCGGGTGATCCAGGAGGTGGTGAACAGTGCACTATTCATAACTATGCTGGTGAAAGGTTTTTCACATTCGGATTCGATCATATGGTTGCAGAATCACGCATTGAATCGCTCACATGGTGTAATAGCGATCGCCAAAGTCACCCAGGCCAGGGATGATATAGCTGAGAGGAGGTTAGCTCGCTCGTGCTTTGACTGGTAGCAAAACAGCATAGGAAAACACTTACTTTGCTTCGTTCAGGCCTTGATCAACGAAGGCGGTAATCACCCGGACCTTTGGAACGTGCTTGGCAAAGTTCTCGATACCCTCAGGACTTGCGATCAAGTTAAGGAAGAGTATCCTGTCCTCTGGAACACCGTGGCTCTTTAGTACTTCAACTGCCATGATGGCGCTACCACCAGTTGCCAGCATTGGGTCCAGCAATAAAACCCATCGGTTGGCGATGTCGGCCGGCAACTTCTCGTAAAACAGCTTGGGCTTGCTTGTCTCTTCGTTGCGCTGGATCAAGATTTTCCCTATCCTGACTGATCGACAGCATTCTCTCAAGCCTTCTTCCATTGATTCACCGGCTCTCATGATTGACACGCCACAGATCTTGCCCTCGAACCTGACTCCAACGTAGTCCTTTCCAACCGGTGACGTGACATTGTGTGCGACGACTGGAAGATGATTTAACCCCTCTTCGACCAGGAGACGAATGATTCGATTCGAGTAAAAGATGAAGTCGCCTCGTTCGGTGTTCTTGTCACGGATCATCCTGCGGGAATTAGTGCTTCTGACTCTGCGACTCTCGCACCTGCAAAACCTACGTGAGCAGCGCGATGAGCTGGGGTGTCTGGCCGAGGACGTGGACATTATCGAAGGGGACTTCCCGCGACACTGTTGCGGTTGGTTTTTCCTCAGCCGGCCGATAAGAAGGTCCTACTCCTAAAGCCGGCGACTGGACGCCAGTGGTACGCGGGATCGAAGTCATGGTTTTTCGTCGGAATTGAAAAGATCGAACAGTCTCTGCGCCCAAGTTTCGAGCGCTCGCGTGACGGTGGAGGGAAGTGGTCGATCGGAGTCGAGAGATAGATCGGAATCGAGGGTCTGCGGAGGGGATGGGGGTCGATCAGAAAGCCACTTCCATTCCTAACAAAGACAAGAACAGTCTTGGACCACGGGAAGCCTCCTACAAAGTATGCATTGATTGGAGTCAGGCAGGTCTAAAGAGGTGTATGTCTGGGAGTCGACAACTACAGACGATACGAGGTATGTGAGGGTTGGTTCGCGGGCTGGCGGCAGCTTCAATCGAAATTCTAGGCCACTAATAAAGAAGCAACCGCTTTTCCATGTGCCTACGGAGTACGGACACAACCTTACCTTAGCTTATTAGGGTACAGTACCTTGAACCTTACAGGCTTCATGCCTCCAGGCTGGAAACGCCTTCCGCACTAGGCGATCCCCGCAGCTGGCCCCTGCAAGAACCGACTGGCCTAACCGAAGCCACCTAAGCTCTCTCTCTTCGAGTACAGGCGGCTGCCCGTACCTAACTTAGGACCCTGTGTAGAATTCCGCCTACAGGTTTGTTTACGGGTGACGTGCGGACAATCATTTCCAAACCCTGCCAACGATTCTCTCCTCGACTGCACAGTCTCAGACGACTGTCAACCTCCCGCTCTACATTTCGATGTGGCGTCCCCTGTTTTGAACAACCTAGGTTACCATGGATTGCAGTCGCGTGTTGAACCACTGTCGCCCGCTGCCGCACTACATGCGACAATAAACAGATCTCACGAATGCGCACGATCGTTTTCCGGCGTGAGCGCTTCGATTGAATATGGATGCCCAGACGGCGCAAGCGCGTCGAAAAGTGAACACCTACGGGAAAGGAACAAAGAGGATTGCGGTTCACGACCTCTTCGATGTCGGAACGTTCCCCTCCGTTGAAGGAGCGAAATCGTCGCCAGGACCCCTTGCGCTTCTTGGACGAAGCGGTGTCAACAACTCATCCGCGAGATCGGGCTCGGAGGACTTGAACCTGGCTGCAAGAAGAGTCCCTTCAGGCCGTCCGTCGGAGCCTCTACGTTCCGTATCTCCAAGTACTACGATGTCTGTAGAGTCATCGCCTTCAGAAGCCACTCATCGCTCGATGTTCGACGTTCACTCATCAGATGAGGAGTCGCCGAATTTCCAATCGACGCAACCGCTGAAAAAGAGAAAGATGACACCAATAGTGAGCATTCCAAAGACACATGTGCCCTCGATGACTGTTGGGAAGCAGAAGTCGATGAACGGTGGGAAAAGCCAGCGTGCGGTACAAAGTGCTTCTCGTGTTGGTGCAGAAGCTGAGGTGAAGAGCATTAAACAAGGCAGTACCAGAAAGGCTTCAAAAGGAGCGCAGGCCAGGATGGGAGAATCGACAGAAAGTTTCAAGGATGGTGTGGACACTCCGAACAGACTCGAACAGCAGAGAGGTGCTCCCAGGAGCAAGGCTCCTCCAAAACCACTCCGGGTGATCAAGAAGCAATCCCCAGCTTTGCTATCTGACACTTCCGACCACAATGACTCCCCGAAAAGGAAACGGGGATTTCTCGAGGATGAAGCAAAGGACTCCCCAAGTCCACCAGCATTGCAAATGAAATCTCTCAGGTTAGCGTCCGACATCAATTCACTGGAACTCGACCTATCATCATCCTCGTCTGATGAGGAAATGACGGCAGCGCAGCCTGTGGTGCAGTCCTCACAAACAGGTCGTAAAAGACTCGTGGATAAGCTTGATGCGCCTCGCTCACAAAGCATAGACAGGCAAACGATCAAACCTTCTCTGGGAAGGTCTTCTGGAGAGAGCCGATATCAACACAAGATCGAAGTCGAGATCCAAAGACCTCCTGTAACGGCAAACGCTTTGCCACCGCCTAGACAACGTGCGACCTATGCTAGACAACGCTCCCACCTCAGTGATATGATTGATAGCCTGGACACCCATTCTGGAATCACTAGCCAAAATTCGTCGCAGCAGAGCTTCTCACAACCTGCGTCGTTCGGCTTAGCCTCGCAGATGGAGTTAGAAATGGAGGACAGCGATGAAGCCGACGCTTTCACTCAGATCAAGAGTATTCACGAATTGCGACGTGGTGCTGCTATCAACAAGTTTGACCAAGATATCGAATCTATTCTGGACGATCTTGAATCTCATTCCAAGTCACTACGCATTACCGCACTCTTGCTTCTGATAAATAAAATGAGGGAGCTCAATTTTCTGCGGCATTTTCAGGAGTCTGGCAATTTCTACCGCTTCACGGAAAGCAGCAGAGACGATGCTGACTTGATTACTGCAACCTTGATGGTTCTCGTCTTCAACCATGTGATAGAGACCAAACAATCACCGCCGAAGAATCAGCTGCAAATCTTAAGTGCCCTGTATCGATTACCTCCAAATTTGAGCTTGACGAGGCAGTCGCTATCATCTCTTGCCAAAGATAGGAAAGAGAACTTAAACAAGCTCACAGTCAAAGACATCATGAACTTTGACCAAGAACAACTAAAACATTCCCCTAAGCAGCAATCATTGATCAGCCTATTGTATTTGGGCACGATCAACGAAACCCTACGGGCGCTGATCAACAGTGGAGAACAGATCCCAGACTTTCCCGGCCCTTTGTTAGATGCCATCCTAGTCAACTTCACTCGCGAACAAAAGCATCTGCTTGAAGAGGACAACAGAGAGAATAGATTTGAGGGCATTCAAACTCTTTTGTCGTTGCTTGAGATCGCGTCTGCGAATTGCGAAATGGCTCCTTCTAAGCTCGCAACGTCATCTATCATTGAAGTTGGTAGGAGCATATCAAATGTCATGCAAATCGCTCGCCAAGCACGCCCTGAGATAGAGCACTCATGTTTGCGCTTGATAGTCGGCCTGAGCAATAACGAGCCAAGCGTGTGTGAGGCCCTGACGGAGGGCAAGCTCATAGCGACAGTGTTCCGGGTCATTGACGATCGGTTCTTGCAATTGGCAGGGCTGGCGTCTCGAGAACAAGCTTTTGACGGCTCTCGGCTAGAGTCTGTAATTCTTGCTGTTGGCTGCCTGCTGAACATTGCAGAGTGTGCAGATGCAGCTCGAAGAAAAATGCTTGAAGCGGACGCGAGTGGGAAGAGCCTTGTTGACAAACTGGTCAACATTTTCAACAGCCATGTTGACCAGACATCGGAGGTATACTTTTTTTGACCTAGACTGACAAGCTTATGCTGACCAAAACAGGCTCTTACAATTGACCAAACCCAGGTCTTGGTTGCTTTCGGCTACATATCCGCATTGTTGTGCACGCTATGCCTCAATGTAGATGCGCGAAGACAAATCTCAGAAAGCATCAGAGGGGAAGAGCTGTCTAAGCTCTTTGAGGCGGCAGGCATCTTTCTTCAGCATCTGCGGACTGTTGAAGAAGCACTGGGAGGGGCGGAGGGGGCATCCTCGGGATTTACAGCGCGCTTCACAATGGTGTTGGATTCCCTGACACAAGACAATGTGGAGAGATAGGGCTTTTATGACGGAGTATGGCTTAACCACCAACAACATTGGGTGGGTGGTGGTGGACCGACGATAATTGGAAAATGATTCGAGTCGAGACATGCAACAATGCATGTAAATTAAAAGATACCCCTGAAGATCTTGAGTTAGAGATTGTCGTGGAGGAAGACTGTCAATATCAATTGATCCCTTGGATCTCTGGAGATCATGTCAATCGCCTTAGGCTGGGCCGCTTCAGCTCAGCGCTTTTGTCGGCGGTGCACTCCGCATCATAGGCGCCCGTGGATATTGTATAAATTGTGGATGAAGTTAGCGTCGGTGCGTCCTATTGTATTGTATCTCCTGACTGGCGAATCCAGCGGCGCCGATAAGTTTAGCACGGGGGTACGTCGAAACACCTCAACAACATGAAGAGCTTCTTCCTGGGATTCACTCGCATTCACTCGAGATCTCAGGTCATACGACTGATCGTCAACGCACTCATCGACCACCCTCTCACCGACCTACGGCTCTCAAGCGGCCACTGATCCAGGTTACTCCCACTCCGTCGCAGTCGGCTAGTCAACTCCCTCGTTCTGAGTCAATGAGGGGCGTAAAGACGGCTGATTTTGAAAACGTTGTCACTCTAGTCAAGGAGTCTCTCGAGAAGGCCCTTGAGGAGGCAAAAGAATTGCGCCGGCAGCGCCAGGATATCCCGGAAGAGACCATGAAGATGAAGGCAATTCGACACCTCACAAAATCGATAAATCTCGAGAAGAACAAGATGCTTGATGCGATTCAGATTGTTGCGGAGAAGTATGAGGTTTTCCTGGCGTTGACGGAAGATCCTCAGTTGCAACAGAGTTGGCTGGTCAACCAAATAGAGAGAAGAGGTTCATGACACTCTCTACAGAGGATTATTTCATCTGCGTCAGATTCCTCGACCAGCCAGGCGCCGTAGCATTGTCCGGATACTCCTATGAAACGCTTCTGCTCTCCAAAAAGGGCGTTCCTTCGAGACGAAAAGAACATACCCTGGGTTACCGCGGTGCGGGTACGTAAACCTGCCGAGATCGAAAGATCGAACAATACCACGCTGACGGGATGGTTGTCTGATGCACCCACCACTGGGATATGGCTTTGTTGGTACAAGTAGTCGCCATGTCATTGCCGGTTCCCCGGATGACGGGCGAGAGGGCTGTCTGTCGTTAGCTGGGCGTAAAAGGAGGCCGGAAGAGAGGACGATTGGCCGAGGCATCACTAGACTCTGTCTCGATGCATGGAGATGGAGCAGGCGACGACGGTGCAGCGCAAGAATCCCCGCCGTCGGATGGAGTTTTTGGCAGCAATTCGTCTTGTCGAAAACCACGATTCTGAATCCCTATACACCTCATCAGTAATTCTTGTTGTCACGGTCGTAAATGTCGGTGTGGTTGACCAGCATGGATGGCATCCTGAACGTCCCGCTCAGCGCAACGCACAGACTCTGTTGTTACAAGCACAAGTACAATAGTGCGTACGACATGTTTAGACTCTCCGTCACTCATTTTGCATGTGTGCGAGCTCAGCCAGTCCATCCATCTGCCATCTGCCATCCATACTTTTTTCTCGGTCCGCAACCGCTCTATATTCGTTGCTCCGCAGGGAAAGCCGTCATACTTCCAATTCCCATTACATACAACATTCCTCTTCCATTTGTCCCTTCATTCCTCAACCTATTCTTGCGATCGCCACATGGCATTACCGTGTCCGCCATCTCACTGAACTCGGCCCGCCTCTCAATTCGTAACTAACCACTTACCCGTTTCCCTCTTTTGGGGACTGGTCGCAGTCTTGAATTCTTTTTTCCCCCCAGAAGCCGACCAGGAACAAGGCCTTCTTGGGAGCACACTCTCTCTCCGTGTCCCTCGCATCATAGTGTTTCTCGCAACGATGGCTCCATCCGTCAAGCAGCGAAAGATTGCCATCCTCGGCAGTCGTTCCGTCGGTAAGTACTTCGTCACATGTTGCTAACGTGACGAATTCCTGGCCCCAAGTCTGACACTTGCGCAGGCAAATCTTCCTTGACAGTGCAGTACTGTGAGGGTCACTTTGTCGAGAGCTACTACCCTACCATCGAGAACACCTTCAGTCATGAAATCCAACACAAAGGCCAGACCTTTCTCACCGAGATCATTGACACCGCTGGACAGGTGGGTTGGACCGCAGACAATGGCGTCCAAAACTATGCGTTCCACATGCTGACACAAAGAACAGGATGAATACAGTCTCATGAACTCCAAGCTGTACATAGGAATCCACGGGTACATGATTGTGTATTCTGTCGCCTCCAGACAGTCGTTCGACATGGTCAGAATCATTCGAGACAAACTTCTGAATCATCTGGTACGTCAATTACCGAGCAGACCTTACCCGGACAACAAAAGACCACTAGTAAACTAATTGATCATTCTAGGGTGCGGATACCCTCCCGATCATGATCGTCGGCAACAAGAACGACGTCGATGCGAAGAAACAGCGCAAAGTGACCGCCGAGGAAGGCCAGGAACTGGGAAAAGAACTGAACTGCGGATGGATTGAGACAAGTGCTAGGAACAATACAAACGTCGCCAAGGCATTCGAGTTGATGATCGCCGAGATCGAAAAGTCCCAGGAGCCAGACAAACCCGCAGGTGGAGGCAAATGCGCCGTCATGTGAAGCGGTTGTGCCCTTTTAGGACGCAATTGCACATAAGAAGAGGAAGACAAAGAAATTACGACATCGTCACACTCATCACCGCGCGAGGTGGAGTGGAGGACGTGGAGATGTTGGCCATTGCAGTCATCCTCTCGGGCGGTGATGTTTTACTACGGTATGGCGTTTTCTGATGGGTCATGAGCGCGCATGATATAGACAATCCAGGTTGGGATAGATGGAGGTTGTCTTGCTTTCGATCAAGTTTTTCGGCGCTCCGGTCATTGTCAATTGGGAATCTCAGTGTTGGGTCTATTGAGCTTTATGTTTCTGGATGCCGGCAGACTTTAATCATGCCCATATGGGGCGGTTCAAGAAAGAAGAGCAAAGCAAAGCGGGAGAAAGCCACTTGTGAAGAGGCTGGAGATTCATGATACCCTTGAGATGTTAGACTGTCTCGAATCTTTCAGGAGCCAGATTGGGCACTTTTTGCACATTACAGGCAAATGTCACTGGATCAACACAGGCACCATGGCTTTCTAGAAGGATTCCGCTTGGCAATTCGGTATTGAAGACCAGGTAGTAGAAACAGTTTCTCATTGATATTCTGTTTCATTCCGCTGCGTTGAAACTTCGGAGTGACTCACGAGGCTCCGACATTTTGGCTCGCTTTGTTCTGTTCTGCGGGGCAGAAATATTATTTGCACGAGACTGTCCAGTATTCAAGTGCACGCGCAGGAAGAGAACATAACACTCTGCTCATTTTCCCCTGCATTTCGTCTGTCTGTTCCACATACACACACCCTCCTCTCTAAAACCACACATTCACCATGCTCGACGTCCAAGATTTCATTGTCTCAAGGTGAGTGCGAAGACGTTCCTGCGTTCCCGCGTGCGACTTTTGATGCTCACCGGTTGTGCAGAGGAGGTGACCCCAAGAAAGTGATCGAGAGTCAACGCAGAAGATATGCCTCGCCAGAAATCGTGGACGAGGTCATTGCCCTCTGGGAAGATGCCTACAAGAGTTGGTTCATGGGACACATATCGACTTTGTGCTAAGAAGGGCCGCTAACATACACAATCTGCGACGCACAGCACGGTACCAAGCTTCTCAAATCGGTGCCAAAATCAATGCTCTCCAGAAAGAGATTGGCAAGCTGAAGAAGGTGGGTACACGTTGGAAGATGGCACCATCCTACCCGAGCCACAAGAGTTCAAGACGCTGACGGAAGGCGGACTGTAGGCCAAACAAGACGCCGATCACCTGTTAAAGGAGAAGGTCGACCTCGAGAAAGAGAAAAAGAAGACCGAAGATGAGGCCGTGGAAAAGGAAAAGGCAAGGGACAAGAAGTGCAAACTGATCGGAAACTACGTGCATGAGTCGGTGCCTGTAAACGACAACGAGGTGAGCAGCATTTGTCTCATATTTCTCACGCTCCCTCTCGAGCTCGCGCACACAGTGTTGACGACGACGTCTGGATACGGCTCTAGGACTTCAACGAGGTCGTCCAGAAATGGACACCCGAAGGCGTCACGGTCGAGAAGAAAGAGTGCCTCTCGCATCACGAAGTCATGACCCGAGCCGAGGTGTATGACGGCGAGCGAGGCGTCAAACTGGTCGGACACAGAGGCTACTTTCTGCGCAAGTGGGGTGTGCTCCTGAACCAGGCCCTCATCAACTATGGTCTGCATTTCCTCACGGCCAGAGGTTATGACCCGATCCAACCCCCTTTCTTCATGAAGGCCGAGTACATGGCCAAGACGGCACAGCTCGAGCAGTTCGACGAGGAGCTGTACAAGGTGGTCGAGGACAAGGATGCCGAGGACAAATACCTGATCGCCACTTCGGAGCAGCCCCTCTCAGCCATGTTTGCCGATGAGTGGTTGACGGAGAAAGACCTCCCGATGAAATTCGCCGGTTACAGTTCATGCTTCAGAAAAGAGGCAGGTGCCCACGGAAGAGATGCCTGGGGGTTGTACCGGATACATCAATTTGAAAAGGTACGGTTTTGTCTACCTGTCTAACGCTTGAGCTTTTCTTTTTGCCTTGTCTTGCCTTTGTCTGGCTCTCTTCAGATGTCGTGGTGGTGGTGGTGGTGGGGCGTTGGTATCTGTGTGGAACGACGAAAACATTGCTAACGACGTTTGGCGGGGCGCATAGATTGAACAATTCCTCTTCGTCAAGCCTGAAGACTCATGGCAAGCCCTCGAAGACATGAAGACGGTCGCCGAGGAATTCTACCAGTCTCTCAAATTGCCGTACCGAGTCGTGGCCATTGTGTCGGGAGCCCTGAACAACGCCGCGGCCAAGAAATACGATTTGGAGGCCTGGTTCCCCTACCAGGGCGAGTACAAGGAACTGGTCTCTTGCTCGAATTGCACCGACTACCAGACCCGCGAGCTGGAGATTAGGTACGGTCAGAAGAAGGGTGCGATCGACGCGAGAAAGACGTACGCCCACGCCTTGAACGGGACGTTGTGTGCCACGGAACGCACGCTGTGCTGCCTGCTTGAGAATTATCAGAAGGAAGACGGCTTCGAGGTCCCCGAGGCTCTGAGACCGTACATGCCCCCTGGAACTCCGGAGATCATTCCCTACACCAAGGAACTGCCCAAGGACACCGTGTCGGCCAAGTCGAAGCAGCCCGCGAAACCGAAGAAGGACGGAGGTGCGCCAGAGGGTGGTCCAAAGTTGAACATGCCTGCGGCAGAGAATGTGGCTGATAAGTTGAAGGATATGAAGGTCTGATGGTTTAACTGACTAACTTTTCGGAATGTAAAAGAATGTTGGATATAGGCCGCTTGCTGGTTTTCGATGTCTGCGGCTCTGTCCGTCAGCTATGACCATGGACTAAAGCGAAGATCCGAAGTGGCTGAAGCAACAAGCAAAGAGAACTGCAGCGAATGAATGAGCATGGTGATACATGAAGATTGATGACTTTCACAAACAACGGTGGAAAGTGACATAGGTCCGTCCTCATTGTCGCTAGAAGAGGTAGAGAAAGAATGAATGCAAGCAAGCCAACCAAACTAAGATAACCAAAGGCCTACAGTGCGTAACACATAGTACTGATTGTGATGCGAGGGAATTACCGCTTGAATGCGGAGTCCCATCGTTGACACGACAACACAATTGACGATGATTCCGTTTTACTTTACAGAGGTGTTTACTCACTCTCTCACTCTCTCTCTCTCTCTCTGTGTGTGTGTGTGTGTGTGTGTGTGGGTGGGTAGGTGGGTGGATGTGTGTGTGTATAGAATAAATAACTGAAATCTATCAATCGGTACATAACGCTCAAGCTAGCTACACTGAAAAATCCCTATTGATACATCAGGTATACATTGCCGGGGTCGCATATTGCTTAATATGCATGTCATTCATGTCCGTCGGTGATCAGACATACTCTAGGGGGTCGCCGCGCGGTGCTGGACCTGGAGTCTGCACGCCTCCGACCATGACTTGCCCCGGATCGTCTGTGATGATATAGAGATCAGTGTCGCCGCATCATCATCGCCTTATCCTATTTTGTCGTGGAGCGACGAGGGACGGCGCTTGACCGTGTGATATCAGGTTTCTTGAGGTACGCTGTGCCTACCTGCATGGGGGTTCACTAACTTAGGCAAAGGTCGGCCTAACTAGCTAACTCAGGTACCTAAATACCTGGCTGGGCCTTACCGTACATCATACAGTACCTCCACGACAGTGAACATTTATCCACTGTACACTCATCTCAACTTTTCCCAGTCTCTCCCTGGGTACTCTACCCGCGTGTTGTAATCCGACATCTCACCCTAACAACACCCATCCCTTGGTCGTGTAAAAATGGCAGACTACGGCAAAATGCTTTGCGCTTGGAATCTCTTAGGGCGTCGCCACAAACTCCACGAGAAGTTCCAAGTGCTTACTTTTCTGCATTCTCATGGCTCCTTTGCCCCCTGAGCTGATCAGTCTACATCTGGCGCCCTCACTCCTTGATCATCCTTCTACAGCTCTCCCAGGGCACCCTGAGATGGGTTAGGTGTAGGTCGGGTTTAGGCGGAAAGCCCATCTTCAGGAGATGACGGTCTCTTCTTGGAATGCCCACGGGTACTAGCGCTGGGCACCTCAAGACAGTAATCGAGACGACTTACATTCCTTCAGTATCTTGTGAGTTGACCTCATTTGCCCCCTTATTGTTTCTCCTTACTCAATGTATTATCTCTCTCTCTTTCTCTATACTCGTCGTACCTCGCTGACGTAGGAGACTGTCTGTATTGATTATCTATATACGATGGTTTCTTTACACCCGAGGTTTCTATCACGTTACGACGCGTGAAGACAGGAGATATGGCGGGGAGCTTCCACCCACACAGTAAAGTTACCATAGCGAATGATTGGAATGCATGAACCCGTTAGGGCCAGTCCTCCATAAATCCACAAACAAACAAAGCAAGAAAGAAAGAAAGACACCTCCCAATCTGCTTGCTTTCATACAGACAGTTAAAGCTTCTTCCTTTTCTTCTCATCTTCTCCCTTTTTCATGTCTAATCCTCCGCGAGAGAGTCGTCCTCGCAGGGCGAGAAAGAACCGACTGCAACCTCAAACCGGCTCTGGCTGTCGGAGGAGTGGACGATTGCAAAAGAAGCCTCCAGTTTCCTACGCACAGAATGCGCAGCCAAACCGCACAAAACGAACGCACTCTGTCGAACCGATAGTGAAATCTTCGACACCCCCGCCATCTATTCATAGCCTGACGGAGGAGAACCTTCGACTATTGAATGAGCAGGAGATGTCCAAGAGGAAAAAGACGGGCGAAGAGACCATGACCAACACGAAGCGAACCATGACCAGAAGCAAGTCAGCACCTAGCACTAATGGGGGCTATCGAATCCACCGTCTCAAGGCCGTTAACATCTTATTCGATGGCACAATTCCTGAGCACTTACAAGCTGCGATCGACGACATTGTGAGAGTAAAGGCTCCGTCGGAGGAGCGCCGAGCCGTGATCCGCAACGCTGCTGAACGATTCTACCATTCTTGTCGAGGTATCAGTAATGATAGAAGTATGGAAGGCGATTTTGTCGGTGTGTGTCGTGATGCGCTTCGAGATTTGCTGAGACCGGGTATCTTTATTCGACAAGAGGCCCATTGGCGATGCGAATTCAAGCCAGGTATATCAGAGGGCAACCCGATCTTCCGAGTTGACGAAGGGACCCCTGCAATCAAAACACCCTGTCCGGATATCACAGTAGGTATTGGCGAAGAGACGTTCTTGGAGACTCTGTCCTCACCGGGGCTCGGGCTCTCCAAAACTCAGGCCCGGAACTTTGTTCGAAGACTTGAGACAGAATATGACTCTGTAGGCCCGGATGGAGAAAGGCTAGGCCTAACAATCCTGGGAAGTGGCCGCGTCTTCTTTCCTATTGTGACAGTTGAGGCAAAGGCTTATCTAACCGGAAAGCAAGTCTCGGAAGCACAAAATGAGGCCGCGGTTTCGGGAGCGAGTGCCCTAAATTTCCAGCTTCGTCTCACGGAGATGGCGAAGAGCTCAGCCGCGGAGTTTGACGATAAACAATATAAATGCCCACTCTTCTTTTCCATCTGCACCGAAGGACCATACCACGAACTGTGGGTTCACTACACCTTTGTCGAGGAAGGTCAGCGTATGTTCGACATGAAGCTGGTCAAGATCTGCAACGTGATGCTGAAGGAGACCGTCGAAGACTTCTTCTTCGCGGTAGATGGTGTCTTGAGCTGGGGTGCCGGCGCCTTTCGACAATCGGTGGTAGACCGGATGCGATTGGTGGCCATCAAGAAGACATTGGACAAAGGCGGCGAAACGAACCCAGCGAGTTGAGACGCCCTGTGCACTTTTCCTCAGTTGCAAACAGGAGGTTTGAGAGGAAGCGGAACGGTCCCGCGACCACGACCTAGAACGAGGACTAGAAGGATGAGAGTAAGGTCGATGACGAACCCCAGGATGAGGAAAGGGCGGCCAGAAGGACCCTATGGTTTGATGGTCGGGACGTGGCCTGGGGGACCGAGAGGAAACGACACAAATGGGGAAAGGGGCGGTTTGGAATGGAATAACAAGACCTGGTCGGATATGGCTGGAGTTCGACACTGACTTGATACCCCGGCGTGTTTGGAAGGCTTCATTTTTGTTCCTAATTTAGTTTCCCACGAACTTCAAATGGTGTTTTCAGATCCGATTCTTTTACCTTCTTCCCTCGGAATCGCTCCAGGTAGTCGGGCAACGAGAGGCTAATGTTCGTGGATACAGACACGTACGGAAGGAGTTGGCCGGCGCACGTTTAAGCATTCGTGTCAGAAAATGTATAGTGACGCGCGAGATCGAAAGGCCTGCTCAACCAGCAGAGAACGTATGGACGTTGGGATATGTCCACAACGAAACTGAGCTTTACGGCTTTCCAATCGAATTTCTACACCCTGTACCGATCCTAATGTCACGTCCAGGAATGGAGACGATGCGATCAACCAGGCGACAACCCAAGAAAGAATATGGTGAGTGTGAAGATGGATGTTACGCTAGACTTCATTTATCCTTGCCACGGGGTGTTCTGACTGCTTGTACTATGAGAGATGGTATCTAGGGAAATTTATGCTCTCCGTTGTCCATTCATGCCATGTCCTGGGTGCTGGTAGGAAGAGGGTTGGTTGTCCTCCAAGATCCAATCTGTTTGAGAGAAGACTCGAGTAGGAGTGGGAAGTGTCACACACACTCAGCCACCCAATTTCATGTGCTCCAGGAATCCTCCGAATGCACCTCTCCACGCTTCAGCGCCCATGGCAGCAAATCCTACCGCGGCCTCCTTGATTTCCTTCGCCGGCTTACCATTGAGGATTTCAAAGGTTTTGTCCGTGTACTCGGCCAAAGGCATCGGCGGCGGTAGATCGGGCTGCTTGTGTGCCGCGTCCAAGTCGGTTTCCACGTACGGCGGCGCAATTTCGATGACATTGACATGGGTACCGGTGAGTCGCTGGCGCAGACCGACCATGAAGTGATGTACGAATGCCTTTGTCGGACAGTAGATGGGGAAGATGCCCATGGGAACGAACGCGAGACCTGAGCTTGTTATCATAAACGTTCCCTGGTCTGGACGCTTGAGGAGGAAAGGCACAAAATGACGTGCCAGGATCATGGGTGCGGTGACGTTGGTAGCGATTTCCCTATTGATTTTGGCGTCGTCCTCGACACTCGTTGTGGTCTTGAAGTCGAAGGTATACTGAATGCCACTGTTCACCCAGACGGTGTCGATATCGGGATGTTGCGTTGTGAATGTCTGGACGTGGGCCGGAAGCGAGGCAATGTCGGTGTTGTCCATGATATAGGTCTCTAAGCCTGGGAGCTCGGACTTGAGTGCTTGCAGACGCTCGGCCCGGCGACCAGTGATGATGACTTTCTTCCCCATCGAGTGGAAGCGTCGCGCAAAGGACTCGCCGATGCCGCTCGTGCCTCCTACAATGAGGATGGTGTTCATGGTCGAAGTCGCAGACATGTTTGCTGTGTCGGATATGTCGCAGCTTAAGATGGCTTTCAGGGTGGCTGTAGTGTGATGTCTTCTAGGCTTATAGAACCGAAGAGTTGAGGATGTCCGTCCAACATGGCAGCGAGCTGAATGACCTCTACTCTTATACTGGTGCAGTTCTTGTCGTCCACATGGATCGGGCCAAATAGAACCCTCAGGCTCCAGCCTGCTTTGACGGCGACCTGGAGATAAGGAGCAGCAATACTTCCAAAAACAACAGAAAGCCAGACCATGGTCACCTTCGGATTTGAGAACGCACCAAACGAACTATATTGTTCGTTGTACTCCCTCCTAACGACCCGTGTCGCCGGGAGGTCGGTCTTAAGACCTGCTCGAAAAGGGAACGCGCCGATTTTGTTATGCTCAAGGCTAGTCTCTAAAAGGCTAGTGTTCCGGGGGCTGCCAGCCTCGACCGCCTGAATGGAAGCGTTTGGGACACGAAACATACAGTGAGCGCTGTGATATTGAGCATATGGCATCTCCAGGAGATTCCTTGTCTCGTGGAAGTAGGTGTAGATTGAGGGATCCTGAAGCTGGGAACTAGTGCGGCAAAGCGTGGTGACTGGTATTCTAGTTTGGACGAAGCTCTCTGGCTTTGATTGATGCCGACGCGGAGAAATCCAATCGTAAACTCCGTCCAACATCGACGCTCCTCATTCTCCTGCGGGCCATTCAGCTTTCCTGTTCTCGTACCTGCGTTGACAGATCTTCGCTTGTGAAAGTGCGGCCGTCGAGGCTGCTGAAGCCAACATGCTCAGTGGCATCCTCCTATTCAACCAGAAGGGCGAGAACCTCATCTTTCGCGCCTTTCGTCCAGATTGTCGTCCTCGACTAGCCGACATCTTCCGCATCCAAGTCATCTCCAATGCCCAGGTCAGATCACCTATTCTCACCCTTGGTTCGACGACCTTTAGCCATGTCAAGCACGAGAACATCTATATCGTGGCGGTCACTAAAAGCAATGCCAATGCTGCAATTGTCTTCGAATTCCTCTACAAGTTCATCGGGCTGGGAAGACAATACTTTGGAAAGTTTGACGAGGAGGCCGTCAAGAACAACTTTGTGTTGATTTATGAGTTGCTCGACGGTACGCTTGTGTAGTCTACCCTAGGTGCAGTCACACTAACAATGTCTCTAGAGATCCTAGACTTCGGCTATCCTCAAAACAGCGACATCGATGTGCTCAAGATGTACATCACCCCGGACAACATCTCCTCTGCCATCCGTTCGGTGTCCGCGCCCTCGAGCGACACTTCCCGAATCACGATGCAGGCTACGGGAGCCCAATCTTGGAGAAGAGGTGACATCAAGTACCGGAAGAACGAGGCGTTTGTGGATGTCATTGAGGACGTGAATCTTCTCATGAGCGCGACCGGCACCATCTTGAGGGCAGATGTTACTGGCCAGATCATCATGAGGGCATATCTTACCGGCACACCAGAGTGCAAGTTTGGACTCAATGATCAGCTCGTCGTTGGACAGATCGCCCACGGCCTGGATGGTCCTGTTGGGAACCAAGACAGCAGACGAAAGGCCACGAGAGCAGCTGCCGGCTCCGTCACCTTGGAGGACTGTCAATTCCATCAGTGTGTACAGTTGGGAAAATTCGAGACTGACCGAACCATCTCCTTTGTACCACCAGACGGAGAGTTCGAGCTCATGAAGTATCGAGCCGTTGAGAACGTCAACCTCCCTTTCAAAGTACATGCTATTGTGCGTGAAGTTGGCACCACCAAAGTCGAGTACAGTATTGCTGTCAAAGCGAATTACGGAAGCAAGCTTTTTGCGACGAACGTGGTGGTCAGGATACCCACGCCTTTAAACACTGCAAACATCACCGAGCGAACTACCCAAGGTAAGGCGAAGTACGAGCCAGAGAACAATTGCATCGTGTGGAAAATTTCTCGTTTTACTGGTGGCAGTGAGTTTGTCCTCAGCGCTGAAGCACACTTGACCAGTATGACCAACCAAAAGGCATGGTCACGACCACCGCTGAGCCTGAACTTTTCGCTGCTCATGTTCACTAGCTCCGGGTTGTTGGTTCGGTATCTCAAGGTGTTCGAGAAGAGCAACTATAGCAGTGTCAAGTGGGTTCGGTACATGACCAAGGCGGGAAGCTACGAGGTACGATTTTGATATAACATGGTCACTCCGCGCATATTGTGGGCCCGGTGTCGTGCAGCAGCACGAGCTCTTATGCGACAGTTTCAAGTGGTCTTTGAGACGATTTCTTCGCAGAGGAATGGCCAAGGCGAGACCGTGGAGGAGGCGTATTTTGTGACCGGCCCGTTGAGTCGCGTTTGGCCTGCATGGTCACATATAACGGCACTAACCGATGAACGGCCGACGGCCACTCAAACCCAAGCGATCATGGAGAAGCCCTTCGGCAATGCGGCGAGCCTCGATAAGGCCGTCCACGCGGCCAGTTCCACTTCCTCCAACGCTTCAGCATCTCATTACAAACAACCTGATGTATCCTTTCTGTGGCCGACGCCTTCGGCTGGTCGTCATATTGGCTATTGGCTGCGAGTCACGCGTGCATGACATGAGGTGGAATGCGAGAAGATGAAACCATGATTGGCATGAATCAAGAGGTATCTATGAAAGCCGAGCTCGCTGGAGCTGGGCAAAATTGAGTATAGTCATACAGATGAAGAAGTATGGCAGGACAGGTGCTACCAAGATGCGATGTCCAAATCTGTTCTGGAGATCCTGCGTCCTCTCCTGAGGCCGACATTGCCTTCTCCCACGAGGAGACTCCACCGCCTACCCAGGCTATCCTTGTCCTTCCCTAGTTTCCTTGCGCACTCGTTCCAGTCGCGTTTTGAAAGTTTTAGCTTTTCGAGTACTGTCTCGACGAGCATTCTGTCGTCGGCAATTGTCCAGGCTGGGTCTTCTATTGAAGGTGATGATCCGTAGGCGGAATCACGGTCTGAATGGTTGTTGCTTGCGATTGGACTGATGACAGGCATGTCAAGGTCGTCTTCCGGGGTCTCCTCGGTTGGTGTCTCGAGAGCGTGGAAGTCCTCGGCCGACAGGCCCATTGGCATGTATAGGGGGACCTTCCTTCGCCTCTTTGGAGTCCGGACGGGCTGTGGTGTCTGTGGGCAATCTTGCATAATGGTATCTGAGGGGGCGAGGTCAGCCTCGAAATCACTTCGCCGTCTTTTGTTTGCGCCTCTGTGAGGTGCCGACGGGGGTTGTGCGTGACTCGCGGCGAAAGTTGGCGGAGCGACTTTGAAAGGATCTTGTAGTTGACGTGGAGGACTCGGTATCGAGTGTTCTATCGTCGGTGGAGCGCCTAGGATGGCATGTAGCGCGCGACAGCTTGAGGACAGCGGGCTCGGACGCGATTGCGCGGATGGTGCTAGTAGTAGTGGTTGGTATGCGGCGAAAGAGGGTAGCTTGGGCCGCTGAGGCCTCGAGTCGGGTATGAATTGTCCCCCATCGCAAGCGAAGGCAGATGGGAGCAACATGGCGAGAGAGAGAGAGAGGTCTTATGGCACCAATGGGCCAAAGCTTTGACAGCGACGGGCCGCGACGGTTCAAGATGCGCCGGGAGAATTTATGACGCGCGCCGGCGGGAAAGTGGTGTTTTGATGTGCCAGAGACGGTCGCAAGTATATAGCGAAGCTCATCAACGAGGGGAACAAGTAATGCGACAAAGAGGGGAGGGTGTACTGGCGGTGTGAGACGGAGACCGAAGGGCTGCAGGGACTGTGATGAAGCTACTGTACAGCGACTGCAAGGTGCGAGAGTTGGGAGAAGTGAAGTGGGAAGTCTAAAAGCGACTGGGGGGTGTGTGGGAGATCGACCATGCGCCGGAAGCTGGCAGGATGCGAGGGAGAGTGGACGGAGGAGGGTGGAGACTCCAAGACAGGGGGGAGACACAAATGCTAGTTAGACCTAAGACCATACTTGACTTACATATCCGTACAATGCCTCCAAGACCTTGTTTGTAGCCCACAGCTCCTGAAAACACCAAGCAGGAATTCTCTACGGGGGACAGAGGGAGCGTCTGTACATACAGTAGATGAGACTGGCACAGGACAGAGCGGCACACAGAACAAAAGAGAGGACCTTGAGTTGAGAGACCACCTCAGGTCTCTACAGTACCGTACACCTTAGGCACCTTAGCTAAGGGCAACTATGAAAACTAGAGAACTCCGGGCGGTACTAAGTTAGGGAGGGAGAGACCGCCTCGTGCTGGCAGTTTGGGGGCTTGTAGGCTGTAGCATATGCACCCCTGACATTAGGCACCGGAGGAAGTGTAGACATGCGCCTAAAAGAGACACCATCGCAGGCTTGCAGCGCCTAAACCGCACCAAGGCCCACTAGGCTCATTAGGCACACCAAAGGAAGCTAAGGCAACTAGGGAGCAGGCGCACCAGGCACGAAGAAGTCAATTGCAAGGGATTAATAAAATCAACCCTTCGGTCAAAACCAAGGCAACTCTTATCGCAGTCCTGCTGGTACTGTACTCGTGTTGTAGGTAGGTAAACATACTGTAATTGCCTCCCCCCTGGCCCCTTGTCGCTCTGAGCCGTGACGACGCCCCTTCGTCATCCAGAATCCTGCCCTCTTTTTGCTCGTACAAATACTCTCTCTTTGCACTGTAAGCTTCGGAGTATTTGTTGCTGCTGCTGCTGTTGTTGTTACACAGTCCGCCTCGTATTCGCACTCCGTACCAGTACTCTATTATCATCAGCCATGACTCCGTCTCTATTCTTAGTACGACTCGATCGTACAGTCCAACACGTACATACAGTAGCCCGCAACCGGATGGATTGCCTGTCTTCTCAACAACATCTGATGATTATATCCATGGCAGTACAATACTCACGAGTCACGAGTCATCGTCAGGACTGGCTCCACAGCCAAAACCTGTTTCTACTTCGTGGAAAGCTACGAGTCCTCCCGTACAACAGGTACTGTAGTTTCCTAGCTTGCTTTGCTGCAGTGTTTCATTCACTCCTACCACCTATGATAGCCTAGAGGTATCGCTATCGGTATCGATTGGCGTCGGAGAATTAGATTGAACTACTCTGTCCCCAACCTGGTCAGAACCTATGAAACGTGCAGCATGCCACGCACGAGCAGCTTGCGTCTTCCCGCGATCTGATGATAAGTGAGTAGGCAGAACGGGAGTGACTAGGTACACCTCAAGTGGTTAGTTGTAGACTTGTAGCCTGGTCGTCGACCGGGGGGTATGCCTGTGCGCAGCTTGGTGCTTGCTCACAGTCGCCTCGTCAGATGAGCCAGGGTGTGCATTGGCGATTCAAGATTACGGACTGCCTTATTACTCTCTCGTACTGTGCGCGTCGACGGCGCCCAAAATCGCGAAAATAACGCGACACGCGTCAAGACTGCGTACACAGCCCTTGCCTAACCGAGACTAGTGAAATGCATCACTTGACCTCGTTCTCATCTCGCTTCGGTTTTGGTGTCGAAGTGTAGACTTTTGAACACTCTGCTCATTCACTCGCTTGTCGTCGACTCTTCGGTCGATAACCTTGGAAGCTAATGAGATACAAACAGGTGTGAGGTATGCTCTCCGCGCCCCAAGGTTGGAGGGACATCAAGGCACTTGTAAGGCAATCGTATCAACAACGTCTGGCTGATTGCTCTCCTTTGACCACGTGCTACTTGTATACCGCGAAGTGGTGAGTACACTACCAAGTGCCCTGCTGTCTAAACCTTCTGCTCAACCGGCAGATGAACTTCGGACACCACCTCGACCGCCTGTAACTCCTCGACACCGTCGTTGGTCCGTGCCAGACTCTCAAACGGCATGGCTCTCTCCTCCTGAGCGAAATTGCCCACGAATGACAGTGCAAAATATACCACGCTGCTGATTGTGCAGGTGTAGAACCAGCTAAAGGCGTACAGATGAGTCCAGCCGTTTCCACTGGCGCCGATATGGGCACCAAACGTCTGTGCAAATCCTGGAAGCTGTCGGGCCATTCCAAAAAAAGGAGTCAGCAAAAGGTTTGACTGAAATCGCAGCTATTACGATTTTTGTTGGCCTCGGCCACGTTGAACTTACCATGAAACTGATCGAAATGATCCACGTTGCGAATGCCCTCCACGAGACGCCGTGTAAATACCAATATCTCCCACGTGGTTGGTACAGGTCCCCGACAAAGACATTGCCTTTGCGGACCACCAGGTAATCCGTCAAAGCCATGCCGAGAAACGACCCCAAGAAGATGCTGTAGCCGTTCAAGAACTTGAGGAACCCCGTGGCCGTGGCAAGGATCTGCCATGGACAGATGCACACGCCGAGGATATAGCACATCCACATGCCACGTTTGATGTTGAGCCAGCGCGGGAACAGGGACATGAAGTCCGCTCCGAACGGAATGACGTTGGCTCCCAGTTCGATCAGCGTGTTCCCAAAAATGAACACGAGATTGATGATGGCCAGGCCGGCCCGGCGACCATGACTAAAGTCGTGGTCGAGCATGTCATGGTTCAAATCCCAACTATTCCAGGGGACGTACCCTTGTCAGTATTGTGCAGCGAGATCCAAACGAAATCTTCATCAGCTCACGGGTTCCAATCTATGTTTCCCCATGCATTGAAGATGCTCTGGGTGGCGTATATGCCCATGGCGGCGCACGCTGTGCTTGCAGCGGGAAACATGATGAGCTGCGACCACACCGGAGCAACTCTGTTTCGTGCATAACGTGCAATGTCCGGTTGGTTGACCATGAGTGTTGTTGTCTTGGCCAAGCCCGAGTTCACAGCTGCCAGCTATTACTCGCGGTCAGCTGTTTGCATCTTTCCTTTTTCCACTTTGGTTGCCCCAGCTTACCAATGCCCAAGATAGTGCCGCTCCATGTTTGGGCGCAACATCGTACAATGCCTGATGTGCATGTCCTCGGCCGGTCAACATACAGTATATGAAAAGCCCTGCAATGTGATGAGTGAGTGATCCCTACGCCAAAACAAAGCAGCCACGGGGATGAAAGCTTTGAGGAGGGTGGATGGTGAGTTCTTACCAATTATGACCGGAGGTGTGACCAGCATTTGAATCTCGTATGCCCGACGAAGCTTGGGGAGAGGCACATTGAGTGTCCAGCATGTCATGAACCAATACACAATGATTCCTGCGACAATTAGCCTCGGGATGGGCTTATTTGGGTCTTGAACAAACATACCAATGAGCTGTTGCACCGTTATATGCGAACTTTCCGGGATATGACTTGGCATGTTCCAGTATCCATTCCCAAATATGCATCTCAGCAGGACGGAGGTAAAGTAACCGCCCGTTGCGATGGTGACGCCACCCCATATCAAGGCGCACAGTGCTCGGATGATGACGGGGAAATACGATCCCCAGAGACCCCAGACGAGTCGACTTTCAACGGGGAACCCGAAATGGTACGTCGCAGCTGCGCGGGAGTGAATGACGATCCCGACTGAACCGAAAACGAAGCCGAGGAAGAGGCATCCCAGTGCTTGCCCCGGCGTCAGTCCGTTGGCGAGGAGTGCGGCTCCCAAGTACCACATCCCAGGCGAGAATCCGTAATTGAACCAAAAAGCTGCATAGTCGTACCATCCCCACGTCCGATGACCGGGAGGGCTGATGTCCAGGTCCTCGTTGGTCCATTGGTTGCGAACCGTTTCCGTGGTCGTGCCGTTTGCAGCGGCACTGGGTTTCGTCTCGACGTACTTGACGAATGCTTCCCGGCTGGTGAAGGCGTGCTTGAAGTCTTGAACATTGCGTCTCACACGCTCTTGGAACTTGTTGGTGAGGGTCATGGTTGAGGTGTGACGCCTTTCATTCACGCGATCGACAAGACCTTTCCTAAGAACAGGAGGGGGGCCCATTGAGTGTATTATATACAGATAGATTACAGAGCGTATCTGGTAAGGTCGTGACAGGACCCAACAGGTTCCAGCAAGAATAGACTCGTCTTTCTACAACTGAAGTGCCTAGGTAGGTACCTCAGGTCGGTATACTGTATATACCCCGGAGCTTTAAATCGACCAGTCGGAGCATGGCCAAACCAAACATACCAGCCCCATTTCCCTTATCACGAGGGTGCGTATCGGGCTATAGATACAGTACAGTATGTGGTTCACTCTGTATCGTCCGAGTACCGGCCTATCTACCTACCTATCGCCCTACCCGCCTCCTTATGGGACGACGGCATGTACAGTGTGCGGAGGAAAAAAAGAGACCAAGGTAAACGCAGATGTATAGCTATCAGCAACAGCATCGACTTCATCAGTGATAAGGCCATCGGCCGAGGCCGGGATCTTTTATCTACTCGTAGAAAGTTGTTGCCGAGAAGTCGGCCTGCAATTTAGGGCGGTCCGGCTGTTTCGGGCATGGTCGCGTGCCGAGCGCAGACAGCGCTTCAAAGTCCCTCCATGGGTGCTGTACCGCACAATACTTTGCGAGGTAACATTAAGCGGACACGCATTCGATCAAGCAGCGGATGGAATTGATACCCATGCTGCCATCGTGCATGCCTTCATGCCATTCGGGGGCTTGGGCAGACTCACGCGGGCAAGACACTGAACAGCAATTGTCCGCTTCAACCTCGTCCCAAAGGCCTCATTGCGACCGGGTCGAACAACCCTCACACATAGGCAACTGAAAATTGCTTGGTGACAGGAGTCTCAACCAGTGATCGTGGTGATGATCGTCGGTTCCGATCGGCCCAACTGGATGTCTTCGTATCCAAGGCTGGGCAAGGCGCCTCACGGGTCGCATTATTCTTGCTCTATCGTGTTAGGCTGCCAAAACTTGGACGCGGGGCCGAACCTTGGCGGTAGGCAAGGTGAATTCATGGTGATTACCCAGCTGCATGGTAAGTGACATGACTCGCTCTGTTTCTAGACAGGTTTTTGGTGAGTGCATGGTTAGGTAACCTTCCGCAACTGCGATCATGTCTGAAAATAGTCACCCGATGGCCGGTGACGAAGAAGATGCCGTGGGACAGCAGAACGACACAGTGTCCGCATACCTGGCCACCTTGTTCTCCATCACGACGTGTGATGAACATGAGCAGTGTGACAGCAGCTGTTCTGGAGATCCAGTCTTGCTCCAGCCACTAGTATCTGACAGAAACAGAGTTCATATTTCCACGCCGCCTCGACCTAGGATCATCGATCCTGATACTCAGCTACGCGACAGGTCCTGGGCAGACTCTCAACAGTTCCTAGGTCTTAAGTATGAGCCAATCGATAGCAAGTCTGGCGAGATCCGACTCCTGAAGATCAAGCCTGGCGTCTTTCGAGCCGACGTTGTCGAATGCGAGATGTTTACCACATCCCTCTCATCCGAAGAGGCGTTCGAAGCGATTTCGTACTGTTGCGGTGTCCACAACGCAAGCGAGCTTATCATTTGCAATGGCCAAGCTCACCTCATCTATCCATCCCTCAACTCGGCAATCAAGGCGTATCGCAGCAGCGGGCACGTTTCAAGACCTGTTTGGGTGGATGCAGTCTCGATTAACCAAGTCGACAAGCAAGAGCTGAAGGAACAAATCCCGCTGATGAGAGCAATATACAGCCGTGCTCTCCAAGTTTTCATCTATTTGGGAGACTTCGACAACGCTGATTATCAAGGATTTGACCTGATGATGAAGTTGAGCAACGTCAACCTCCACCAGCAAAAGCTCTATCCGCAAGAACAGCACAAACCGGTTCTCCCGCTAGAAGTTCTCGTCCAAAGGTACCGGTTGCCTCCAGCAGGACACCAAAGCTACCGCAACTTCGTGCAACTGCTCTCCTTCCCATGGTATCGACGTACATGGATCTTGCAGGAAGTAGCTCTGAGCAAACAAGCCGAAGTGCATTTCGGACGACTCGGTATCAAGTGGGAGGTCTTGGCGAATTCGGCCTACTTCTGGGTTTGGAGCGGACTCTCCAGATCAGCCGACTACGGCGGGGATACCGTATCACGATACTCCGAAATCTCACTCGCCCGACTTCTGGATGTTTGCAAAGTCGCCATCAGGGCCGACCAGACCTCCCTCATGGAAATCCTGCGGCATACTCGTGATTTCCAGGTTTCAGACCCTCGTGATAAAGTCATCGCCATTTTGGGAATGGTCGGAAACATGGATCAAGAATTGGCTTCTCTGGCGGACTATGAACTCAGCGCTGATCAGATATTTCACAAGACGGCTTTGTATCTGATCCATAGGAACTGGGTCCATCTTTTGCTTGCTCATTCCGGCCTCCAACGGCGACCCGAAAACGACAACAATCCCTCTTGGGTACCAAATTGGACAACAGACTCCAGGAAATACAATGAGAGGCCGCTGGTACTGCTGAGACAAGCGAAAGAATTTAGGGCCGGTGGTCGTGCATCACTATGTCCACTCACCTGGCTATCGGACCAAGACTATCCCAAAGAGCTCCTGGTTCTAGGATTTGCCTCGCACAGAATTAGCTGGACGGGGAAGGCCTGTCCTTTTGTGGCCGAGGGACAGATGTACCCTGCTGACTTTTCTTACGTTGGCGAGTTTCTGCATTGGTACAGAAAGACCCGGGAGTGTCTGGCCACCGTCGTACAGGCGAACGTGCTGCAAACAGTGTACGACGACGTCGAGGAGGCTTTCTATCGCACACTTCTCGTCGACGATCTTTACCCTCCCCACCCTCAATTACCAAACTTTTCCGATATCCAAGACCCAAAGGCAGAATGTGCTCTGGCTATTGAGGCACTCTTACAGATGGCGACGACAGAGAACCCAGATGCGGAGCTTGGCAATATAGACCGTGATCAGAAGATGACATCAGTGGATACATGTATCATGCAGTTGACGACGGCGCCAAGGGGTCGTCGATTCGCTGTCACAGATACTGGATATATGTGTCTGACGCCTGAGAAGACAGAGATCGGCGACCATGTGGTTCTCCTACACGGCTTTCCAACGCCGTTTGTGGTGAGATCCGTGACCGAGGAGAGATCAACCAAGGACATGAAGTTGACAGGTACAAGGTCACTGGACGAATTGATGGGGAGCGTGATGTCGCTCGGTGCGTCTGGTGCAAGAGAAGCGGCGCAGGGGTGGTTCCTAAAGGAGATGCTGGCGAGAGGTTATGATGGCATGATGAAACGGAAGAACGTGACCCTTGTGGGACAGCTGGTTGGAGATGTCTATGTGCACGGCCTGATGGAAGGTGAAGCGTTTCCTGATGCCGAAGCCGACTACACGAAAATGCAGGCCATCATGCTAATTTGATTGCGAACGTGGAAATGAACATATGCACCGGCGGCCTGGCCATTACGCCGCATTACGGCTGCTGCGAATATGATCTATCAAGAAGACGGCTCCTTCCACGTCAAAATTCGGATCCAGGGCTTGTCGGGTGTCCGACGCGTCACTTGGGGGTACACAAATGAGGCATTGAACAAGACAAGCATTCCGAGCCTGACTCCGTCTGGGTTCGCGGACTTCAATGCAGGTACCCGGCGGGTATTCGGTAAGGGAGGGTCATTTGTGTGTGCGCAGTGGCCTCGACAATATGATTTCCAGATTCCGGGGGGGGGGGGGGGGGGGGTGGGAGGAGAATACGACAGTTGAACGCGTGGAAATTATGGCGGTAGAGAGCTTTGCAGGTGATTGGACGGTTCAGAGGTGAGAAGGAGGACTTTGAGTGGCTATAAACGCGTGCAGGTCACGCATAAAAGAGGTTGAGTACGGAGTGCTATCGTGGAATTGGTACTTCTGCATCTTTGTCGTTGGCGTGTCACTATGAGCAACATCTGTCCCCGAGCTCAATGTGCGACTGTTGCCTTCTAATAGGGGTCATTGTCTGTCGACTCATCAATCTTTCATTCGGTCCCGTTTCCCGGTTTCATGTGCACAGCCCGGATCCCAAGCAGGGTGGCGCCGGTCGCGAGGCTGCCGTCAACAAATCGTTCACGGTGCACAGCCGTTCCAGGGCCCATAGAAGCGCCGTTGCCTGGTGATGTGCCAGGTGGAAAGAAGCCACGCCAATGACCTGGCCAACTTTTATTCCTGCCGAGAAAAGAAGGGAATGCTTAGCACGGCTAGGTGAGACGTCAGTCCCCCGTTTATGTACGTGAAGCACTTCTCCCAGTTAGGCTTAGCGCCATATCAAATGGTCGCTGCCGCGCGCAGTGCAGGACATGGCGGCCGGGATTCCTTGCATAGCCCGTAGCGAACACATAGGCAAATATAACAGTTGTCCAGACTGGCTTACAGGACTGTTATTCTGATATTCAAACCTCGGAAGCTTAGGGCATCTCTCGCCAGCCTAGGTTGAACGCTCATTGCGCATGTCTACAGGCGATGAGAGGCAAAAGAGATTGACGGACCATGCCTCCCATACCCAGGGCCGCAAGGCAACCATGTTGTCACTTCAGTTCCAGGTAATTGCCGCCCTGCTGCCTAGCAGCCTCGTATTTTGTACGTGTACCTGTCTTGGCGGTGGTGGCAGAGCGTCGTCCGGGGCAAGGTTGCTGGAACTATGAGACGCGAGACGGCTTCGTATCACAGTGCAGCTATAGATTGGCCTCCCAATCCAGCATGCAATAAATATCAGCAGAAGTTCTCGACAGGCCAGTCTGAGCTCCTTTTTGAAACGGTCCGTTGCGGACGTGGAGCGACTGGCTTAATTTGTTCCTCGGACGCCTTTTACGTGGATTGTCGTCTTGCCCACAGTACCTCCCAATTGGCGACTTGACTCACACTACCAACATAGTATTCTGGCACATCTTGCAAGGAAAGATGCCCTACGACTTCAGTATCTGCAAAGAGGCAGTTCTGGGCATCATTTACGGCGACCGAGCGATCGGCAGCATCACCAACGAAACGATCCATGACTACCTCTGGCATGGTCCAATTACAGGCCTCGATGCCAACTCACGAGCTGATTTTCTTGCGATTACATACCAAGGTAAGCCTTTCGAATGGTCAATAGTCTGTAGACATATTAAATCTCCTACAGGCTGCGTTAAGATCTGCGGTGGCGGTAAAATAGCCTTAAACGACACTTCGAAGGCGCTAAACATTGCCGCAACCTGGATCTTTCCACTTGCTATCCTGTTCAGCCTTCCATGGGATTCCCTCCATCGCCGGAAGGTTCGAAGAACACTCGAGGCTGTGTCGAACTGGCTCGGATCCCCGCAGACAGCGCTCACGGCGACGATCTTCAACTTCCGTCAGATCAGAGAATGTCATCGCCGGGTCAAAGATGTGAGCCGTGAGATGCAGTCGACGGCCAGTGACACATACTACACACTGAGCTGCTTGAGCCAATTCGAATTGCCGCGAGATAAGGCGGTTCAAGAAGAAATGCTGCGTGTGCTTGTGTATGGCCTCTTCCGACCCCTGTCCAACGACGACAATCAAGACGTTATACTGTTGCGGCAACTTCTGTCGATGATGGCATATCAACTCCGGATACTTCGGAGAAGAGGCGTCATCCCGACCCTCGCCAGTCTCGCGACCTTGTAGCTTTTATATTCTCGGTGGTGCTTGCGTTTGCAGAGTTGGGAGACAATTCGACGGCTCACTCACTTGCCCTTGGCCTGTTGCTATGTTGGCTTCCTATTCTTGTCATCTTCACAATTGTGGATCGGAATCCTATCTCCGCGGACCGCTCTGCAGAGCTGCTGAGTCGGTGGCTTCACAATGTGCATGCGATTAGGGAATGGGCCCTGAACCAAGGGCAAAGTCCTGCAGCCATTGCTTGGTGGAACTTGCCCAATGCAGGGAGAGAGCGTTTCGCAATCGGCGATTTCATTGGGCAGGGCCGACGTATGCAATATGCTGGCTTGACCTCCGCTGTAATCGAAGAGACTGAGAAGTACCAAAGCCAGTTCGACGCGTCGATCCGCTCATTCGACATCGTGGCAGAACGTGTTGACGTCCGTATATACCGCAGGCCGGTGTCTTGGTGGGTCATCACTGTTATCTCTGCCTCCATAGTTTGGCTAGAGATCATGATGGCTTTCATGGTTGCATTCACGACGCCAACGGTCGGACTGGGCTGCCGCTCCTTTAGTGACGCTATGCTTGCATTGCTTAGCTCGGTAAGCTGGTGTCTCAACATCCTCTTTTCTACACCGACGACGCTCATTCGGATTATATCGCACTTCTTCAATGCCATCACCACCTTAGTCCTTATCGCTATCATCGGGTTCCAACTTACGGGCGGAATGAACAACTGCTGGTGCAAGGCATCTCTGTTCAACTATCCGCTGTTGGGCGGCTATGTCGATTTCGAGAACGCAGCGTTTTACAGAGAGCACTTCAATGTTGCAAAGTATTGGGCGCTTGGCACATGTTTTGGGGGGCTCGTACCCCTCCTCGCTTTCGCCGTGGCCGTCTTCTGGTGGTTGAAGTGTCAACACTTATGGTCGGTCTGCGATCGGAATGTTTCATATCAGTTACAGGCGCTTCACGCAAGCAGCACGTGGCTTCGCTAGTGAAATCTCCGAGGACGACAAAATTACACCTCCTGGAACCAAGATACATGACTCACGCAACGGGCCATCATTGATCAGTTCAACGCCCCCACACCGAAGGTTGGCACCTTTGACGCATTCAGGAAGGATGGACTGGCAACAGAACCCTCGCCATCTCCATCAAAGTCCAACTGGCGCAAGCTCTAGCTTTCAGCGGTCAAGACCAGATTCATGGTTGGCTCCGGGACCTCGTACATTCTTGAACATGGTGCTCCTCATTATTCGAAAGAGATGATGGAGATTGATCCACTTCCACCCGAGCGAACGTATGAACTCCACCCAGTTCCCACGTCTACCAAACCACAGATGGCCAGGGCCTCAGCAGACTCGGCATGTTTGGCGCGAAATCTCTACGCTGCCAACAGACGGTTTCCTGGAGTTAATGGTGACGAAGTAGAATGGGTCGTTGCTCATGATCTGGACTGGGCAACTGGTAACAAGCATCGTTTCTTTCCGTAGTAGATGTATGGATGGAGGGGTCGATCCTCGGTTTATGGAGGGTCTCCAACAGGCGTACCGTCGATCTACTGCCTGTCTCCACGAAAGTCAAAGTAGAGCTTGGAGAAGGTTCTCCACGCGACAGAAACCCGTCTACTGCTGAGGCCGTTGTAGTCAGGCTCATGCAAGGCTCTTGAATGGCATTTACCTCAAGGAAGACAACACAGAACACTGCCAACAAAAGCGTTGCTCGCTATCTTGTATCGACGGTCGTAGAAATGCCTGACACAGTCCAGAATGGTACGACCGCTACGGCTATACCGCATGCCGTCTACGGATTCATTGGTCTGGGGAACATGGGTTTCGGCATGGCCAAAAATCTCAGAGCATGCATGCCCAAGCACAGCAAACTGCTAGTGTGTGAGTTGAACATCACCAGGGGGCAGCAATTCGTGTCTTCCGTCGACGGTTTGGTCGAGGCTGTAGAATGTCCCAAAGATATAGCAGAGCAATGTGTACGTCGTGTTGATGATGCGGGACCACGAGATGCTGACTGTGCATCTACCAGGACATCATCATCACAAGTCTGCCGCACGGTGATGCCGTGCGGCAGGTGTTTACCGATCCATCCACCGGGCTCTTGTCGGTCTCTCCACACTCCGGCACTCGCAAGTTCTTTCTGGAGACATCAACCATCGAGGTCCGGACGTCAAACGAAGTTCTTGAAGCAGTCAAAAGGGCCGGGGTTGGGGACTTCATCGACTGCCCTGTGTCTGGAGGCATCCCGGCCGCCGACCAAGGAAACCTGACGTTCATGGTCGGTGGAACCCAGGAGCTTCTGGACAGGGCAAAGCCTGTGCTCGCAACCATGGGGAAAGCAGAGAACGTCATCTTCTGTGGTCCTGCTGGAGCCGGACTGGCCACGAAGCAGATCAACAATTATATTGCCAATGTGTCTTACATTGCTCTGTGTGAAGGTGTGTCCTCAAAGCACCACCGCGGGCCTCTGGGCGACTAACACGACTTTAGGGATGAATACGGGTATCAAATATGGCCTGGACCCAAAGGTCCTGACCGGTGAGTCCTTTGATACAAGGGGTCGCCATGTTTCCGTCGCTGAACCGGGACAGACGTCATCAATGTGTCGAGTGGGATGTGCTGGAACTCACTACACATGAACCCGGTCAAGGGAGTGCAACCCGATTCTCCTTCATCGCGAGACTTTGAAGGAGGCTTCAAGACGGAGCTGGCCAAGGGCGTCATGGACATGACGGTGCAATTGATGGACGACGTCGGTGCAAAGCATGTCATGGGCCCTATCGTGACCGACGTCTACGCCAGAGCAGTCAAACACCCGAGATGTGCAGACAAAGAATGCAGAAGTATTTACAGGCTCTTCTCGGAGAATGAAGGGCGAGATCTTGGGAATACAAGGATAGAGTAATGCAAGGATAGAGTAGCAGCATTGCACTCGCCCAAATGCCCTCTACACATGTGGCAGGCTTCACCGTATCCAAAGTACCACCTTTCCCCACTGTTTCTGATTCCATAAGAATTCATATGCACTCCTGGCCTCCTCCAGGGAAAACACCTGGTCATCGATAACCGGTCGGATATCGTGAGCGGCCATGAAGTTGTTCATGGCGAGGAACTGCTCTTTTGAACCGACATTAACACCTCGAACGATTGATAAAGTTGCTAAACAGTCTCCGGAATTACACGATGAGGCTATGCCCTTACTACCCAGAAACCTTATTGATAAGATGAGCCCTTCGATACGGATAGCTTTCAGTGACTGCTCCATCGACGAACTTCCCTCGACTTCGATGATATAGTGTATATTGTGGCCACGAGAGAATAGTCTTTTTACCATCTCATCTTAATATGAATCGTCTTTATAGTTGATAACATGATTTACTCTTATCGCCTACAGTTTCGTTTTCTTTATAGGCGAAGATATTGTCGTGATAATCGTGGCTTCTACCTCAAGTGTAAATTATAGTGCAAAAAGACTGACTTCGTCAGTACTCTATATTAATATAGCTTATTCCGTCTACAGTGCTCATTCAGGAAGACTATACAGGGGGTGCCATGCGGTGACAGCAGCACATGAAAGTGTTATCGCTTCGAACGTCGTGAGGTGCCTGAGAATCAGTACAAGTCCCTTTTCTGGGAAGACTATATATTGACGCAGGACGCCGTCGAGATACGTGCCGAGCGTTGTCACTCTTTTCTCTGAAGTCAAGAGTCTTTCTTGCCAGTCTTGATGAAATAAGGGGCACACCTTGTCGCCTACTTGAAATTCGCTAACCTACTGACCTGTGGTGATGACTACCCCAGCGTCATCTGACACCGGCACGACGTCTTCTTCACGGCCCAAGGGTAATTACCCTGCAGGATAGCGACGTCGCGGTAGTTCAACGATGCGGCTTCGGAACGAACAAGACAGTCACGGCTTCCAAGTGGAGGTATTGGTACTGAATCCTGATATTGGAGGCCGTCGAACCCATCGTCCTTGGTTGGTCTGACGACCCATCGAGATGTAACCGTTGGCAAGGACATCCTGTCATCCCGGAGAGCGAGTTTGGTTGCCATGGACAGGCTGATCGGGGCCTCACAGGGCAACGAAAGATTTAAGAGTAGCTAGCCCGCCCACCACATTTGGAGTACTTACGGTAAGTAGGAAGCCAAAGTGGGACGAAGACTCCCTACTAGTTAGACTGGCGTTTCGTACTCCAAATAGTTACTTAACCCTGAGAGCCAGACTCATTGGAAGCGTTAATTACACACGAGGCTTCGTTGGGAAAAAGGGCAGCATCAAAATTTGCAGGGCGCTTTGTCTTATTGTAAGGACTACCTGAAAAGAAACCTGTGGCGACGTATTTACCGGCACCAACCTCGCCCTCTCTCACTCGGTTTTAGGACAGTTTACACCAGTGCCCTGGTGCTCAAGCCTGCCACTCGGCATCCGAGGAGCTGGTGTCTCGCTGGTGGCTCCATGGTGAGTTTGTGGTCTGCAGAATAACGTGCCCAGTGCTTACGACTGGTCAAAAGCCTTTTACTCGCCTTGAATCAACTTTTCCAATCGCTCTACAACCACATCGTCAACCTCCAAAACGCCACCTGCTTTGACCTCGGCTCTTCGCCGGTTCGACCGCTCGAAAGGCATCCTCAGCGCGGCTCCCGAAATCGATGGAGCAGAATGGAACGCCTCGATAAGCTTGCCCACTTCCCTCTTGAAATCCCCCATCGGCCTGAATCTCGCGGGGTCGATGACCATGATAAAATAGCCAAAATCCTGCAAGTCAGGAGGTAAGGCCGGGGAGCCCGCTAGTATTCCCAGGAGTTGGACAGCAATGGCTAGCCCACTGCCCTTCGCTCCACCCCAGACTTTCAATGCGCCCTTCAAAGCCTTGTCCGGGTCGGTCGTCATCTCGCCGTCCTCATCATAAGCCGTGTCTGTAGGGAGCTGTTCTCCTTTCCGCCTCGCCAGCATTGCTTGAGCGTGGATGATTTTCGACGTCCCAATATCATAAATGATCGGCACTCCATCTGTGGGCACGCCGATGCAGAAGGGGTTTGTGCCAACGAGAGGTTTGAACGTGCCTTCTGGCGCCACCCATGGAGTACAATTGGACGCGATGACAGTGACTAGGTCTTCGGCAGCGGCCATTTCAGCGTAGTACGATAGCATGCCGGTGTAGTAAGTACCATTGGCTCCTACCGCCGACACCCCAGAGGCTTTGGCCTTTTCGATTGCGAGCTGCGTCGCCTTGTGAGCTACCAGGTATCCGAGGGTGTCATGGCCGTCCAGTTGAGCTGACGTTGGCGATTGTGTGGTTACCTCGATGGCCGACCGTGGCTGCTCCCCGGCGAGCCTGTCGGCGATACTGAGTATTCGAGCCAGCCCTGCGATGCCATAGCCCCGAAGCTCACTGTCGATGAGATGGTGAGATATAGTTTCTGTATCCTTTGGAGAATATCCCAATTTCGCCAAGGCGCTCGTAGCTATATCCTCGGCTTTTTGGACGGTGACTCGCATTCTGAGATCAGTGCATGTAACAGTAAGACCCGGCACTCTTGAGGCGTATGGCTGTCAACTTGAGAAACACGCAGTCTGGGCTATAGGACTTGATTGGCAAAGTGAGTTGAACAAGTGCCGCTCACAGTCCCTTTACCTGCTTCAACCTTGCGGGAATGTCCACGGCTGGTGGACGTGGAGATGCACTGGCGGTGTTGGAGAAGGATGTCCCTTACGATACGGGGGCGCTTGGTGGAAACCTAGCTAACCCTGGCACATGGCGTGGAGTGACCCTCTCACCTCCAGGCACGGTGTTCTGTGATGGCTCATTCCCCGGACTCCAACTGGGCTCATTTGTGAAGGCCGCTGGTAAACCACAAATGCGGAGTGCACTCGCCTGGTAGGCAATCGAGAAGGTGAACGATCTCGAGCGGCGCCGTGCATAAGTACCGAGTGCTGATCTTGTCCTCTAAGGAGCTGTCGAAGTTTCTCTGCATCTATTCTGGCCCATTCTTCACCCAGAACTCATTGGGATAGAAAGCAAGCTCGGCATCATGGGCGGCATCGACGCAGAGCACGTCGAGACGAAGAACGAAAATTCACGATCTCGCAGTTGATCGTCAGCATGAGCAAGAGGCACTGGCCGGCCAGCTGGACGTGGAGGTGAAAAGAATCAAGCGCATTGTGCGTCGGCTGGACTCTCGCCTCGTGCTAATTCTGGCCGTCCTGTATGTGTGGGCTTTCATCGATCGAGGCAAGCCGGCGAATGTAAGGATCACTCACGCTGGTCGATGTCATGCTAATTCGTGCCCATCTAAGCCAACATCGCAAGCGAGACTAGCCCGGCGGGAAAATGGAGAGATCTAACCTTCTCAAGTTCTTCGTCGGCTATATCCTGATCGATGCACCGGCTACCTTCATCGTGCGGAAGATCGGGGCCCTTGTGTGGCTTCCAACGATTGTTGTGTAAGCAGAACATAACTCTCCTGAGAACACCATGCTGATCATAAAGTAAAGATTATGAGGACATGGCCTATTGGACAGTGAACGGCGCACAGCAGACTCACAACTCTTAGTGTCATCACCGTCGGTCAAGGCTTCTGCCACTTGTTTCTGTGGCCTGGTTGCATACTTTACACTGGTTGATCTTCCAGAAAGAGGTTAGAAGCTCAGGAGGTCTCAAAGAAGATGTAAAGGGTTTGTCTGACTTCCGTTCTAGCCAATTTGAGAGGTCTCTTTGGTTTTCTACCCCCTTTCCTCACGGCGGATGAAGCAACACCCATTCATGCGTGAATCGAACGCGACAGGGGCGATAGTGTACCCGAGAAACTGACCGTCAAAAAGTTGCTCGTGTAATGCGAAAGATTGGAAAGTCTGGGAATTCTCATTCCATGGCTTGTTCAATGTGGGTTCATTGATATTGGTCAACATTCGCACTGTGACTGACCTCTCACAAAGAACACTGCTCTGTATGCTTTTGCATATTTCCTGCCGGTTATCTTACAGAAGAGTCTTCATTACCCGACCTCAAAAGCTCAACTATTCACGTTTCCGCCATACGCTGTGGCAGCCCAGGTATGGCAAGCTGGCTATCCACGGAGATGACTGTGCACAAGGCTGACAGACTGACCGGTACAGTGGATTCTCTTTTGCGCCTGGATATGTGATAGGCTGAAGGTAAGAGGGCTGATGCTGGTTCTGAATAGCTCGCTGTACATGATTGGAGTGTGCATGTAAGTGATCTTACCTCCCGCAAAATGCCCGTGCTAATGGCAAAGCAGTACTGCATTCTGCGAAAATCCTCACGCAAGATATGGCGGTGTTTTCATTGGCGTGATGGGCATTACTGGTAACGCAAGTAACCCTGTATGGCGATACATCCTGTGTTCGACCATGACAAAGCCTCGTCACCACTCGAATGATCTGCTTCCACCTTCGGCATACACCTGCTGATTCTCATAGATCCCCACAAAGTGGGCCTACGCGCACAATAATGTTGGTAAGCTTGTTGCAAACCAGATTGGAGGTTCGAATTCTGACTCTAGGCTAGTCGGTCAAGCAGAGCGTGCCTTATGTGCTGTCATTATTGCAGGCAACATTTTCCAGGCCAAGGATGCTCCAGCCTACAGAACTGCACTGATAATCTACATTGCATTCCAGGTAAGCGCTGGATACCTGGCAGCACGCTCTCCTATCAACTGACGCTCGGACAGTCTTTCAATATCCTGCTGGTGGTCAACAACTCCGTGGATTTTGCCAGAGCACACAAGAAGGACAAACAGAGAGGAGTTGATCATAGAAGGAACGCCCGATTTCTGGTATACATATGAAGTGTTGCAGACGATGTGTCTGCAAAAGTTCTTTCTTCAGGGGACATTCAGTCCGTGGACAAGCTAGCGAATATGCGCCTTGACATCGAAATGCCGGGATGGCAGAAATTGTTTGATTGGTAGTGCTGAACGTGCACCAGGTTGGCATCATGTTGACCGACTCAAGTAGGGCGTTTCTGCGTAAATCCAATGATAACTCCGTCGTCCGTTTGCTAAAGCATATCTTCGGCCGGTATTTCGTACTGGAGTGTTCGATCCTGGACTACGTGGATAAGCTTTCCTCTTGGCTGCAGCCCTGCGTGAAGGTGTCTCGAGTATTCTGTACTCCAAGATGCAGCGACAGCTAGTGGGATCATGATCGATCTCGGTAATGCCCAACTGGGGGACTCGCGAGTCTTCGTCTCCAAATCTGGCCGCCCTCATATACCAGTCCCCTTCATCTCTCCACACTAGTTCGCTGTGGAGAGTCATTCTTCCTCCCCCATGGTGACTCGCTGGCATCATGGAGTCATCTTCAAGCGCGAAGAGGACACTGCCATGCAGGTTCTGCAACAGGCGCTTTCGTCGCCTTGGACGCGTTCAGCGCCATGAACGGACTCACACTAAAGAAACACCTTTCAAATGACCTTGTGGCAGGTCCTTCAGCCGGAGGTACTGAGTGCATACCCCAGAGCAACAGTTCCTGAACGTATTGATGTATTTCTGACTGGCCGCAATTGAGGCACTAGTGATTTGTTGCGGCGACACGAAAAAGCAGAGCACGAGGGCAGGTCTTGCGGCCACCATGAGCCCCCCAACGCCGGCAACATCGACCCAAAGCGACGCCATACGAGCCGTCATTGGCATTGCTGTGACTTCCACGCCGACAGGACATCATCCGGTGGTTGAGAAGTCACTGCAACTCTGGCAGTTGCCCATCAGGTGGAATCCAGCCAGGTTCAAGACCCGCTCTCTGTCAAGTCTCTGACACACCTGGGTGACTTCGTGCCCAACCTCAATCACCTTGCTGAGGTGGCATTTCCCTCTACCGAGGCGCAGCTTGCGGTCGTCGCGCAGACTGTACAGACAAATTCGGAACACGTCAGTCCCACGTTGGATTTCTCCGACATATACAGCCAGTTGACAGCTTCAATACTTTCCTTGATCTCAACGACTTCACCGGGCTGATCCCGCCAGATTATGCTCTGACCTTGGGTTGCAGGATCTTGCTTTCACGTCAGATCTTCCACAGGAAGCCTTCAATGACAATGCCCACATACACCATGACTCAAGGGGACCAATTGGCCGGGTCGAACCAGAAACATCCTTTTCGAGATTTGGCTCACCTCTTCCTGCCCTTCATTTTGAGACTCGAGAGCAAGCATCTCGGGGATCGGGACAGGCCGAACTCAATGCGAATTGCCGACCCGTGTGGAAGATATCAGGGCATCATTATCGCCAAATCGTTACCAACATCCAAAAGTTTGACCAGGTCATGCCGAAAGGTTTCAGCATGCCTTCCAGGCACACCATGTTCAGGTTTCTCGAGGGTGCAATCAAGGGCTACTATGAGCACCTTCCCAATCTTCACGTCCTGACATTTTCACCTGTCCAGGCTACCCCAGAACTGATACTCTCCATGTGTGCGATAGGAGTCCTGTTTCGTTTCGAGGCGCACCGATGTCCCATGATGTTCCATGCAGCAAAAGCCATAGCATTCGAACAAATCAAAATCCAGGAGCAGGCAAGGCTTGCAGCTAGAGCCAGTCTCCAACCACAGATACCCCTTTCCATGTCTCTGGGCCTGAATAATACTCAGAGACCCAGCGAGCTCAAGCTGGCCGACATTGGTGACAAGGTCATGGATCCGGATGTGCAGACCTTGCAGGCGCTGATAGCTCTTCTGTGTCTCGGTGCTTGGGGATCTCAACCAGAGCTTGTCAAGGAAGCCATTGCTTTACAGAGCGTGGCCGCCCCCATGGTGCGTGGCGATGGATTCTCCCGGTTGAGGGTAACGAGTTCTCCTTGCGCAGGCATGTCTGAATGGCATCGTTGGGTCCTCCAGGAGAGTCGAAAGCGAACCAAGTTGATGACATATTGCAACTGGTCTCCGTTGCCTACCACATACCTCCGCTAATACTCAACTTCGAAATCGAGTGTTGTCTTCCCTGCTCGGTGAAGGTGTGGAATGCGAGTAGCGCAGAAGAGTGGGAGGAAGTCAGCAAGTCCTCCCCGTTCAAAGAGGTCCCCTTCAAAGAAGCCGTCGAAACCATGTTTCAACGCGGAGAGTCACCGCCATCTCACATCGCCTTGTCACCTATGGCCAACTATGTGTTGATCTTGGCAATTCTCCAACACCTGTATCTTCGCCGGGAGACACTGGCGAGCTCCAAACACTCGTAAAGCTCAGAGGATATGGTGAGACCGGTCGAGCTCTGCGGTGTTGGCAAACACGCTGGGAGCGCTCCCCAGAGTCCATTTTTGAGCCTTCCTCAGCAACAGAGCCTGTTGCTTTTACATCAACGGCACTGCTGAGGTTGGCTTGGATCAGGCTCCATTCAGACACGGGGCCGTATACGAATCTGGCCAGTCGAGATGCCAATGTCATAGCCTCGGCATTTGAGAACAGTCCTCCACTCAAGCGAGGGCCAGAGCTGATCCATCCAGTGCTACAAGCCGCCCATGCCCTCTCCATCCCCGTAATGGGGGTTACAATATCATATGCAGGTAGGTAGTAGATAGAAGATGAATTTGTGCTATACCATATATGTCTTTTGCTTGGCGTGGGTCCTGGAACCAGCGTTGACGAATTGCGTGGGTGTGGATTTCCCTTTTGTCCACCGTCGTGACTACCTACAGGTAGAGTAACATACTGTCCAAGCTATACCTACGGACAAGGGGATATCGGCTCCGGGTCCGGTTTCGGATACGACTCTAGGTAACTCGTACGAAGTAGAATACCTCACTTCATCGCCGGTAACACCTTTATCAAAAGGCCCAAGAAAGATTGAGACGTGCAAGTACTATGTACCTTTTGTACGGACCATGTAACCTTACTCACTAGAGGTACATACTTGACTCGGAAAATCAATCACTCCACAGTAGGTAGGGATCGTGGGGAGTCGGCCGATGCGGGCGACGCGGTACGGATCGGAATGTCTTCCGTCCGCAACACACAATCGACACTCTTTCTTGCTGCCGTGTTGCCCGTGACTCGGACTCGACCTTTTCCAGTTCACTGGACCTGACCTTTTGTCTTTTTTAGATTTGACCGAGGTCAGGGTCAGGTGATAGGGTAGGGTAGGGTGCAGGTGCACAGGGGTTGTTTGGTGGTGCAAGGAAATCTGAACGTTGAACCCCCACGAGCGCCTCGGTTGTGTACGAGTACCCCGGTCGGAATCCTTGAATCGTGATACAAAGTTCTCGAGACTGACACTGGTACCGTACGGTAGTACCGACACCATAGCGGTAAGAGGCGACGACGACGACGACGACGACGACGACAACAACAACAACAACAACAACAACAACAACAACAACAACAACAACAACAACAACAACAACAACAACAACAACAACAACAACAA